TCCCAGTCCCCCGGTACAACTGCTGAAGTCCACGAGGCCATCGACTTCAGGGTGATCGTGGAAACTCCACATGGCCACCCACCAATTCCGCAATGAGTTGAACAAGCTCGACACGCCCACAACCCCAAACGTATCGATACCGCAAGATAACCTTGTGACGTGGCGTGCCCAGGCGTGTTGGGCGTCTTTGAACTTTTGCTTCATGGGTACGGCTACGGTGGACATGTGCCTCATCGATAGAATAGCAGGGGGAGCTGGGCTCATCGATCCTATGGCCACAGAGAGTGGTGCCATCCATTCGTTTTGGCACACCTTTTCAATGCAATTGCTGCTCTTGGTGCCTTCCATCGGTGCAGCAATCGAAATCCAATGCACGTTCTTTGCCATGTTGCACCGACCAGAAGCCAACGCGCCACTGGCAATCAAATTGCCCATGGAATGGGCCACCAAGATCAACTTGTCGATTCGTTCAGAGTAGGTCGACCCGCTAACGTTCATCGCTGCGGCGCAAAAGTCGTCCTGCAGTGACGGGTGGTCCCATCCGCGGTTGATGGTCTCGATGCGAGCAAAGCGAACCGACGAGCAGCAAGGGGCGTTGCAGAGCTGTGCGAACCCCGCACCTAGCACGAGCAAGGCGAGGCGTGGATGTACGCAAAGCTGGGGTCGTTCTGGTCCAGGGGAACTCATCTTTGCTGTTTGTGCGTTATGGAATAATACAACTGTGACAGTGGCGTCGTGCAAAAACGACGAAAATAGTGTGTCGTATGTTGGTTGTGCCCAAGTCTTTCATGTCCATTGAAATGCAAGGTGTCATTAGAGTCTCTCCCTTCCACCTTCAGAACAGATGGGCCTATTTTAGACATGGGCGAATTGCATTATTCACAATGTTCATGCGGGTCAACCAAGCTCGCAACGCACTACGATTCCACCAATCGAAAGAATCGAACTAAGGACGTCGTTGAGGACCCATAGCATGAAATCCATTTGTGTGAGGTTCACGACTCTGGACTGCCTCGTTACGGTACTAGCTTAACCCTAGTTCTGTACTTGGACATGCCAGATGTATCCTTTTCAAAAGCCAGCTTTGTTCACGTTTGCATTGTACCTACTATAGTCGTAGTGCAGAATTTCACAAATATCCTGACAAGATTTCCGTCACAGCGCGCTCACAAGAGGGTACTACAGTAACTTCAAAATGAATACTAGATTTGCTCTTGCAAAGAAAGGTGTATTTGTCCGAATTCATGGCTTAACGTTATGGAATTGCAACGCCTCGCCCAGCTTCATAGCTTCTTAAGCAACATGCACACATAACTTGAGCGGGTCGACAAGGGGATGTTCTCATGCATAGGTCTTAATCCCAGTCTTCTGTGACAAAGTTGGCGTCTGAGGCCACACCGGCGTGGGGGGCTGGGGCGGCTTTCGACTCCTTAATCACATGTGGGTCATCATTGTCGTCCCAGTCTTCCGTGACAAAATTGTTGTCGGCACGCACCGTGGACGACGATCTACAACAAACACCATACACTCAGTTTAGAGTGACTTAAGGGGATATAGCGTAAGATCGTATCCGCCCTACGGGGCGAGCTTGGGCGGGGACGACGACACCGCTGCCGTGGGCTTCTTCGGGAACTCGTCAGCGTCGTCGTCGAAATAGTCGCTCACGGGTTGTTTCGGAGCTGGTCGCGCGGGACTCGGCTCAAAGCGTTCGACTTCCGTGTCGCCGTCGTCCAGCTGTTTTGCCTCGTCGACGGACGAATTGTTCGAGTTTGAAAAGGACTCGACGCTTCGTTTGTTGTTGGTCCTGTCGAGACCCCCGTCAGCAAAATCGGATGTTATAAGTACCACGATGACGACACGCACTCGGAGACAGCACGAGGTGGCGGAGAAGTTTCATCGTTGGGGGTGGACCCACGGTGATAATTTGTGCCTAACGACGACGTCGTCACAACAAATCAGTCCAAACGTGGGTATGTCGTACTGTCGCTGGCTGAGGGTTGCTCTTGGTCGGTGGCGGCATGGCTGCTATATGATGACCCCATCAAGAAGACTATCATGGTGAAGTGTGTGACGTGGTGAACCTGGTTTTGGCATCGCCGCCATATTCGTCTTCATTGTCGTCGTCGTCGGACGCGTCCGAGTCGGAGAACTCGAGGGCATTCTGCGACTCATCCCGGGGCTTCAAATCTACTCTTGCCTCAACCATGTTTCACTGCCGTCAAGAACGTACCGAGCACCGACCCCCTCGGTTTCAACGCCGGTTTCGCTTCGGCAACGTTTTTAGTTACACTAGTCGGTTGTGAAGTTGACCAAATGAATGGTGTTGGATGATTACGTTTTTGTCTCGGCTCGGGGGGGAGGGGGCGAAGAAGAGTCGAGCTGTTTGGTTGCCAGTGGGGGTTCGTTCGCCACAGTAGTAGAAGAGGCATCATGATGCGGGGGACTCTGCTTGGCATGCGATTTTGCTTCACTTGGAGCTGTCTTGGCTTCGGGAGGGGGGTCATTCTTCACCGGAACGTACGGCACTGATGTCGATGCTTCCCGCGGTGCTAGTGCCTACAACGGTATGAGTGCACGCGGTCAGTGATCACAAAGGGAGCAGGTATGCTATACATTCGAAGACGCCTTGCTTTGCGAGTCGGTGTGCTCCACTAGTCGTGCTGTTGGTGAGTTTGGTAGATGACATGGTGGTGTAGACTTGAACAACAACTGTACAATGTGGTTTCGAAGTTGCGTGTCGGTCGGCTAGTCATAAAAGACGGCTACTTCAGCGAAAACAATGCTATGACATAACACACGATGATTTTACTTACCTTGTTTGGCGCTGTCTTGTGGCGGCGAAGCTGGTTCGGGGAAGCATAGTTGGCGCAAACTGTCGAGCCACATGCGATGCTCTGCCGCCGTCTCCCCTTTCAGACGCAACGTGCGCGTAGGCGAGACGATCTCAATCGCGTCCTAGAAACAACATTTATTTATGAGGGTGGAGGCCGGGGAAACGTACGGATTTGTTGATGATTTCAGTCACGTCTTCCAAGTAGATCCACCCTCGGACGTCGGTGGCTTTTCTGGTCAATACGACAACATGTGACGGCAATCAAAGAGCCTTTGGTGGTAGAGGAAAGCGTACTTGGACTTGAAATAGCTCAATGTCAATCTTTGGGTTTCGCTGGCATTGTTGACGGCTGTGACATTCACCTTGAACCATCGCTTGTTGCTCGTCCCAAAGAACTTGCCCTTGCTCTTGTACTTGGTCATCCATCCTTCCAAAGGAGTGATGTCGACGCCATGGTCTACATTGAAGCAGCATGAACGGAATGCCCATCCTAACCTCCATGACTGGCCTTCGAACGTACACACGTGTGGAGTCGGCATGGTTGAGGCGATGGGATTGTTTCAGATTTGGTGACGTTTCGAAACGATTCTTATCCGAGTGCTTCGGCTGTATTTATCCGGATAGGCCGGATACGAATGTCACCATATCGACAGGCCAATTTTAATTATTGCGCCGCTATCGTCCATCATGGAGGAAGAAAAGATCATGACCAGCGTGGCGGAACTGTATACGTCGCCACATGGATTGAATGCCATTGCGAAAGACATTGGATTGGGCTTGGAGATCCTCACCCCTCGCAAGAAGGTGAGCATCATGATCATCGGGAACCACAGCGCCGGCAAATCGTCGTTCATCAACTGGTACGTCGGGGAAGACATTCAACGCACGGGCGTGGCGATTGAAACCCAGGGTTTCACGCTTATCACGAGTGGTACCAAACGGACGTTGGCGCCGATCAAGGGCGAGTCCACGCTGATGCTGTACCCGCACTTGACGCCACTGTCCAAGCAGTTCGGCAAATCGCTCGTGGAGAACCTCGTGACGCACGTGAGCACGTCCACAGCTCGTCATTTCAAGGTCGTCGACTTTTGCGACACTCCCGGTCTTGTGGACGGGGACATCTCGTACCCGTTCGACGTGAACGCGGCGATCGTGGCCATGGCCGCGCACGCCGACTTGATCTTTGTGTTTCTCGACCCCATGGGCCAAGGTACGTGCGTATGTCGTTCGTTGGCGACACTTGTCCCCTTATCTATGTTCATAGCGCTGTGCAGCCGCACGATGCAAGTGGTGAAAGCTCTCAACCAGAACGGCCAGTACGCGGACAAGATGAAGTACTACTTGACCAAGGCCGACACTGTCACAGATTCAAAGGAAATGATGAAACTTATGGTGCAAATCACGCAAAACATCAAGGCAAACATTCAAAACCAGCACGGCCTCGAGATCCCTTCGATCTGGATCACCAAGTCTCGCCCAACCAACTCGCACCTCATGCCATCCACGTCTTCGACGACGTCTTCCCCTCAGTCCCCGTCGATGGACAGCCTCAACCAAATCGACGCCGTCTGCGAAAGCATCGAAAAAGCCATCCACCAAAAGGTCCAGGACAACCTCAGCCAAGTCGAGCGCGACTGCCAAGCTATCCGCACCGCCATCCGACGGTAGTATTGTGGTCGTTTTACCCGAACTATTTGGACTACTTTTGTGCTGATATGTACAACGTTGTCCTGTGGAAATTTGGGTGTATGTATTACAATATTATCACACTAATTTAAAGGCCCACATGGAATTCCATTTGGTTTTTATGCATCCTGATTGGCTCAATATATAATATTTCGGCCAATGGGGCTGTTGCTGTACAGTTTTTGATTGGTTGATTTATGATTTTCACTACAATATTGTCCAATCGAGATTCGACACTAGAGAATCGAATGTCGTAAGAGATTGGATGATTAAAGAGCCGCCTAAGCCAATCAAATTATCACGTTTTGGTGAATTTCTGTCAATCCAAGCGTTGTTTGACTCGACCCTATCCCTTCGAGCAAACCCATATATATATATATATATTATACTGATCGTTTCAACTAGTATCGTTTGTACAAGCTTCAATTGGACGATCAAACCGATTCGAATGCTAGCTAGCTATTTGGCGAAATGACTCCCAAGTCCAAATTTGGATGGAATGCTCAATACCCCGAACTATATATATATATATATATCGAAAGAGTGTTGTCGCTTGTTCTAAAATGTTTGGTGAATATAACCAACCCCCATATATCTATAGACGGTTGCTCACAGACGAACTCCAACGAGCGGCGAAACGGTCCAGACATGTTGTGGCCATGGGATTTGCGCTCACGGCGTGGGTCCTTCCCCTCGTCACGTTTGTCATTTTGGTGGTATATATATATATATATATTTGCTTGTGGATAAATCATGATGGATTGATGTCATGTATATATATATATATATGTATATGGGATGTAGGGCGAGTACAAGAAGGCGTTGCCGAGCGCGATTTTGGATGCGGATGTAGTCATGTCGTTCGTCGACGCGACGCACGACACGCTTCGACCGATGGTGCTGGCGGACGGACCGCTGGGACTGCTAAGTACGCTCAAGTTGGTCGGAGGGTCCTGTGTGTTGTTTGTGCTGTTGAACGCTGTCGCAGAGGTATGTATTTTGAATGTGCGACTATTTATTGAAATACAATTATTTTTACTAGTATTGTCTATTTGATACAAATTTGGGGACGGGGTGCAATCGAATCGTTTGGACCAAACCGATCTACAATCGATCTGATTGGTTGAATTTCATTGAGAAATGGGTTTTGATTGGCTAATAATTTTGAGCTCAATCTGAAGTAGCCAATCAAATCGATTTAAATTCCAACGAGAAACCACGCCACAACACAATGAAATTTCACTCGAAAGCACAATATCAATTAGAACTATTTTTGTGTGGGTGTCGACTATTATTATTCATGTACCTGGTAAAACATTGTTTTTTTGTTCGAGTCTACAAACGATGGGTTTTGTGGGGATTGTCTTTTATATAATATTTATTGTCTTTCTTTTACCTGAAATGTGGACGTTTATGCTGATGATTGTTTGCCAACTCGATCGACGATACTTTGACTTTTGTATGTCAAAATGGTCCAGTGTCACACTAATTACATTCACACACGAATTCGAGGTGGATTTGGATCATTTGATTGGCTACTGGATTCGTGATCTGGGTTTTGATTGGTCGTATATCGATTGACTGTTGATTTGATGGTGATTCTGCTCGATCGATTGACCACCCAAACACTGGCAATTTTGAATATATCGACTTGACAACTATTACTAACAATCGGTGAATAGTTTATCAAGACACGGATGAAGCGATTCGACACGCAAAGCAACGACGTGGTCGCGCGATGGAAGTAGGCATATTAACATTTGTAGATGAATTCACAATACGTGTAGGAGCTACGACCACGTGTTGGACGACGTGCTGGAGCGCCGGTTGGGTATGCGACGACGTCCATGATCGCGATGTCTCATATATGTTTGGTCTGTGTAGAGTTGTTCAAGGAATACGTGCGGACGTACACCAGTGCCGACAATATATAAAGTTAACAAAACGTGTACTGGTCCAAGCCAGTTGAGTTAACAAAACGTGTACGGTTTCTCGTCGTCGTATCGTTATATATCATACTGCAGTGTCGTCGTGGTTGCTCCTTGGGGCAAACAACACGAACGACGGCCGCGGAGGCTTTTGAAATCGCAAAAATACATGCAGGGCCGCGGAAAACCCGAGAAGCGCGATGCACATGTGGGTGCCGCAGACGTAGACGCCGGTCGAGATGGACAGGCCCTGGGGAAAGAGCATGGCGTTGGGCGGCGCTTGGAGCTTCATGGCGAGCATGATGAGGCCAGCTTCGAGGGCGACTTGGAGGGTGCGGCAGCCCATGGACCACAACGGCATGATGAACGAATCGGCTTCGGCGATGGCGCGGTACGCAGAGTACAGCGCCATCATGCTGAGGAGGAGGGATACGAAAGACAGACTCTGCATGGACGCGACGCGCTTGCACAGGTCCGTGCGATGCGTCGCACATACGTCTTTCCAAGGGAAGCACGACGACGTGGTGACAGAAGTGTTGTCGATGTTCGCTAATGCAGTACGAGTTGGAACTACATAATGAACGCGGTGGATGGACGTACATATGGATATGCAATAGTTCCACGTGGACACAGTCCACCTCATGGTAGGCATGGGGCGAGCTACGAGGGGAATGATACTCGGTAGCGACGACACGAACGGATTGAACACTGACGACACGTCGTGTCGACGAGTATGGTTTGGATGGAGTGTCGGCTCCGTCCATTCCTGCGCAAGCCAGGGTGTGGACGAGTTGGAATAGATGGTGATAAACATGAGGGACAGCACAGATAGGAAGAGAAGCGCGGCTTGCTCATGTGGCCACGTCCATCGGCACCACGTTGGCAACCGACTTGGCATGATGATTGCCAGTTGAAAAAATGTGTGCAAGAAGATCCAATGCCATTAGTGGCATGTGTATTTTATAATCTTGGTGTTTGTATTAAACGTGTCAAAAACGCCATTTAAAAACATCATTCTCGTTGAAAAGGCACCAAAACGTTGGGGATCATCAAGATCACAATCGCATTTCCTTATATACTCACTGGACCGACGACGACAATGAAGGACGAGCGGACAAATGCGCGCAAAGAATGCGAGATCCTGGTCCAGAACATCGCGCAGTCGCATGCGCGTATGGCCCCTGGCATCCAAGTGGCCATCGAGAATCAATGGGACAATGACTTTTCAGGTACAGTGCACACGTCCACAATCGGCGTCTCATCGGACGACCATTAGAGTGCCTGCGTGCGTTCGTTGCGGAGAAAGAGGAGGAAATCCGTGGCGTGTGCAGTTCGCATTACCAGGAGTTTGTCCAGTCGATCGAGGACATTGTGCAGATCAAATGCGACGTGAACGATCTGCAGGTAGGGGGACATGTCGTCAGGGAGTCACACGTCGAACAATAATGTACGTAGGCCCATATTGACAAGTACCACAAGGAGCTCGTGGACGTCACGACCCCCCTCGTCCAAGGGAACGACATGGTCGTGGCCTGCCGCAACATCCGTCAGAACATTGACACTTCCATCGAACGTCTGCAGCAGTGCCAGCGCATCGTACGACGTTGTCGACAATCATGATGTGTACTTGCTTCACACATGCTGCGACAGGTCGAATGCACGGCCAAGGTGGACAAGTACATCCACGCCAACCAACTCTACCACGCGCTCAAGGTCCTGGACACGATCAAAGTCGACGTCTCGAGCTTCCGCGTACCGTTTCTCCCCTGTTTCCTCCCCACACATGACATTCTCCCAGGGCAACCACTTTGCCAAGCGTGTGAACGACTGGATCGCATCCACCATGACCCATCTCCGTGCGCTGACCATGAAGAACACGTCCACGTGGCTCGAAGACATTCGAAATGCCGCCAGTGTACGCACGTCGTATCCCAGGCAGATTAGTCGTCGATACATTGCACTTGCATGGGGTTGTGTCTTCTTTATATTCTTGTACTGTATCGCATACTACCATACATTGCACTTGCATGACATTGCCTTCTTTATATTCCTCCCCCCACCTCATGCTCCTATTCGTGTCGTGAGCTAGTCCATTGGTGCGCAAGCCATGAAGCGCGGCGACGAGGCCATGCCACCGCGTCTGTCGTCGGACGAGTCGGGGGGACTGCATCTGCCGTCGTTGGAGGAGCTGAGTCTCCACGCCCAGAACATCCGAGCGACCAACGCCCTACATGCCGACTACTGCCAGCAAGCGCTAGCCCTGCTCGCCCCCATGCTCCGCACGCTCCACGTGTACAAGTACCTGCACACGACATCGGAACTCGCCAAGTTTTACAACACCAATCGAATGGTAACACTTTACAAATATATATATATTGTCCATTTACCCCAATCGAATGGTATCACTTTACAAATATATATATATTGTTTGTTTGTCCATTTACCCCAATCGAATGGTATCACTTTACAAATATATACATATATTGTCCATTTACCCCAAATTTTTTGGACTTTAGTACTGCTTCGCCAAATCTATCGATCGATTTTTCGTACGGACTTTTGAATGTAAAAATCGTCCAGTGTCACACTAATTTCATTCACACACTATTTCGATGTAGAATTGGTCGAATGTGAGTGGATCATTTGATTGGCTACTTGATTCGTGATCTAGGTTTTGATTGGTCGTATATCGATTGTCTGTCGATTTGGCGATTGCATTTCGAATCGACTTGACAATATATATATATATATATACATTGTGTTGTTACTGCATTCACGCCCTGTTGTATATATTTTCATCAATCATCGCGGTAACTAACTGCACCTGATCGTACATATGAATGCAGCCGCAACTCCAATTCTCGGCCTTCATCTCTGGAGACATTGGCACGATCTCGGCCGACAAGTTTGCCGCCCAGGTACTACGTCCTCGCTCTTGTGTATATTGATTGCTTTATAGCAAGCCAAATGGATAATAATATCCTAAATTATGAATATATTTACTGATATATAAATCGATGCATAGCACGACGACATGTTCAAGCGACTTGTGGGCACGTTTTGCATTGAAAAGCTCCTCGCCGTCTACTCGAACGAGAGCTTGTTGTCGAAAAAGGAGGTAAGAACGCACATATTCTCGATTTAAAGATGATCAGTCGTTGATATTATCTATGCTAATCTCTAAAGCATGAACGAATCAAACTCGTTCGTGTATACTATAGTATGTACTATTGGTAGTATGGTTGCTGCAAACTCATTATATATGCGTCATGTTGAATCCAAATATAAATCTGATGCTGATTTTATTCAATTACAATTGAATAATACAAAACACAAAATGTACTAGTACAATTATATAATTGTCATATACATTATTCACTATAATATATATATATATATATATATATGTTTCAAGTGTACAAAACCAAGCGCGATGCCAGTATTGTGATGACAACTACAGTAACTATCTATATATTTCAAGCTTCAAATTATGAACAGAGTTGCGTTCACTATATATTTCATGTTAGAGTTGCCTTCACTCAACCTGCGTCTACTTCTACAGGTGAACGCAGCCTGCTTGTCAGTGCTCCAAAGCCTCAGCGGACTCATGATGGCACTGACGCTCAAGTTGCAATCCCCCAAAGTGATTGTCGACATCAAGCGAAATGCGACACTGTGCGCGCGCGCGCTCGGCGACGACGTCCACCAGTTTCCCACGTCCATTCTACTCGATGCATTCCGGGGCATGGGCGACTTTTACCGCAAGAAGATCCGAGTCCACATAAAAGTGTATGTAGTTGATTTGTATTCGTGGATGATATAAATTATATTATTTTTCCAATCATGTTGTAGTAAACTGCGCGAATTTCTCCTCCAAGACACGTTCCAGCAAGTCCAAGCCACGAAAGCCAACTACGTGGACGTACGTATTGTCATTCTTTTACTAGAATTTGGTTGATTTTTGTGCGGATTCTTTGCCAAATCTATCAATATATCAATTCTTTGACTTTTGCATGGAAAGAGTGTTACACTAATTTCAATCACACACTAAATCGATGTTGCATTAGTCGAAAGGTGGATTTGATTGGCTAGTGGATTCGTGTTTTGTGTTTTGATTGGTCGTTTATCGATTCTCTGTCGATTTGGAAATTCTGGTCACACACCTGCCTCCAATTTCGAATCGACTTGAACAATATTATGTCGTGCTGGGACTCGTAGTGGATCTCTTGACTACTGGGATTGTATTTAATTATTGTCGATTGGATATACAGATTTGGGGAGGGGGTGCAATCGAATCGCGCCGACGAAACGATCCACAATCGATCTGATTGGTTGAATTTCATTGAGAAATGGGTTTTGATTGGTTAATAATTTTGAGCTCATCTGAAGTAGCGAATCAAATCGATTTAAATTCCAACCAGATACCACGCCACAACACAATGAAATTTCACTCGAAAGCACAATATTAATCGTTTTTCCATTCCAATTTGCCACCTCGGGTGTATGTTGTGGAACTGAACTTTATATATATATATCTACTATCTGATATCTGATATATATTTATATACTAATATATTCTACAAATATATTCACGTGATGTTGTAGTATTTGAAGCTCTGTGGACTGGACAAACAAAGCGACGACTTTCTTCGCACGGCGGATGCCAAAGGAAATATTTACCTTCCGTTCACTGCGGTATATATATATATACCGATATATACCGATATATATATGAATTTATGCTCCTTCACGAAATACACAGCATCTAGTCACCAACTGGATATATATATATATATATATATATATATATATATAAATGTTGTAGGTCGTGCGACGTAGCTGTGAAGCCATCCACGAAATGATCGACATGATGTTTGAATTCGAACGGTGCGTTTCTACATATGCCCCCATGGTCCAGAATATATCAATGCATATATATATATATATATCATATCCTATATATCATATATATATATATACAACGATGATATTGTTGTAGTCACTTGGATATTGCGGACTGGGGCTACTTTGTGCGCGAAGACACGTGCGAAGCATTGATCGAATTGAACGTCGTGTTGAACGAGCTCATTGAAAGCCACTCGGACTTGCAAATTTCCCAAGTACGACACCAACTAATCAACGAATATGCCTTTATTAGTTGTGGTAGGCTGTGATCACAGGCGCCAATTCGAGCTATTTGTCTGGTGCGTGCGATGTGTTTGGCGCGGTGTTGCACGACAAAATCGACTTGTGGGAACGACGAGCAGTGGCGATGACGACAGCGGCGGCGGCGGCGCAGGTAGTTTTACGAAGATACCATGTCGGGTCTAATGGCAGGGTGGATGGCATGAGTAGACGGCCAAAGGACAGTCATGTGGCGGAGCTCGAGCGTCGTTGACCATTGCCATGGCCAAGAAAAGGTACTTTTGATAGGTTTTTGCATTGAGCACAACGATCATATCGATGCATGTTAGATTGGAAAGTACGTCCACACGGGCGCAAGACATGGTGTGCGAGATCATGGTAATCATATAAATATATATATATATATATATATATATATATATCACTGGCCAACGACGATATGGCTGGGACGGCATGTATTTATATATATATCAAAGGCGATGGATTGTGGTGATGCTGTGAATATTATTGACAGGTCAAGAAGATCGACGATTTGATTGGGTCGTTTTACTTTTTGGAGTGGGTCCCAGCTGAGCCAACCAAGCAGGCGGACCCGTGCATGAGTGACCTGATCAACTACCTCCAAGTACGACATCATCACACCCGTTTGGTTCGCTATACTTGTATTATATAATAATATGGCTCGCTCTCCAACCATATCAGGCGTCATTTACTCAACTGAATACGCTGCCAGTTCCGATCAAAGAAGCAGTGCACTTTGCATCGTGTATCCACATCAACAAGGCTTTGGAGCAGGTGCTCGTAGGGCCCACGGTCAAGAAGGTCAACGTCACTGGCATTCTCAACTTTAAGCGCAACTTGGGTTTGTACATTATGATCGCTTGTTGATTGATATATGTGATCGTATATATATATATATATATTGTAGATGCGCTGGTGCAATACGCTGGCACGTGTGGCGTGGGGCAGCTGAAAGACTGCTTCATGCCCATGACCCAGTTGGTGGACTTGATCGTGTCGGACGACCTGGAGCGATTGGACCACACCACGTTCAAGTGCGTTGGGTCCATTCATTTTCGTGATTTTATCCATATATCTTCACACTTTGCCTTGTACTTTATCATATATGGTGGTGTGTGTGTATATGTTGGTAGAAGCGGAGGCAAGTACACGCATGTGATGCCCGACCACGTCGTGGCCGTCGTGGAAAAGTTCAAGGAAACGTCCGTGGCGGCGGCGGCGGCGGCATCGTCGTCCATGTTCTTCAAAAGCAACAAGTCCAAAGCAGAAACCACGGTCGGACTCAAGAAATCAGTGATCGACGCCGTGCTCAAACAGCTCAAGACCATTGGACCCATGCACAAATAAATATACCGACAAGAATATAATATGCATTGTCATAGTGGTTGAATGCGGAAAATCATCCATATGTCGTTGGACATCTGGTTATTGTGTTGGAAGCAGCAATGGACGGGTAGTCGCCAAGTGGGGCATGAGTGTCAGCTGGGGGTATTGCAATAGCAGCTACAATGATAACAACATATAAAGTTTTGCCTATTCAACGATATATATATATATATATTGTCTAGTCGATTCGACATTAGTGTGACACTGCACGCATTTTACATACAAAAGTCAATACTTCGAAGTACTACAAAGAATCGATCGATAGATTATATGGCGAATCAGCACAAAAGACCACATTTGGGGTAAAAACGAATATCAATCTGTTGTACGTACGTGATCAAGTTGCAGAGCAACATCACGTTGCTGAGCTTCGAATTGGGCAAACGCGGTGGCGTCCATCGCAATGTCGATCCACCGCCCACAGTCGTGTAAGCTCGCAGGACGAGTGTACGACTTTGCAGCTGGATTCTGCAGCAACTTGTCGGCAAACTCGCGTTCTTGCTTGGTCCGGGCGTACAACCGCAGCCCATTGAGCACTTGACGCTGGCAGTCGACAAACGACCACTTGTCGGTGATGGCGCGGTCGATATCTTGCTGCAGCACCCGCACGAGGCATCTGCGGGTGTGGAACAACTTGCCGTCCACGAGCAGCGGCCTCTGCGGTTTCGAAGGCGGCGCGGGGGCCGCCGCCTCCACGGTCCGCGCGCTGGGCTGCTTCTCGAGTCTCCCAAAGTCTGTTGGATTTGACGATGTATGGGAGAGTTGCCACCACAACATGCACACTTGCAGGATCGTCGCGACTTGATTGGACACTCGAGACGCGTCTTGTGGGGACGTAGCTGGCATGGAAATCAAATTCGGCACCCACACAATCGCCAAACTGTGGGCGTTCATCATGTTGAGCGTGTGCTTGTCTACAACTTGACACCAGTGCTCGACGAGCCACTCAAAGATCTGCCGCGCCTGGTCGCACAACGGCGCCAAGAACGTGCGTACGGCCAAGTCTAACGTGTCCAAGTCATTGCAAACCAAAGCCACGTCGGTGCTGCCCGCAGGTTGCGTGACGAGCGCGGCGAGGGCGGCGACGGACGCGTCGACGCTGCAGCATGGGGCCAGCAGCGGTGTTGGTAGCTCTCGAAACCAGCACTTGATCAAACTCGACAGCAAGTAAGGGTCCCCTCGCTTGGAAGGTCCGTCGAACATGCCTGTGTTCAGCGCCAATTTGGCCGCCTGGATTTGGCCGTGATCGGGGGATGACCGATAGATGTATTTGGCCGTGATCCCCGCGTCCCCCAGTTCGCGCCTCAGCATATGCAGCAGCGCTGGCACGAGGTCGTCGGGGTGCTTGGTACTGCATCGCATCTGCGACAGGGGGATCCCAAAGTGTTTGTGGAGCGAGTCGAGTGATACCGGCACGCCTTCGTACTTGGCGTCAAACGTGTTGTATCGCACACACACGTCGTGCGCGACTTGGAAGGGTGTCCCCACAAACGTCGTGGGGGCCGAGTGGGTGGGGGACGCAGGGGGGGATGGAGGTTTGTCCGACACGATCTGTTCGACTGCAAAGCGCTTCACTTCTACATGCACCACCGGCTCTATTTCGGGCTGGAGTTGTTCGCTCGTGGGAGGCAACACGGCCGCATCCGAGGCATGCTCTAGAATTGCACCGACAGCATCCTGGGCTTTGGCTACGTCTTCCTCCACAGGTGGCACACTCGTACTGGGGGGGGGGTCGTTGGCTGTCATGTCGGGCAAGTTGGCGACATGTGATTCGTTCATAGCATTGCCAGGCTGGTCGAGGACGCTTAAACGATCGTCGATTGGGGTTTCGATGTGTTGGGGCTCGGGAGGATGTTGGGCACCATAGGAATCATCGTAAACCACTGAATCGTGCGACATCGCGTCGTCACTTGGGGGAAGAAGACCCATTTTGGTCACCATCTCATGAGTGCTGCAGTTGTTGACATTGACATCCGATGAGTCAATCGGCTTGGTCGTTGATTCCTCCTCGACGCCATCGTTGTCATCGTCTAGAGTGTCCACCGTCGCAGGCTCCATGGACGAAGCCCTGGCCAGCGTAATGAGGTCGTCCATCGCGTCAACGTCGCTCACGGCACTCGACGACGCTTCCAGCAGGACGTTGACTTCGTTGTCGTCGTAGCCGTCGTCGTCGTCGTCGTCATCATCAGGGGGAGGTACCATGGCCAACAATCGGTCCAACACGACTTCAGGCACGTTGCAACAATCCGATCTCGATCCTTCGTGGTTGTCGTATCCCAAGATGTCGCACACCTCCAACTGATCGTCGTCCTCTGCGATCGAAGCGGACTGGGCGACGTGGATGAGGTCGTCCAACGTCGAGGCATTCGATTGCCCCAGAGACTCGGGGATCGTGGGCATGGAAGAAGAAGAAGGGGGGTGGTCTGCGTGGAGTGGAGTAAGAAGTCGCTCGGGCCCTTCGTGCAAGTTGCTCTTGGATCGGAGCAACACCCCGCCAACACCGCCCGATACGACGCGAGGAATGTCGCGCCAGCACGTGATGAACGGATGCGCTAGACACGCCGTGGCCGTGGGGCGCTCCGTGGGGGACTTTGTCAGGCAGTACTGCAAAAAGTGCGAAAAGTTGGCCGACCAGTCTTGCGGCTGCTTGAGTCGCGGCGGCGGGTTGCGCGGGATTTGAATCAGGACACGCATGGGGTGCTCGTCGAACAAGGGGGGGCGCTGGTCAGCGAGTTCGATCGCCGTGATACCCAACGACCAAATGTCCGCCTTGTAGTCATAGTTGCAGTCTTGGATCATTTCTGGGCTCATCCAGTAGGGCGTGCCCACAAACGTGCCCCTAAAAATCAAAACGAGTAGTGTCACCGTTGAACACGACAATAATGGTATAAATACCGTCGAGATAACGTGTCTCGCAGTTGCGCTGATACACCAAAGTCAGCAATCTTGACGTAGCCATCGGTGGTTAGAAGAATGTTGCCCCCTGGTCCCATAAACATATACAGTAAGTACTGTACGTCCTCGTGAATGACATGGAATATGGACTACCTTTGACATCGCGATGGATTTTCTTCTTGGAATGCAAATGCGCGAGTCCTTCCAACGCCCCACGCATGATGACGGAAATCTCTTGCTCGCACAACCTGCGCTGGCGCGAGATGTCGCCGACGGATCCGCCTCCACAGTACTCCATCGCGATCCAAAGCGCGCCTTCTTTGTAGTACGCCCCATAAAATGCCACGACGTTTGGATGGTCGCATTCGCGTAGGAACTCAATTTCTCGACGGACGTTGTCCACGTCCTCGCCATACTGCCCAGGCTTTAACGCGATCTGGATGACTTTGAGCGCCGCTTCCTTGCGGGTGCTTCGGTAGCTTGCGCGGAAGACTTGTCCGAACGCCCCGGCGCCTTCGCGCGAGTGGATTTCGAAGAGTTCTTCGGGGTCGCCCACGCTCAACCCCAACGATTCTAGCGACTGCTCAACCGACATGATGAAATGGCGTGCCTCTATAAGATACCAAATAATTCCAGCCTAGCATGGTGGATCCAAGACCTCTCATTTTAGATAAACCTTTGAGTCTTGATGTATGAAAATGGATATGATTGGCGCAAAACCCGCCTAGTTTTAGCAAAAGGAACGCATTTGATTGGTGGATAAAATTCGACACCCTATTTTTGAAATTTTGAACAGGAGTTTCACGAGCGCAATCAACAGCAGATTGGGAATGGCATCGCCAGGAAAGCGGGAGCGCGAAGTGCTTGAAGGACTCGTTCATGGAGACGGAACTAGGGAAGAAGACGGCGGCGAGTGTGCCCCGCCAGCAAAGAGTCCGAAACTAAGCATCAAGGACGGAGGCCCTCGACCGGGACAGGCGGCGCCACCTTGCAAAATGAACCGATTTGGGTTTGGACTGCTTCCACCCAAGCCCATCGTCGTTGCCGTAGCAGGGGTGACAAGTTCTCGCGAGTCCAATCAAGACGAGAACGAAAATAGGACCGCGAACACCATCGTCGAGGAGGTCAAGCCGCCGACAAGTCAATCCCTCACGTTGGAATTCGACATGACGACCGCACAGAGGAACATTGTCACCACGAAACCATTGACGTCGAACCCCAAGGGCCGGGCGGGATCGGGGCCAAAATCCGCTGGGTCCATTCCCAAACCAGCGACTTCAATCCCGAAGGGTGCGAAGCGAGGCTCGGCGCTACCGCAGCCGCGTGCACTTGTGAAACCCCGGGTTCGGCGGACCACGATTCCTCCTCCATCGAGCAAGCAGAGTGCCGCAGAGGTTGTGGCCATTCCCACGACGTCAGACATGCATCGTCCGTCGGCCGAGGACTCGAGCAATGTGGGCTTTGAATTGAGTCCCAAGGAATCGTTTGTCGCGCTTATCAAGGACAAAATGAGCGTGGTCAGTCAAATCGACGACGCGATCAAGTTGAAGCGATCGAGGCTCAAGCCACACGACTGGCGCGGCAAGTTTGACGAGCAAAAGGCGACTTTGCTCGACATGCGGGCGCTGCTTCGCCGCGTCGTGGACGAAGTACGTTGTCACGTATATGTCGTCGTGTTTGTTACCACTACCTCTGCGTAGGCCAAACAACTCGAACAAGATGCGTTCAAGATGGACCAAACCATCGCCATGGACCGAAAGGTGCTTGAACGCGAACTCGACCACGCCAACGAGCGCAACCAGCGGGTCGATTCCATTGCGCACGAGGTTCAATCCAACATCACAGACATGCAAGTGACCATCGGCAAGCTCAAAAGCGAAAAGGACCGGCTCACGTCCGAGCTGAACGACGCTCGGACGAAGCTCCAAGGGGCCACGGACGTCCATGCCCAACTGGTCGAAGCCCAAACGTCGCGGGACCAGGCCAAACTTGAGTTTGATCGACACGTGGCAGCGCTGACGAGCGAGAATCATGCGCTGCAGGGTCGGCTAGACACGCTAGAGCAAGTCCACGCGTCGGAGAAAGCCACGTTAAGTCGCAAGAACGACGAAGTGTCGACCATGTTTGCCAGTCTCAAGCAAATGCTCGACTTTGCCACGTCTGCCAACGTCAAACTCGAGGCAGACAACACCCAACTGCGCGCCAAGACAACCGACGTCGACGCGCAGATCAAGGACTTGGAGACCAAGTACACGGCCGCGAGCACGTCGTTGCGCCACGTGGAAGCGGAGCTGCAGGTAGTTACAATATCTAGGACCACACAATGAGAGTGCTGGCTGTACGGCTGCTACCACTAACCATGTTTGTTTTATGATGATGGCCGAACTTGTATGATGTTTCAAGAGTCGAATTATGACGAGCCTTGGCTTGTTAGTTGTAGTGGCTCCATTGGATGATAGACGATGTGTTGTAATGTAGGCATGTCGTGCCGCCAAGGACGAAGCGGTGGCGCTCGTGGCGGAGAAGTCCGAGCTAGTGCGCGTCGTGTCGGCCGAAGTGCACGAGCACATTCGGCAGGCGAGTGTGGAGAAGGAGCTGCGGGTGCACACGGACGCGCAAATGCGCGAGTTACGCGTGGAGCAGCTGGCCACGAACGCGCAGATGGAAGCGGTGAAGGCCGAGATGAAGCACATGAGCGAACGACACGCGGACAAGCTCGGTGCGGCCACTGCCGCGCTCGAGGCGATGGAAGCCCAGCTCAAAGCTGACGCGGCAGCGCACGCGGCGGCTGTCGACAAGCTCCGCGAGGTGACGGTGAGCCTCGAGAGCGAACTGCACACGTGGCGCCTCAAGGAAGCCGACAACACGATGGTCGAAATGACGGCGTTGGTGGACGCCAAGCGAGAGGCGGACGTGCTCAAGCTCCGGCTCAAGGAACTGAACCACCATGGCACGCAGAGTTTGCACGAAAAGGATGCGCGGATCGCCGCCCTCGAAGCCAAACTCAAGGATGGCGAGGTCCAACGGCGCAAGATGCACAATACGATCCAGGAACTGCGCGGCAACGTCCGGGTGTTTGCACGCACGAGGCCGTTCCTGCCGTCCGACGGCACCGGCGCCGTGTCGGCACTCACGTGCGACGGCGACCTCCAGTGTGTGACACTGAAACGCGACAAAGAAACGCACGCGTTCACGTTTGACAGAGTGTTTGCGCCTGTGAGTGGCCAAGACGCTGTGTTCGAGGTACGCCCGATGCATATCTTGTCACATGAATGCGTATGCGACGAGGTGGAAGTGAAGTGTTGGCTGTGGGCGACATCTGCTGCTGCTACAGTAGCTACGTTGTGAGTGTTGGTTTGAGGAGGATGATGGCATGTATATGGAGGTTATGATGACGCTGTGTGCCGTGTGTATATGTGGGATGAGAATATGGTATTGTCGTTTTACCCAACATTTGGACTTGTGTGCGGATTCGCCAAATGTATATGTGTTTGGTGTCACACTAATTAAAGTCACACACTAATTTGACGTTGACTAATTTGACGTTGTTGTTAGCTTCCTGCAATCTGATTGGCTGAATTCTTCTGTGTGTCGATTCTTAAACACAACAATAGGAAGTGTCGGAGTTTGTGCAGTCGGCAATCGACGGGTACCAAGTGTGCTTGTTTTCGTATGGGCAAACGGGCTCGGGCAAGACCCACACGGTACGTCCGTGCCTGCGTGCATAGACGCTGTCGCATACAACGGGAATATCAACTATCCCTGCGACGTGGTTGAACGATTGGATATGTAGATGCAAGGCAGTGGCAACGGCCACATGCGCGGGATCATTCCTCGATCGATTGAGAAGATCATGGCCGAAGTGACCAAGAGCGAGGCGCAAGGGTGGCGCTACGTCATGCATGCGTCATTTCTAGAGATTTACAACGAGACAGTGCGGGATCTGCTGGCAGACAAGGCGGACAAGAAACTCGTGCTCAAGATGGACCCAAAGAACGGCCAGAACGCCGTGATGGTGCAAGACCTGACCCTTGTGACCATCGACAGCTTGCATCAAGTGGAAGGCCTGATGGAGAAGGCGGCGCGGGTGCGAAGTGTGGCCTGTACAGACATGAACGCGCAGTCGTCGCGGTCCCACAGCGTGTTTTCGCTGCATTTACGAGGTCGGATAGGAAATATATGATGCGATGTGGGGAGAGAGTCACGTGTGTAGTGTAGGCGTGAACGACGCGCAAGGCACGGTGCTCGAGGGCAAGTTGAATCTGGTCGACTTGGCCGGGAGCGAGCGGCTGTCCAGGTCTGGGGCCACGGGCTCCCGACTCAAGGAGACCCAAGCAATCAACAAGAGCCTGAGCTGCCTCACGGATGTGTTTGCCGCCATTGGCAACAAGAGCCCCCATGTACTGCATACGTCTATATAGCCCAAACTACTATGTACTACTGACACGTTTAGATTCCATTCCGCAACTCCAAGTTGACATATTTATTGCAAAGCTGTCTCTCGGGGGACGGCAAGACCCTCATGATGGTATTATTATGTCGTACCTAGACCCGTGGTTGATATATCGATGATGGCAAATATTTGATATATCGATGATGGCAAATATTTGATATATCATCATGCGTAGGTGAATCTGTCGCCGACAGTCGAGTCAGCCCATGAGAGCTTGTGCTCGCTGCGGTTTGCACAACATGTGAACCAGTGCGAGTTGGGGAAACCCAAGCGCCAGCTCAAGAAGAAGTCGGACGAGGACGCAGTAGTGTAGGGGGTTAACTGTTAACCAAACGGAATGATTGTCGTGTAAAAGTGCAAAGTACTGTGTATAATATATCTTGATTTTACTATGGCATAATAGGAACAGAAGTAATAATGTCGTACGATATACTAGTAGTACTATGCAGTATACAAGATTCCATAGAGTTTCGGGTACCACTGTAGAGTACGTCGTTGTGTGTGCGGAGAAGCAAAGTAGAAGACCCGTGTGGACATGACAGCGGACGAAGAAAGGTTGGTGAAGAGTCGGAAGAGGTGTGCCGTCAATCAGCGCAAGTATCGAGCCAAGCTGCAGATCATCGACAACCAACGGCGCATGAACATGGACGAGCTAAGCCGCGTCAACCAAAGGCTGGAAGGACACATTGCAGCGTCCATCGACCGTCGGGGTCTTTGGTGTCATGCCGAAGAGCAGTCCATCTTGGAATATCTTCGGCTATTTGAGCGCGGGTACACGCAGTCTGAGCGCCAGGATTCGTTCCTCCGCTACTTCGTCGCTCCAGATGTGTGCTTCAATGGACTCGTAAGGACATCGTACGCACGCATATTGCTGACGGTGCTAATCGGGTTTGTTGTATAGATTGGCGTGGAAGGCGTGAAGTCGTACTGGACAACTCGCAGCTCCAGGCTAACGTTTCTGCATGTGAAGTACGTGCGATTGACTCCAGTAGCCCACACCTCCGAGGGGACGACGGTGGAAATGCATTGCGTTATCGAAGTGGCGTTGGCGTCACCGACCGTCGCCGCCATGTTCCCGCACGTTGTCCGTCGGCCCGACCTCGTCGACAAGCTGCTGAGCGCGCCGCTGCACATTCCCCTACATGCCACATATGTATTCGACGACAACAAGCAAGTGTCGTGGCAGTCTTGTGTGCCGAATCTCGTCCAAGCACTATACACCACGTTTGGCAACTTGAACGACGTCGTGGCTGCCACTTCGTCGAGCGCAGCCATCCACCCCGACGTGAAAGGGCAAAGCGACTCCCAACCAGCGTGATCTCCACGGAGAAGATTCATGTACTGGACGTGGATATGGGAGATGGAGTCAAAGGATGAACTAGCATAGCTAATGCGAGCAGTCAAGTACTAGTATATACTGCTCGGTCCCTCGTTGAAGGTGATGCGAACGAAGCCATGAAGTCGGATTTTCATTTATGTGGTAGTTTAAATAATTGTTAAATCTACTTGAAGTACTACGTATTATTATTGGGGTCCTTTTACCCAAAATTTGGACTCGAGTGCTGATTCGCCTAATCTATTGATTGATTCTTTGAATTGTCCAGTGTCACACTAATTTACGGTAAGACAATTCGATGTTGAAATGGTCGAATAGTGGATTTGATTGGCCACTTGATTCATGTTCTCGATTTTGATTGGTCAATCGATTGACTTTTGATTTGGTGATTGAGCACCCCACTCCAATTTCGAATCGACTTACTGTTAACAATAATAATAGTACTGTACTACGGTACGTACCACTATGAAGTAAGTCTTACTGTACGTAGTAGTACTTGACTATGAGTAGTAATTACTCCGTACTACTACGTAGTAATAACTAACGTTGTGATCTGGGTTTTTAAATGAATTTCGTTTATTGTGCTTTCGAGTGAAATTTCGTTGGAATTTAAATCGATTTGATTGGCTACTTCAGATGAGCTCAAAATTACTAACCAATCAAAACCTTCTCAATGCAATTCAACAACCAATCAGATTTATGGTCGGCGCGATGCACCCCCAAATTTGTATTAAATCGACAATAAAGAATTGATAAATCAAGATTGATGAGTGCTAGGTTATCACACTATTTAAGGTGCAAGTAATTTGACGTTTTGATTTTTGCTTGCTTCTCCTGTACGTGTAAGTGTGAGGTTGTCGACGATGGCGGGCGGCAAAGCAAAAGGAACGAGCCTCCGGAGCGAGAAGCGGACGACCCGCATCGACAAGGATGTGAAGAAGGTGTCTGCCACGAACAAGTTGCTGTCGTACGCGTACGACTTGCTGTGGAGTTATCGGTACTTTCACGTCATCGTGGCGATCTTGTTGGCCGTGGAAGTGGTGCTCGGCGTGCTGATCATCCAAAAGATCCCCTGTAACCATACGATTATGTTGATAGCACTTGGGTAGACTGCTCAGTCACCGTCGTCGTCTTCGTAGACACGGAAATCGACTGGAAAGCCTACATGCAGCAAGTGACTCAGTTCAAGAATGGCGAGCGCGACTACCTCAACATCCGCGGCGACACTGGGCCGCTGGTTTACCCTGCCGGGCACGTATACATCTACTCCATCTTGCACTGGGTGACGAACAACGGCCAAGACATTCGTCTCGGTAGGTCTCCCATCCTTCAAGTATGTCGTACCTACATCTCCCTCGTTGTTGTTAGCTCAGTACATCTTTCTCGGATTCTACTTGATCACGATTTCCGCGATCTTTGCGATCTTTTACCGCTCGCGCGTGGCGCCGCCGTGGACCGCAATCTTGGTGTGCACGTCAAAGCGATTGCATTCGATTTACATGCTGCGCCTCTTCAACGACGGCATCGCCATGATGTTTCTGTTCATTGCCGTCTACTTGTGCTGCCGCCAGCAGTGGCGTCTCGGCTGCCTCGTGTACAGCTTCGCCGTGTCCATCAAGATGAACGTGCTGCTGTTCGCGCCGGCGCTGTTCTTCTTGCTGCTCCAGTCATCCGGAGTGCTGCGCACGATCGGGTACTTGTCGATTTGTGCGTCACTCCAAGTGGCGTTGGCGTTGCCGTTCCTCAAAACGTTTTGGTGGAGCTACCTCACCAAAGCGTTCGAGTTCAGCCGCGTGTTCACGTACACATGGACTGTGAATTGGAAGTGCATCCCCGAACACGTACGTACTAGTACTACTACTACCACTACTACTAGTACTAGTACTACTACTACCACTACTACTAGTACTATCTCGACTTCTGGTGGTGGTGGACTACTCACATGCATGCTGTTGATGGACGTTATTAGATCTTCTTGTCGAAACCGTGGGCGCTGTTCCTCTTGAGTGGGCACATCGTGGTGTTGATTGCATTCTTGCACAAGTACTTCTTCTCGGGGCCACAGGGGTTGAGTGTGTCGGCGCTCGTGTACAAACCCTTCACATTGCGGTACGCCACCGCACCATGTCGCATGTATATATATATTTATATATATATATATATATTGTGCTTTCGAGTGAAATTTCATTGTGGCGTGATTTCTCGTTGGAATTTAAATCGATTTGATTGGCTACTTCAGTCTCCCCAAATTTGTATCAGATCGACAATAAATATAGGATGAATTTGATATACAAATTTCCCAATACCATGTATATAAATCCCCATCTAGTTTTTGAGTGGGAACGTACGAAAGAGACGTCTGTTATCCGTTTCTTTTGTTTTATGATCGTGTGTAGCGAACGCGTGCCCATTCGCGTCGAGCGCATCGTCACGTCGTTGTGTGTCGTCAACTTCGTCGGGATTTGCTTTGCCCGTACATTGCACTATCAGTTTTACGCGTGGTACTTTCCCACGTTGCCGTACCTGCTGTGGAAGACCAACATGCCGTTGATCTTCAAAGCCAAAGTGCTCATCATTTGCGAGTTTGCGTTCAATACATTTCCGGCCACGGACGTGTCGTCCACGGTGCTGCATCTGAGCCACTTTATGCTCCTCGCGTCCTTGTTTACGGCCAGTGACGAAAGTACGTGGGCAAGCTGTATCTACCCCCCCCCCTCCATGTTTTGGTTTGGTTTGCAGAGGGGGCGTGGGGGGCTTATTATGTCTACTGTCGTCTGGTTGGCGTTATCGAGTATGTGATTTTGTGTCTCGCTGAAAACGTAGGCAAGTACCAGTCGTACTTGGATGCCGAAACCCGCCAAGACTTGACGCATTTCGTCAACGAAGAATGCTTTGACGCGGCGCGACAGTTTGCCATGTATTACGGCAGTGTTACTGAAGAGTTGGCCGAAGGGGCCAAGGTGGTGTCGGTACGTTTGTGTGGGGAGTTTGAAGTTTGGTTGTCATGTTGTGGCTGCTGCTGCTGCTGTGTTTACAAATGGAGTTGGTTGTCATGTGTAGATTGATGAACAAGAGATTGTGCTGCGCTTGCCAAAGATGAACTTTACGCTCGCGATTGGGTTTGGCAGCAGTGCCCCCGTGACCACTGAAGGTACCGACCGATGAAACCAGTTGGTGCTTGATGCGTGATTGATTGGGGTAGGTTATGCGCGTCGCGTGCTCAGCGGCATGTCCAAGGAAGCTGAGGACGGATTAGCCCGCGGCGTCAACATGGGGCAGGTCATGACTCGCGACTACAACGAGTTCAAGAAGAACAACAACGAAGCAGCGGACGACGGCGAGTTGAACGTCCAGTTGCGCCGTCGAAAGTAGTAGCTCGGAAGGAACCATTCATTGCCCCTGTGCGTCGTTCGTTGGAAGCGAGGGGGGGGTAGCATGACAATCCATAATATATGCTGTCATATGTTGCAACATATTGGAGTACGTGATGGATGATTGTGACTGAGGCTGTTGTTCATGAACGTGATAGTTCTTGGTGGATGTAGATGTAATGTGTATACTAGTACCACACACCCGTTATACAGTACACTTCATCGTCGTACTTTAGTCCTGTATCACACAATCATGGTCAGATCGTGTACGCCGTGTCGCCACACCCTGTGCACCCTACTTACTGTTAATTCAAAAGCCATCAGCCCTTGTACTGTATTCTAGCCGAAAGGGACTCGAGGTCATATGCACTGTACACTGTAGTAGAGTCGAAGCAGTAAATAATTTACTGTTGGAACGATACTGACCATTCCAAAGTTTGAACATCATAAACTAGTATTGATCATGGGTTATCACGAGTCCACGGTCGAGTTGACGGGGAGGAGCTTCTTGGCGCGCAAGTCGTTGACAATAAGATCGCTGCGGACACCAAAATTGGGGCAGTTTTCGAGCCCTGCGTGGTGCAGCGCGACGACGGAGTGATCCTGAAGCGACAGAATGGGCGACCCCGACGACATCTTGCGCGTGTCCAGTAAATACTGCAGCTCCGACCCGGTCGTGGCCTGCACGACTGCCACCGATCCGTTTTTCTTGTACTGCATGCGCTTCCCCCACGCCAGCGGATGTGTGACAGAGTACACTGGCTCGCCCACAGCGCTGGCGAATGATCTCAGTTTTAAAGTGCCGTATCGCGTCACCACACTCGGATCGAGGCGGATGAGCGTGTAGTCCAAGTCTACGTTGGTCGTGACAAACAACTTGGTGGTGCTCGCGTATATTTCGCCGGGACACCCCATTTGGCGGTCGCAAGTGTCGCTGGTCATGACAAAATCTGGGCAGAGCGTCGTTTGCGCGAGGAATTCCACGCGCGTATTTGCAGCGTCGGTGGCGTCTTGGATGCAATGGTTGTTGGTGAGCATGTGCCCTTGACTGCCGACGAGCCACCCCGTGCAGCCGTAGAGAAACCCCCCGCGTTGAATGACCAGTCGGGCAATTGCCCCACTTCGAAGGTACATGACCCGATGGATGGGGTTGATGTCATTGAAACACGCAGCCTCAAACGATTCGTCAGTCCCACACACGCTCTCCTCGCCGCCGCCCTCCAAGTGCGTGTCGTAGCCCACGACGGTAAAGCTCCCCCGGCAATCATTGGTCGTCGATTCGATTGCTGTGGACGAAGGGGGGGAAATGATGGGGGTGCTGTGGTTGGTGTACAACTCGATGGAGACGGACGTGGTCGAGAGCGGTGGCGCGTGGAACGACCCGTGATACGTGTTGCTGTCCAACCGGATGGGGGGTAGCATCGTTGATGAATTGGCCAATGACAGAGGACGGAGCAAGATAAAGTCCCCGGGGGGAAGCGAAAAGTTCTGGAACACAAACGCCATGAAGGACGCAGTTGAATCTGTCACGGTGCGGGCGAAGCGAAGGGTCGTGCCGCGTGAAGTCGACGCCGGGTACTGACTACAGGACATGCCAAACGAAAGCCCAACGTCCACGTCAGCAAGGGCAACCATCGATGGCGCCATCGTCGCCATGACTGTGGCCACGGCCGTCGAGAGGATGCGCATGTGTGAATGGCCACACGAATCCACGAATAAACCATTCAATGACGTTTCGCCTGTGCAAGAACCAACCTACTCCTTGTGCTGGAAGGATGCGATGTTGCTCATGTCTCGTTCATTCTTGCCAGAGAACGTGGCAGTCAACGGCCAATTGCCTTATGCCAGTGGCGCGACGGTTAAATGCGGTTTCATAAGGTGGTGATCAGGCAGTGTCAACCTGATACCAACCAGTATGCACAATAACGAAGGTCGAGTGAGTTGGGCTTGGCGCGTTGAAGAGTACACTATACAGTACAACGATCGACAGAACATGCTCAGATCTCGTCCCCTTGGATTCTTAGGGTGTGCTGTCATATTGCGTGGAAAAGTCAACTTCAAAACTCAAACATCAAATTGCCCTTTGCTTATACATGTTGAAGGTCTTCAACATGTAAAAGTATTGCAATATCCACAACTTCAATAGGTTGCCAAACGGTGGACACTTGAAACTGCAAAATGATATATTGTACGACTTATTCATGGGTGTAGCCTCGTGCAATGCCACTGCTTCCTTGAACGGCAGCGTGCGGCGCAGTCTCACCAACCCGTGGGTCCAGTCCTCGATAGTCTCGTGTGGCCAAGAACTCGCCTACGTAGACATACTTGGTTACAATTACCCAACAGTGAGCAAACAGCAAGCGTCGAAACCTGCTTCGCTTCGGAACGTAGTCAATTGCTGAGTGCCAGCTTTCGATACCAACGCAGTGCAGTTGTCCCCGTCGTGGTCGCTATCATCTGAGCCTCCACCGCCGTCTCGCTGGCCCTTGGCTTGGTGGTACTTGCCCGTCACGAGGGAGAAATACGGTTCGTCTGGGGCTTCCCCTTCATCATCCATTTCATTGACCGCCGTGACCAGCGACGGCAGCACTTCCTGGAAATCGGCTTTGTATTGCCCCGTCCATTCGCTGTCGCCGTGTGTGAGGGCCAAGTGCAGTTCGTACCTACAACATTGCGATGACATTGCCGTTTGATAACGTCATAGAAAAAATAATCGTACGGGGTCACGATCGGTTTGAAAAACTCGGTGCTGTCCAGCAACGAGTTTTCGGCACACGCGACGAGACAAAACGCGTCGATTTCGGCAAAATTCGACAGCTTGGGGACGTTGATTTTACCCACCACAAACGTGTACGACTTGCGCCCGCTCCTATCCCAACGATGGTAACTCTCCACGTCACAGATTTCATATGCAATTTGCTGTACTTGGCAATGAGCGCCTGCAACGACTGCACCACGTCGAGGCAGTTGGCCACGCCCAATGTTCCCATGAGAATCCCAATGATCTGAGCTTCCTTAGCCTTTTGCACGAGAAAGTACCGGCGATTCAACGTCCGGTTGATCGACGTGCCCTCTCGTCGTGCCACGTCAGTCTGTGGGTCGTACGACAGACACGGGGTGTCGCCGGCACGCAAGAGAATGTTGGTCAAGTGCGGAGACTCCTTGCCCACATACAAAAGCACCGTGGACGCGCTAAATGTCTGGGATGGTGGCAGCGGGATGGCCAGTCCCCCGATAACAGTGGACGAGGCCGCGACGTCGGACGCTGCATCGCCTGAACGTTTTGATTAGCTCCTGGACTTTGTGGAACCAACGTACCTGGGTGGTACATGGTGCGCATGGTGCTGCAGAGAAAGTCGCGGTCGGGATAGGACAAGGCCAACGAACTGGCAACTGCGGTGGCTTGATGCTCGTAGCAAGGTTCGTACAGGACGACGTGGGTGGCTGAAGTGTCGGTGGTCGCCAGCAGGTCGTTGAATCCGGCCGCGATCGCGGCGGCGTTGCAAGGAACGTTTCCAAACACGTAAATGACAGGGAGGACAGAAGTTGGGCTCAAGCACGCTCGGCCGTAATGGACAATGCAGTCGGCAAGCAAATGGTGCGCGGCTACTTCGTCGACGCAGCAACTGCCGTAGGATGTGTCTCCCAGGACAAAAATACGTTCAATTGGATGCTCCAGCGCAGCAAGAGCCGCACGAAGTTGAAACTGAACTTGGATCGCATCGGGAAGCATCGCGTCCGGGAACTGCAGCGCAATGCGGCGGAACCCGTACGCCTGAATGTGCTCGACGGTCTTATGGATGCTGTAGTACGTCACAACGTCGGGCCGGGTGGCCTTTACAGCCAAGGCCGAAGAAGCCATATCGTCGGAAGGCGCGTGGATGTGTACCGACTGCTGCATGATACGAGACCCATCGTCGACCGCGAACCCCGTCGATGCCATGGTTGTCGCTCTCAAGTTTGTCCAAGCGCGGAAACTTGTGTTGCGATTGGATAATTTCAACATCCAATCGATGGAAGTGAAATAACGAAACTTTTAGCCAATCAAAGTCATTTAGCACAAAGGGATACTATTAATATTAATAGTACCGACCGTACTCCGCAGTATTACACAAAAAACTAACCGACGGTTACATGCGGCACCCCTGGCTTATAATAAGCGCGTGATGTACATGGAACCACGCCAAGTCGTTCCCAGTGCGTTATGGGAATAAAATCGTTTGGACAATGCCACGAATCTTATGGTTCGTCTGAAACCCTCCAAAAAGCTGCGTTGACGACCGTTACATGAACAGCAGCCCCACAGGCAAAATCGAACAACCACGAAAGAGTGCGATGGTGAGCGTCCCATATATTTATTGGCGTCGCCATTACGATGGACCGCGAAGGTCTGACCTCGGCCTTCGCATCTTTGTGTTTGAACGTCATCCACGTGTATCGATGGGTCCTTGGTGGCATCTGCCCGCCTCCCATTGACGTCGGCACTGATCGGACCGCGATTGAAATGTCCTTCGTCACCCGTCAAACCCAGCGTCGCTCAGTCATGACCATGACTGACTTCGATAGTACCGACCGACGAAGTACAGCAGACCAGTCGGTCACTCCCCTCTACTTGCACCCGCCCCCCCCACACCATCAGCATCCTCCTCCCCCTGGTGACACCAAGCCCCCATCGAAACCGCGCATGCCCATGCTGCAAACGTACGAGCGGGGCCAAAAGTACCAACTCAAGCTGCAGGAAAAGATCAAAACGTGGCAAACGCTGGCCGCCAAGCAGCGGGTATTCAAAGCCACGCCCCTTCCAAAACAATACAAGTACACCAAAGGCAGAAACACGTCGAATGGAGACGCGGCGGCGGCAGGTTCCGGGCGGCGATCGCTGCCCGATGAAAAGACGAAAATCGAGGCCGAGAAGAAGCAGTTGTCGGAGGACATGCTGCTGCTGCTCAACGCCCTGGCCAAATCCCACAAACAAATCGCCCCCCAAGTTGTTCCTGTGGAGAGGAGCTGATAAACTGTAAATAACGTTACTGTAACGTTACTACTACGTAGTACTAGTAGTACAGTGTACTACTACTGTACTACTAGTAGTATGGAGTACTTACAGTTAGCATTTCTGAGCAACCTGATGACTCAAGTTACATACAGACACCGCACGGAACTATCTTCAGTATATTTTGTTATGTATCAGCCCTATACCACGAGGACCAAGCACGGTGTATGCGCAAGGTGGTGGTGCATCGCAGATCGCATTGCAGAAAGAGTGAGTGCCGCCAGCATTGCCCTCGTTCCAACAGCCACGCAAACCCACAAAACGACACCCACGTTCGCGTTGACAAGGTACCCATTGTGCAAATATCTCATAGCTTAGTTAACGTTATACATGGCACAATGTTACCCATCACCCTTATCGTCGATCAGTGGCCGCAGTACGAATTGGCTCGGTGCCCCGCTCTCTAAATTTGTACCATACATACATGTAGTTCGATTGTGTCTATTCATTGAGTTTGATGATTCCACTGCATGTGCACTGTACCACAATCACACGACGTTTGGAGGGCCAATCATCACACTTGATCTAAGTATGGACGCGTGCAATTTCGCGTTCGATTTGAGAGTCGGGCAGTTCCAATTCCATCTAGCCAATCACAACGCAACGTCGAGCGATATCCGGATACTCCCAGGCGAGTTCTTGGATTTCTACACAGCATTGCTCGAGCATATTGCAAGTCGTTCGATACTCACAATGTCTCCACCGCCCCGCGGCGACATGTTCCATTGCCCTCCTCTGCATGCTTGGCAGCGAGATGAACTCATATCAAAGGCCAAGGAGGCATGCAAGTTTCTCGTTGTCAACGCCACAACCTCCGAGTACAGCCCCATCGAGACCGTCGTCCAAAACGGCCGCACAGGCCGCCATGCCACAGTGCGTTGTACACTTCACCCTTATACAAGGCTGCACGCATTCATTATCTCTCCACGGTGTAGGTTCGCCGATCGAACGACATAACGGATCCCCAGTACGAAGGGTTCTCAGCGCACACAAAGCTCCGAGCATCAATTGACGACGTGGCCGGGTTCTTCGAGCTCGACACGCCCCACAAAGCTCAAGCGTATGCCCGCATCATGGGCGAAATCGTGCTGGACAAGCGAAGGCTGTATACGTTGGTGGAGCGGCCGATTTCCGATCGCGAGTCGCAGCCGTTGCATTTCGTGTCGGTGGAATGGCTCATGTTGAAGATGCCGTTGGGGTTCAACACCCGCGATGTGTGTTACTTGGAGGTACGTACTTAGGTATATATATATATATACCGGTATATCGTCATCCAAACACAGTATTCAATGTGACTACATAGTGTCACGACGAGTTTTCATTCCACGACCAAGCCACCGGCGACCTGCGGCGCGGATGGGCACGGTGTACCCACTCCATCAACTTGGTGTGTTGTCCGAACCTGCAGCGGTCGCACAATGTAATCCGCATGGATATCATACGAGTACGTTGTGGGTAGTATGATACGTGTCACTTGACTGCATGTGACCTTAGTCTGGCCATGTCTTTCTCGAGTCGAGTGACAGCGGCGTCCTCGACTACTACCGCGTGGCCTTTGGAAAAGCGAACGGCACAATGGTCAAGCACGTGTCCAAGGCGTTGGCAGATCGTCACTTGAAGCATGCGACGGCTATGGTACTGCCAGTGTGTGGTTCGCCTGGAAAAGATACAAAGCCTGACGCTCTTATCCTATCGTTGTTTTAGGCGCTGAATTTGGAAGAATACTTCATCTCCCAACGAGTCCGCCCGATGCTAGACGTGCCAGTGGGCCACTTCCAGTCGAAAAAGGCGGTCGAGTACTGCATGCACTGCTACAACCGGATTGCATGGCATGCCACCAAGCGGCAATGCCGCGGATGCGGCGACGTCGCATGTGCCAGGTGCAGCTGCGTGTGGTACCTTCCCTTGGATCAGAAGAAGACAACCAAGGTGCAGTTATGCCACGGGTGTATCACGGGCGACATGGACCGCAATAAGAGGCGGTACACACATCATCACCCTCCACCACCACCACCATCGCCGCACCAGTCCATGTACTCGGATGACAACCAATCCACCTTTGCCGAGCCCAACAACGACCGACCCAGTGTCGCGTCATCCATCCACCCGTCCATAGCCGTGTCATCGCTGCACCCCCATTCGCAAAGGTATTCGTTGCCCCAACGAGCTCATTCGTCGTCGTGTGTGGTATCCCTTGTTGGTAGCGAGTACCCTCGGTCGTCGTTTAGCATGGACACAGACCAAGCCACCGAGTTGTACGTGTTGAGTCCAAGTCAGTGGCGCGTGTCTGAAGACGTGAGCTCCGCTATCCGAGATGGCATGCTCACGTTCCACTCGGATGCCTCGGCCATCTACTTGCGCCGGTAATGACGGCGACTCTGTTCAAGATACTATTAATAGTACTCTGGAGTACTACGTTAGCGTTGGTCATATTTTTAATACGTAGCAGGTGAGTTTGCAAATGTTAAGCTTACCGTAAAAGATATTATTAATAATACTACTAGTACTACAAAACATATTATTAATAATACTACTATTAATAGTTGAAGTACTACGTAGTACTTCGTACGTACTTCGAAGTAGTATTTTTTCCGGAAACAACTTCAAGCATTTACGTAAACGTTACCTCGAAGTAAGTTACTATACTTACTTCGAAGTACTTCGCTATTATTCGTACTATACAGTACTACAGTATATTTTGATTAAGTTCAGGATATTTCCGGTATATAGTATTTCGTCCGACGCACAACTGATTCAGGTCGCTGAACATTCGATATATTTCGTCCAGAAAGTACATGGTTGCAGTTTATTTCGACAAGTGTCCGGTATATGTCACCCCACAACCGGTATATTTCACAGGCTGTTCAATATATTTCAAATGATGTTCCATCTATTTCGATTTTAGATGCAAATCAGTAAATCGCAGGTAGTGGATAGCGTTTTGAACTTGTTTGATTCATAGATCTGGGACGACGTGAATCCTCTACAACCTTTCACCTTGTAGCTCAAGTTGTTCTACGGTCTTGCCGAAAATGCGGGTGACATGGAAGTTAGCACCTGATGAAGCAGCGCTTTGATTTGCATCTAAAATTGAAATAGATGGAACTTCATTTGAAATATAGTGAACAAAGTGTGAAATATACCGGTGTGGGGTGACATATACCGGACATAAGTCGAAATAAACTGCAACCATGTACTTTCTGGACGAAATATATCGATTGTTCGGCGAACATAACGCACATGGCGTGAATCAGTTGCATGTCGGACGAAATATACCGGAAATAAACCTGACTGTGAACTATTTATCGAAAAATGGTGTAGTACGGTTACAGTAAACTGTTCTGAAATTATTAATTCTCGGAGGTGAGATTTGAAGCAGTAGAATATCTGAAAACTGAGACGATATTCAGGTCTTCCGGCGTCTCTTCTTTCAATCGTCGCTTGGCAAAGCAGTAGCGCTGCGAGGAGGACCAGTATTGTATTCCCTATCGATTCTTCATACAATAGCCCAGTGACTTATGCATTGGTACAGTACTTTACAGTAGTGGTTGACATGGGAATGGTCGCAAATATCATTCGTAGAGAATTGCGAATTCCCAAACAATAATTGACGAACATCTGCTACAACTCTTCTCTCCGGATAAAACCTGAGCAGCCAATCAGACTCAATGTACTTATTATATCCGGACGACATTGGGTTTTGCGCTCGTCACGTCGATAGACCAGTACAGTATCATCATGGGAAGGCACCGCCACAACGTGCTGAGCGACGCATTCCATTGCCCACCACTAAGCGAGTACGATCGCCAGGAACTGATCCTCCAAGCGAAGCTTGCGTGCAAGTACCTCGTCGTGGATGCCACCGCGTCGGACTCGCTTCCCATCGAGAACGTTGTTGTGAACGTTAAGACGGGTCGTCACGCCACGGTAACCACTGTCTTCAGTTTCCTTTCTCTCAGCATACGTTCACATGACATAGGCTCGCTGCATCCGTGACCAAGTGGATTCCACTCTCGTTGGCACGGCGACACACACTCGTGTGCGCGCTTCGCTCGGCGACGTCGTGTCGTTCTTCCGCCTCGACTCGCCGTCCAAAGTCCACGATTATGCGCGAGTGATGGGGGACACCTTTACAGAGAGAGTGTCGTTGTACACACTCTTGGAGGCAGCATCTTCATTCGACCCCGATCACACCACCGCGTGGCAACAGCAGCATTCGGGAACCATCCACACCAGCACACTCACGCATTATGTCGGCGTGGAATGGCAGTTGTCCAAACCAAAGGGGTTTTCTCCGCGGGACTTTTGCTACTTGGACGTACGTGAGTATAATATATGTGTGTACATGCATTCCCATGGCATGAATGCACGTCCTATGGTTGAAGCGAAATGGTAAATACAGTATATGTAGTACCAAGACTCGTTCTTCTTTGTCGACCAAGCGACTGGCCAGGAGCGGCGCGGGTGGGCGCGATGTCTTCATTCAGTCGACTTGGACTGCTGTCCCGACATGGAGCGGTCAACAGGCATCATCCGCGCCAAGATGATCCGGGTATGTACGACGTTACAATGCGGTTGGTCCTGTACCCACACATGTATCTGTATAGTCGGGGCATGTGTTTGTTGAGTCCACCGACAAGCAAGGCGTGTTGGACTACTACAAGATTTACTTCATTGTTCCTGGTGGCACTGTACTCAAGCACTTTCCATCGCTATATATGAAGAAGATGCTAAAAACGTTCACCACCTCTGTCCGTCTCATCGTCATCACATCGTGCCATGAGAACCAAACTTACCGAGTAAATAGGCCCTCAACTTGGAAGAGTATTTGATCCAACGACGATTGCGCCCCATTCTCGACGTTCCTGTATCCACGTTCCCCCTCAAGAAGGATGTGGCGGCGTGCATGCATTGCTACCATCGGTTCCCATGGATGGCCACCAAGAAACAGTGCCGAAGCTGCGGCGACGTCACGTGCCCCAAGTGCAGCGCCGCGTGGAGCTTTCACTTGGACCCGTCGTCGTACGTCAAAGTGCACTTGTGCCATCAGTGTGTCCTGGACGAGGCCGACTTGCCCGTGGCGTTTGCAGCCAGAACGTCCCGAAGTACGTCATTTGTATTCTGCTGTACAATCAATCACTCAATGTTCACTCGGTAGCAACGTCGAGGTCGTCCCGTGTCCACAGCGCCCCCCACCGGTCGTTGCAGTGCGTACGACCACCGTATGCAAGGTCGCGGGTCAGCGATGCTCACAACCGCCATACTCCCGACCCCCGTTATTCCCGTGCGGTGTACCCCATGTCGTCATCGCAACATTCTGAACCAGCGGACGACGACGATGAACAAGGGCGGCCGCGCGTGATTACATTGGACGGGGCGTCTCCCCAAGGCAACTACAACTACCACCACCATCGTCACCCCCGAAGTCGGGACGACAACAACAGCAACACCAGCAGCCACCACCGGAATCACCCGCAGACCCCCGACGACGACGACGCCGACGGCGGCATCGTTGTCATTTCCCCCACGGATTGGCGCGGGTCCCAGCTCACATCGACGTCTTCGGTTCGCGAAGCCCTGCTGACGTTTCATTCGGATTCGTCGTCCATATATTTATAATTAGTGGCGGCCGATCGGATTGGTGTCGGGTGGTGGTGCCAAACTAGTTACTACGCATATTAATACAATAAACGTTAAAGGCTGGTGTGAATCCCACGTCATAAAATTAGGCCATAACTCGTTGTGACAAGTCTGCAAAGTCCCATATCCCATGAGAAAAAGGAGAAAAATAGTATCTACAAGTTGCCTGGATGCCAGCTGAATATTGGAAAAAATAATTCGAATTCTGATTGACATGTCAATATTTCACAATAATGTCAACGTCAACACAAACCTCGATTAACTGTCTGAAGTATTATACTAACTGTAAGTACCAAATCGGTCTTTTTTGTATAACGTTATGCCATAAAACACCCGATTCTCAAGAAAATATAATATTTGAGCTTTGGTGGCACAAAATCTCGAAAAAGTGGAATATTTCGATTTTGGCAACTTTTCTTGGAAAACAGCCATTTTATTGCGATTTTTCGAAGCATCCAGGCCCGCCACCAATCATCCAACGATCGTAGTAACTTTGATATAATTTTAGAGCTCTAAATTGGATCAGGTTTTCCAGACATTTTCAAGGGTACAGCTAGATGGGGAATACGGTAGCAATGCAGCGCAAGCCTCGGCCACACTCTGTAAAGTCCGTCGAATAAACGAATTAACTTTACGAGTATTCATATCGTGAAAATTAGGATAAAATGATGGCAAAAACAAAATTCTGACAAAAATGCATTGACCGGATAAACAACCTGACTACTCCGGATAATAATGGGTAACTGTCGAACATACCACTGTAACGTTAATTTCAAAATGCAAGACAACCGTGGATTGTACGGTACTCCAACGATCACAGCAGCCAACAACGTACTTTGAGAAAGCATGGAGGAAGTGAACGGCGTACGTTGGTGCCACTAGTCGCTTTTGTGAACCTCATTGTGGTATGGTGATCGCGTAGCAACGCGTATTTGACTTGTTGCTGGACGCGGTCGAAGACGGGAACGTTGGTGACATGCTGGCGTGGATGCCACGTTGCGATGACATCAACCAACGAGATGATGTACCAGCCGTTGATTCAAGTGCGACATGACGATACTTTCGTCCATTGATAATAGGACGGATGGAGTCTACTTCACATTGCATGCCAGGGCGGCGACGACGACGTCGTGCTCACGTTGCTCTTGGCAAATGCCAATGTCGAAGCCACATTAAAGGTACCAACTTCGTGCAAAGTAGATTGAAAGCACACAATGACCTTTTCGTAGGATGGCCGAACGGCGTTGGCCGTGGCCTGCCGGTGTGGTCACATGTCGATAGTCCAACTACTGCTGAAGCATTTCGCTGCCATCAAGCCAGTCAGTCCGGTACAATCAACTGCAAAGTGCCCATCACTGTATCACATTTCTATGACGTTTGTTGAAGACCAGCGAGTCGCCCTTGTGTGCAGCAACTTTCCCCGGACATACGGACATTGTGTACGAGTTATTGCAGCACCTGGACGACTCAAACGTAGACCTTTTGGTACAAGTCGAGTTTGCACTTGACGAATAACTCAGATTTCTTCTTTTCTGGTACGTCCTAGGATGAGCCACTGATCTTGGCGTGCAAGCTGGGTCATGACGACATTCTCCAACTGTTTTTAGCCCGTGGCGCCAACGTGAACTATGCCACAGAGGTAACACATCATTTACATAAGAAACGCATGATGATATGTCATGTGGATGCTGGTTCAGATGGGCGCGACCGCACTGCACATGGCAAGTCAAAAAGGGTTTGTGGGCATTGTGGCCCGATTATTGGATTACGGGGCGGACCCCCACACCCCCCTGAAAGCTGTACGTGCTCCCAAACCGCCTGCACCTTCACCCCATTCTTTCATATTTAATACTAATACTACCTGTGATTGCACGAGTGTAAGTTTACGGTACAATTTATTATATTATACAGTTGATTGCACCTACACTTTACCACAAATATACTCGATACCTGTATAAATAGATCTTTTACAAATATAAATTTACAACACAGTATACGTGAGCACAGTCCAAAATGATCATCATTCCCACTGTTTTTCGTGGATGAATCAGCTGTCATTCCTATTTAGGACCTTTGGGGGCTCTAATTGGATTCCATTTGAAATTTTGTACTACAGTCGTATTCAAAAGTACTCCTAATGTGTGGGTGGTTCACTGATTTGGACGAGATACCCTAATTTCACACCTGAAATGTCCATTCGTGCAATCACTTTCGGATAGAGGTAGTAGTATATATATATATATATATACTTTGATATATGAATTGTCTTGGTAGTGTGGGGCCACGGCGTTGGTACTGGCAGCGCAATTCGGACATGTCTCTGTGGTGCAAATGCTGCTGCCTACTCTTACACACGACCAGTCATCTTGTCATGCGGTATACTGCTCTTTTAAACATGTGGTAGTTTTCAGACAAGGTGGACACTAGGCCATCGGGGATGCGATGTACGTGGCGTGCCACTATGGCCACTACGACATTGTCCAAGTGTTGGTCCAATCCCGTGGGGATGAGTTTCGAAACTACGTATGTGCGACACTGTAATGTGTGCGGCCATCATATCCTGACCAATTGGATGGTTAGCACCGCCCGTTGTATGCAGCGTCGTTTATGGGGCATGTGGACATTGCACATTTTTTGGTACGCCATGGCGCGGATGTGAATGCCACGTCACAGGAGGTAAGTAGGTCGTCGTCCAGTGGGCATGTCGAAGTGGATTTGGTGGAATTTGCGAAACCTACCGTTGATTGTTCTCTATAACATTAGGATGGAGCGACGCCGTTGTTTGCTGCGTGTCAGAATGGACATGTCCGAGTCGCGCGGTTTCTGGTCGACAAGGGCGAGGCATCGGTGGATTTGCCACGCTTGGTATATATATATATATCAGTTGCCAAGAATTCATATTCCGACGTGGTGGTTGACAATCCGACGTAGGACGGCACGACGCCATTGCATGTGGCGTGTCAAGAAGGACATGCGGAAGTGGTGGCATTGCTCTTGGCCAACACGACAAACGTCAACGTCGCCCAAGAGGTACCGAAGCATCAAAATCCTACCGTGGCTTCGTTGTTGGGGGTTTCGGGGTTTCGTGTTTATAGTTGTGGACATTTCGTGACTGTGATGTTGTTATATTTCTAGGATGGCAACTCGCCTCTGGGCGCGGCGAGCCACTTTGGCCACGTTCCAATTGTGCACCAACTGCTTGCAAACGCAGCCAACGTCCACCACTCGAACGCTGTAAGTCGATGGAAGGATCTTTGGATCATGTGACACTGTCCCAATGGGCGTGGTAGTTGGGCAAGTCGCCGCTCTTGATCGCGAGTGAAATGGGTCGCCTGGACGTCGTTCGGGTTTTGCTGCCAGTAGCCCAAGTCGATCAAATAGATCATGTGGGTAGATATATATATATATAGCCACTGATAATTGAACAGACAAAGTAGACGGGTCGAAGCGCACTGCACAGCGCTGCAGAGTTGGACTACCCCCATGTCGTAGCCGAATTGGTGGCTGCAAATGCAAATGTACAACTACGGGACATGGTAGGTACGACGTGCCCATTCAATTGGGTTACGACCGCATTTCTTTCAGGCGGGTCGAACGCCGCTGGATTTGGCCATGCGATGCAACAACACGACGGTGGTGGAAGTGATGCGCGAATGCTTGGCTGCTGACGAGGTACTTACACATATGTACAAATTTTGGCTGAATGTTCACTCGAGTAGGCCCTGGCTACGATTCTCCGGGAGGGTTTGTCGTGGAACCATCGATTTCAGGTAAGAGGACGCTTTAGGTCATTAGTACTGTAGTATTCTCTAGTAATATCATCATCGTATATCGTTTGTTCAATTTTTATATTTTATCTTTATAGTTTATTAAACGATTTAATTGATTTTTTTAGATTGATTTATAGTCCCATAATAATTAAAAAATAAAAAAGTATATCTTTGTACTTCAATTATTTTATCGTTTAAAAATTTCAAAAATAGGTTTATTTTATAAATAAAAATGGTTTTTTGATAAAATATATCATGAATAAATTAACACCAATAAAAAATAACCAAAAATGAATTTGACCTAAAATGTCAGGATATTGACGTCCATTCATTTTACCAACCCAATAATAAATTCCAGCAAAAATACCAAAAAATTAAAAAAATTGATATAGTTTATTAGTTAATAAACCATTTCAGAGTTAGCTGTAAATAGATGACTCGTTGTGATGGTAGAATGGGAAAAGTGTGTTGATATTGGCGGCGCGGCGCGGAAGAGTCGACATTGCCCAAGCCGCCATCGCCCACGGCTGCGACGTCAACCTCCACGACTTTGTACTTATAGAGTTGTGTAGAGATGGTGATGATGCACTGTTTGCATGTAGGCACACAACACGGCGCTGTTATGGGCCGCGCGCAATGGCCATCTGAATATGGTCGATCTGTTAACGACCTGTCGTCCCGACTGCGATTTGAACTCCCGTGGCTATGTAACTACTAACTACATCCCGTTGGTCATAACTAACCACATCGTTCCGGGTTAGATGAACTGGACACCTCTTCAATGGGCGCTGCACAACAAACACTTTCACGTTGCCCATATCCTCGTTGGTCGTGGCTGTTCGTGGCTACTGCCTTGGCAGGTTGGTTCTTCGACTAGCACGCCAACCCGTCCGTTCACTGTATCTCATATTTTGATCCGTAGGGCAAATTGCTTTTGGAAGTCCTCGCGCCGGTGCTGTCAGAACACGTGGCGTTGCGGATGGTGCTGCGCGACTTGCCCATTTGCGTCGTCGATGGCCATGTGGTCGAACGGCCAGGCCATTCGTATTCGTGGGCGACGTTCTTGGACCCGAACCTACCTGTGCGATCAACAGTTCGAGCGAACGTGGTGCAGGCTGTGCTGCAGCATCCGAGCTGGACGACGGGCGCGACCCACGTCGCAGACGTGTACAAGGCGCTTCAGAACGCTAAAGATCGACACGGCAGACGGGCGCTGCAGCTGTCGGACGGGTCCACCCGCAGCCTCTTCAAGCACTTGCTCTACTTTTGCGCCCGGTACGAGATTTTTGATGGCCCCCCGGTCTACGTCGGACCCAAGGTGGTGGTGGTGCATGCATTTGATCATGGCATCTGCCACCAAGTGTTTGACATGAACACAACCGACCTGGGCGTGCTGGATCTCAGCGGTTTCATTGCCGCCAATCAAATGCTGGGTCAATGGTCAGCAGAACGGCACAGTGCCCATCGAAAGGTACTTTGCTGGCTAGGTATTCTATGTGTTTTTGAGAGTGTATGTGATTTCGTTTTGGTGTTGTGTGTTGTATAGACCGAAAATGACTTGGCGAAATGGAACCACGCATTTGGGCACTGGGACAAGGACAAGAATGGACAATTGAATCTAAACGAATTCCTCGGCTACTGCGACCACATTTGCGGCGGCCAGCTCAAAGTGGCCATGAAGTTCATGGCATCGCATGCGGATTACATGCGGGAGGTGCGCTGTCGGCGCTTGGTGCACAAGCCGGTGGTGTTGGAGCTGTTGCCGGCGCTAGACCCGTCGGTGTTTCGAGACGGCGTCGCCAATTTGCACCTCACTTGTCAAGGACACACGACGATTGCGATGGCGCCGTACGAAAACGTGCTCGTGTTGCCTGCCGCCGACCGAAGTTTGGATGACATTTGGACCAAAGAACACCCGAGTGACCACCAAATGCGGAGTTATTTGCTGGACGTGGCGACAGGACTGCAACATTTGCACGAGTGCAACGTCGTCCACGGCGATCTCAAGGCATCCAATGTCCTCCGAGTCCACAACCAGCTGAAACTGATCGGGTTGGACGCTGCCAGGTCCGTTGGGCAGATGATGGGGTCCAAGTTTACCTCTGGCATCCTTCCTCCAGGTGTGTAAACTTGCTTGGGATATATTTATATACACCGCCTTCCATGATGGGACGTAATAAACACGAGTAGAGTTGTTCTACAAGCTAAACACCCCCGAGGAAGAAGCGATGCACGATGCGTATTGGCGGGGGGGGGGTGCCGCCATGACATGTCGATCCTGGGCCAAGATCAAACCCAGGGGGGGGGTCGTTGTACGCGTTGGCCACTCGCACGAGAAGAGTCCGAACGCGGGATTGCCGTACGAAGTGGCGACCGCCGCCACGGCCATCGACGCGTGGGCGCTGGGGTGCCTTGTGTACCAAATGTACAGTGGCATGGAACTCGTGGCCACAGATAACTACCAAGACGTTGTGGTTGATCGCATGCTCTCCGCGGCTTCATGGACCGACGACGCACTGCGACAGCGTGTGCACAGTCACGTGCACGACGACCTGGCGCAGGATATGGTGCTCAAGTTGCTCGTCGTGACCCCTAGCGCCCGGGCGACCATGGAGGCGGTGGTGAGTCATCCGTACTTTGCCGGTCGATCGTCGTCCGCCATCTCGTGTGTCACCGCCGTCGTGCAAAGTCAAGTGAACCTGATGGCGCGTCTGGACAAACTGTCGGTGGCGCTGGAGGACCAAGCGACAACGATAGACCGACGGTCGAGGCACGTGTTGAGCAAGGTAGAGTCGACGACAATGAACTTAGTGACGGCGATGTTTGCTGCCGCGGACGATACGAAGGACATGCCGTCTGCGTTTGTGCTGCTCCCGTGCAAACTCGAGACGCTGGCGACCCCCGCCAGTGAAGAAATCCACTCGTTTGTGAGAAACCTATGTGGGATACTCGACCAGATCGTCGACGCATTGGCGGCAGAGGCGCCGGTGGCACCCCTCGTCGCTGCGCTTACACATGGCGAGCCGCGGTACTTGTATTTGGTGGACGAACGCTCGGGCCAGCTTGTCCTTCCCCCAGAGGAGGATGACCACAAGCACGTGTATCCAATCCTGCTGTCGACTGAATCCACGGAAAACTACATGGACTTTGTCGCAGTTACGTTGCCGTGCATTCAACGCGGCCTAGGGTTGTTGCAAAAGGGCAATTGGTTGGCGCACGGATTTGACAAGTCAGAATCCGTCGACAAGGCATCGTTAGACGTTGGCAAAGCACATGCGCGGACGGCGGCAGTGCGAGCACTTCACGAAGTTTTACGCAAATTTGACCCAGAGAGGACGTTTGCCGGCTTGGAGCGTGTCGTCCTCGAGGATGGAGCGATCATTTGGACCAAGCAACCAAAGCAGCAAAACGCCGTTTCAATGGCATAACACAGGATAGCACCATAGAAAGGCTCTTCGGTCGTTTGTGTTTAGAATTGGACGGCAATGCATTGAGAACCAAGGGTTGGCGTCTCGATGTAAAATCGAGCTTGTGATCGTACCTAACGTTGTAAAACCAACTTGCGTCGAAGTACATCGCTGCGGGCGGGGCTATCGTCGTCGTTCCACGATGGCGTGTCCGCCGTGGGGTCACCCGTCGAGGTTGGGTGCGCTGTGTCCACTCAATTGTTATTCCTTGCTCTTCATCCATGCAAGCAGCACTCAACGTTATTCGAATGACTGTGGTCCAGGTAAGGTAACGTAGTCAATCCAAACGGCAAGCCAAGTACTGCAACCAGTGCTTTGAAAGGATTGGCTGGTTCCGTCTCAAACGGCAATGCCGGTGCTGTGGTAGTGTCCTCAGCCTCCAGTGCACGTCAACGTGGACCATCTCACGACATCTGACGCTGCGCCGAGTACCCTTGTGTCCTGCTTGTGTCTCTCCGACGACAGCTACTCCTGCAATTACTCGTACGATACTACATAGCCGAACCCCCTTCCATCCATTTATCCCCATGGTATACGTAGTAGAAAGCAGAAGCCTGTCTATCGGTGACTTAGGCGATTTCGAGACGACGAAGCGTCCCCATCCGTCGATTCAGCAGACTCTGACATACTCAGTCTGATTCACCGATTACGTCCACTCAACGTGGGTTCATCGCCATTTCCAACTCGTCCCCGCACTCGCAAACGACCCCCCTTTCGTCTGCTCGCTACTTGCACGCAACGTGGACTGTAACTCGCAGCAATAGCCGCAGCCGTTATGACACAACGCTCGTAACCGTACTCTCCACCACGCCCCCATCAACCATTCAATCCATGTACCGTTCCAGAACCAGGAATTTCAAAATGAGTAGTCTATGTTAGTCATGGGGTCCAGTATTTAATCAACGACACGGAGGTCGGCACGCAGCAGGCCACACACAAATCCAGTTGAAATTGCTTGTCCAGGCATCGTTTGCACACGATTTGACAGCAAAGCTGGCACGGATGGCGCCGTCGCAGCAGCGAAAATCGTTTGGCGCAGCAATGGCACCTTGAACTGGACCTAGCCACTGATGGGACTGTTCGTGGTACAGCGTCATCCGTCCGTCTTCCTTCTCTCACATACTGTTCCATGAGCCCTTGGCGAAGCCGTTCGACGCTCTGGGCCATTCGAACGACCCACGCTTTGCCCAAGGGCGACACACTCCGCGACGACAGCACTTCTTCGGACATGAAGAACGATACACGAATGCCGTCGAAGTCTCCGCCGCTGCGTGGAGCTACCGACTCGATAACGTACCCACACCGTCGAAAGTTGAGTCGGAGGATGTTGAGGTCATTGGGGAGAGGGCCACACGCAGCCAAATCGACACTTTCCCACACCGATACAGCCACCATGTCGTTAGGTGGAGGGGTCTCGGCCGTACTTTCTGGGGGGATGACGGCAGGTCGTCGATTTCGGCTGCATCGTCGATAGCAGTTGCCGTACTTCAAAAACACATAATCTCGATGGGGCAAGTGCACTTTGGAGTTTTGCACCGCGAGCCAGTTTAGCGTCATGCTTTCGGCCGACTGGGGCGACGATGGCGGGGCCGCGTGCAGGACCGCGCCGTCCACAAACGCGCCGTCCAAGAGGGTGCGCATGGTCTGTCGAAACCCCGATGTCGTGCGCATGTCGAGAAGGGCCATCACGTCCAACATGTTGTACGGGGGGAGGGTCACCACGGCTTTGACAGTGTACAGGTGCGACGTGTTGGCTTCGTAGAGCTCCACGTCATGAACAACATGGCTATCGGGGGAAGAAGGAGGCGTCAATGCGAGCATGGGCGTTTGCATCGCTCCAAGCAGCGCGTCCACCGCTGCTTGGCCCATGTCCCGCATGTCGGCTTCGAGCTCCGGGGTCACATGCAGGCGGTTGGCATGTTTCTGGATGTGCGGATATAACACGGACGGGATCGATGCGAGGGACAGCGTGTGCCGCGGCGTCCACATGGACGTTGATTTGGCGGCCGAGGACGTTGCGGACGACGACGACGACGACGAAGCAGGACTTGCGACACTGTCGCAGGATGGCGGGTGTCGGTAGGAAACGGAGTGGACACCAGCAATGGAGGATGGGGTCGTAACATGCGTTGGGGTGGGGGGGGACAGAGGCGTTGGGGTGGTGTGACAGAGCGCACAAAGGTGGTCATTCACAGAGCTGTTGTACGACTTGGTCGAGGCACATGAAAGATACACGGGCCGTTGTTGGCAGGTGTTGCAAGCGATGGCTTGTTGTCGAGACGGTGCGATGCCGTCATGAGGCTTCGATTGGGTTTGACACATCATATGACATTGGTCTGTAGATGGAGTGAGATGCAATATAGACAGATGCGAAGGGAGCGACAAAGTGGCGACGGTGCTGAGCAAGCGCGAAGCGCACGTGCTGGCTATGTGACACAGTGCGGCTAATGGGGTGGACGGGGACAGCAATGTTGGGACTACAGACAGGAAAAACGACGCTGTAATGTGTCCATTGGCATGGGGGGTCACGACAAAGCCGCTTTGGTGGAATGTTCCGCGATCGACATGAGCTCGGGGTGGCATGGATGGCAATGTGATGCTGTGCCACAACGACACTAATCGGCCCATGATCATAGACGTATGCTGAAGGTACACGTAGTCCTGAGGTCGGGGAGGTGGTGCGACGTCCCGTTGATGCGGGGGTTGCAGTGTCAACCAATGCAGGCTGAGGCTGTCGGATTCGTCGGTGGCGTCGGCTGTGTGGAGGGTGATGGCGCCAACGACAAGATCACCCAGGAGGCTTTGCATCATGCGAGAGTATTGTTGCGCGGTGCGCAAGGTCAACATGGATATCATGTCGTTCATGGTGGTGCCAGGGAGGACCACCGTGGCTTTCACGATGTGTTTGCCGCCATCGAGATGATGGAACAGAGAAACGCCAGCAGCTGATGCCGCGATGTTGTCTGCGAGCTCGATACGAGCCATGGGAACGTCCCGCTGTACCAAGGCGCGGGCTCTGACTCGAGCGGCCTTTACCATCTTTCTCTCTATGTCCAGAGAGACGACGGTTGTGGGTGGATGATGGCGGTCCAGCGTCATGCTACCGGTATTGACGTGATCGTCGAGGTGAACAAGTGGGCCACTGAGGCATGCCATGACTGCTGTTGGTTGGCTGTATCCATTGAAGGAGCGTCACACCAGGTGCAGATCTGGATGTCCACATGTGGCGCACGTAAGTGCGGCTAAGTGCGTATTCCATGGTTTGGTAGTGTAACCCAAGGCCGTTAGCACAAAGCAACCCCTTGTGCAGCACATCCAAGCCATTCCCTGCGCTTGATGCTCACGGACGGAGGGCCTTTGAACTGGAGCATTGTGGGCGACATGAATGCCGTACTTCGTCGGGGCGTTCGATGTGACGGCAGTGGCACATCTGTCAATGTTGGGTGGCAAGTGTGTTCTGAGTACACAGTCGCATGACCAGAGTTGTGAGGAAGGGCTATGGACGGATAACCCACTTCGGTACAATAGAGCGGCAACGAAGGGGGGCAATTTGACGGGTGAGCTTGAGTATGTACGTTTACACAAATCCACCGAAAGCTCCACGTGGAAATCGGCGCCGGGCGACGCCGTCAATCAAAACTTGGGTCACTCGACCGATCATTGTGACGAATAATACCACTGTAATCAAGTAATCGTACAACATCTGGTGGTGACACATGACATCGATTTTGACCATCGCCGATTGGCAACCCCGAAACCCCGAAACGGAGCTACTAATTCAGAACTGAACGACAAGGGAAACAATCAAACGGGTCACACTTCCGTCCATTTGGCTATGCCGCCAACGGTCTGAAGTCCATTGCACCTGATGAAGGATGCGAATGAAAGGATGTCACTATGTAACGTTAACGTAAATGTAAGTTCAGGTCTTCTACACACCTACTGGGCATGTTCACTCTCACGACAATCAAAACAAATACACATTCTACTAGTAAAGTTAGCTGTTTCGTCGTCCGGGGTCACGTTATTACTCGTTTAAGGCTGTTACTGAAAGTAGTTTGTGGCTATTCAAGGAAGGCAGTGGTGAGTGAATCCGTCGTGCTGTCATGCGCCCAGTACTCGTTGCCGCCCCGCAGTTGCCGGGTCCCTCGCAATACCGCCACAACCCCCACGACCACAACCCCCACTATCAACCCCTTTAGCATCGTCGCCACCTTTGCCAATGAAAGCAGCAAAGTCAGCGACGGATCATCGGTGGCGGGGGCCGTCACGCGGAGACTTGTGGACGTGGTAAACCCGCCCGGCTGGCACCTTGAAATCGCCGCCGACACGGTCGTACCTGCACACGTGACCGCCGTGAACCCCGGCACCAAACTCACGTCACAATCTCGGCAACATCCTCGGGTCGCGCCAACGTCCAGCACCGTCGCGACCGGCAGCGCCGTTGCATCCCACGGACTGGCGGGGTAGATGAGGTTGCCGGCGCATGCTTGGAACGGCGCGGCCACGCGTGCAGCGAGCGTCTTCCACGAGTTCGCCATACACGTGGCTTCGCACACGGCGTTGCTGTAGAACGCGCCGGTCCACGACGGCGCGTCGCACGTTTCAAACCAGTGCGTGATGGACGAGTATGTGTGGACAATGGACGTCGGCGGGACCGCGGGCGCGATCCGTAATGACTGACCGCGGTTGTCCCATGTCCCGAGTGTCGGCATCCACAGGGCCCCTCCGCTCGTCGCCGTATACGTGACAGTCGTGGTGCCAGTCCACGCTGGGCTCGTAAATATGGTGAGTTTATATCCCGCCGCCAGCTTGATGGATGACACAGTGTTGCGAAAGGCCGTCGGGAGCGCAAAGTCCCCCACGCCAAACGACAGAGACGCCCCGAGGTAGTTGGCGTCCAGGTAGATCGTCACGACGTCCGCCGACGCGACCACGTCCACCGCTACCGACAGAATCCGGTTGTCCCATGCGGTGGGGAGGATGTACGAGTTGGCCGTGAACACGATCGAGTTGCCGCGCTGGTTGCGTTGGTCGTATGCGGTCACCTGGAACCCCGTCGCAAGCTGGAGCGACGACGGCGCCAAGCCTGTGGCGAGGTCGGAGGTGCCGATGCCGAACACTGCGCTTGTGCCCTTGTACAACGGGTCCGCGAACAGAGTCAGGACGCTTGCGACCACGGCCGTGCGCGCCACAAACGACTGGGGGTTCCAGTTGACAAAAGTCGTCAGGGGCGTGTCGAACTGGTACACGGCAGACGCAATGCCTTGTTGGTTGAGCTGTTTGTAAAACACGACTTCAAAGCCCGGCGACACGACGAACGAGTTGACGTTGACGAGGAAGTTGCCGTCCAGGTTGTAGCTGCCCACGCCATACGATTTGGACTCGCCCAAGAACGCCCCGACAAAGATGGTCACGGCGATGCCGTTGACCGCGGCCGTGCTGAAGAACGTCAAGTCGCAGTACGTGGACAGTTGGGTCACGGGTCGGTTGAGCAACTTGGGGGCGAACGTGGTTTCCACGACTTCGTTTGAGACGCCCGTGGGCACGAGCGGCCACGACTGGGCACTTGGTGCAAACTGCACATTGTTAACCAACGTCCCATACATCCACGAGCACTTCATGCTTTGGAAGGTCCAGTTGGTGACTTTGGTCTGCAGCTCCGTGGCGTCATACCGAAACGTGAGGGCGGCAAAGTCACTGTCGCGGACGTTGCAGTGCGCGTCACTGGCGGTCGGGAACTTCCAGTTGCCTTGGAACCATTCATCCACGTTTGGGATGGTTTGGCGCCGGTGGTTGTACACGGTCCACGAGATAGCCGGATCGACCGCCTTGATCCCGCACTGCGTCCACGCCTCGAACGTGACCACGGTCGCCAAGCTCGATAACGTCACTTTGTCGTTTTGGGCAAAGTCACGCCACGTTGTACCGACACGCCACCGCCAAAACACGAGCTGGGACACGGTCGGCAACGTCAGACCTGCGATAGCGTTGCCAAGGGCTTGGGGGGTAAACAAACTTTGGATGGGGATCAAAAGGGGCACGAGGTCGCCGTTGAAGGCGGCGGTGGCAGGCGTCGACCAAAAGTGGATTTGGCGCGTCGAAGAGTACCCCAAGCTGGGGAACGTAGTCACCGGGCCCGGAATGTACAACGCATTCGCCGACAGTGCGACAGTGTTGGCCGACATGCTCACCGACGTGACCAAGTTGTTTGCCGTGGCCGCCAACGTCAATGGGCCACGTTTGCACTGAAACTATACGAACATATACAGATGCCGTCGATTTGGACAATTGGGCAGACAATTGCACCAACGTACATTTGAATTAGCATTGGCTGTGGATGTGGCGTCACCACCGGCAGCACCGTCGGCGCCACCGCTGCAATGACTCACAGAAGGTTGGCCGCAGCGATACTCGACCCAGAATTCCTTCCACGTGTACTCGAACGAGACTGTGCGGGTGCATTTGGCGGGGCTGAGCGTGAGCTCTGGACTGGCCAGTACGGCGGCGCTCAGGAACGGATTCTCCACGAGTTTAGTTGCTACACAAGTTGCTGCAAAGTTCTTTTGGAAGAATTGCGACGGCGACTTGAACTCGGCCACTGCTAGGTTGAGGGGACACCCAAACCAGTCGGACCCGGTCACTTGCACGACGTCTTGGCACGACGCATCCACGGGGCTCGAGCACGCATTGTTGACGAACGACGTGACGAACGCCTGGACGCTGGTCAAGTACGCGGTCAACGTGCCGACGTTCTCGGGCCACCCGACCTTGGTAAAGTCGCCAGTGCTGGCAGGGCACGGCGTGGTCGATCGCGGACGGAAGTGGTCAGACACGGAAAAGCACAACTGACAGATGCCACTGCGGAGGTTCACGGGTTGCCACGCTTCCACTTGCGCCACGTACACTCCAGGGGTCATCGTGGCAGGGTTCAATTTGGACCACACGTAGTTGTTGCGATTCGTGTCAAAATCAGCCCAAGTGTAGTCGGATTCAGGCGACAAGATGGTGAAGTCGTTGGCGGCGTTCACGGCAGTGCTGCGTAACGTCACCACGGCTGTGTGTTGGCTGTTGGTCGTGTGTGGAAATTGCACGGCGGGGGCCGAAGTGACGACGACACCGGCCGCTGTACCCAATGTAAACAAACTTGCCGACCCTGGTGACGTCGGAATGGGTGAGTCCCAGCAATTGTCATCGAATACATTGCAAGCAAGGCACGCGCCGGATTGATCGACAATATAGTAGTCGTTGCCAATCCATGCAGGGCATGTGGTGATTGACGTATCCACTCCTTGTGCCATGTCGTGCAGTGCAGCGCGGCCGTTACTCCATGGCTGTACGGCTGCATGCACCGCGAGCAAACCTCCTGAAAGAAGTACCAGAGCGCGCCGCATAGGATGGAACCTGAAAAGATCGCAATGAATCGAAATCCCCAAAGATCGTGGTGAAATGTCATACTCCGGAGTAGTAATAGTACTACGATTGCTAGTAATACTATGCCTTTTAATAGTAGTACTAATGTTACCAGTAACTCAAGAACACTACAGTACGATTGGCCATTAAAGTTGAATACTACCCAATCGTATGCACTACAATAACTCGATTTGATTGGCTATAAAGGTCCATCTGCACTTCCTGGATTGGCCAATCTGACAACCATTCTTATTGCCTCGAAATCGTCATTCTGTGTGTCATCGATTGACCATGTTGTCGTCGCTCATCCGTCAAGCGGCAGTGCGATCAAGCAAGTATGGGGGGTCAGCTCTGAAGCTCACCTTCCCCCAAGTCCGCTCCGGTTCGCACCACACTCGTGTGATGCCGTTCGCGATTCCGCATTCGAAGGCGTTCTCCACGACGTCATCTCAGCGGGAAACGGATTTGGAAGCCGAGAACACCAAGCTAAAGGCTGAAATTGAGAAGTTGAAGGCGCAGGCGAAGAAGAAGGGTTTCGTCGCGATGGTGCAGGAGAATGGATTGCCATTCGTCTTGTGGTGGGTTACCCTCTACGGAAGCAGCGGCGTTGGTATCTATTACGCGCTCGAAGCTGGGTACATTGGCGGCGGCGACGCCATCCATTTGATTCAATCGCTTGGCCTGGATCAGTACATCGACATAGAAAAGCTGAACCCGACCTACGGCAACATTGCCATCGCTGTCTTGATGAACGAAATCCTCGAAGCCGTCCGCTTGCCGCTGTGCATTGCCACCACTCCCCTCATTAAGCGAGCGTTTCTGAGCGCCACGGGCAAGAACCCTGCGTCGTCGTCGGCATAAACAATTACACATATAGCTCTGTCGTCAGCCTCGATTCGTTGTTGACGAGATTATGATCCCCCACGATTCTTCCGCCGTCATGCGGTTCATTTCCTCGCTGGCAATACTCCGTTTCACTCGCAAGTACTCGTCCCATTGAAAGCCGTCCGTCGTCGCAGACAATCTCATCTCCACGTCATTCGCACGTGATCCTTGCTCTTCTGCTGAATGTCGAATGGTGGAAGAAATCGACGGACGACGACGTAGCTGTTCTTCTTGCGAGCACCCAATCTCTTCATCGCGAACAGTAGCTCCACACTCTAACGTGTCTGCAAAGCGTAGCCCTACCCAATAATACTCCGTTGGACATTTGGTGGAAGCATGTACGAACCGAGCACTGTCACCGCATTGCAGGCGCCTTGAGCCAGGTGGATGGGTTGGTTAGTGTCGAACGTTAACGGCGTCACTTTGTCGTGCAAACTAACAACAGTCAATGCGTGGGGTGTGCATGTGTGGTCCCAACCATTCATAGAGGTGGTGCAGTTGCGCTAACACAAACGGGTGGCTCTTGTGCGTCACGAGGCCGACGGGGTCCCACACCAATGGAATGCCAAAATGTTGGAGCACCGAGCACACAATCGCAACGTTCAATTGACGTTCGTCTCGCTCCTGCAATCGAATCAACCGATGAGTTCGTACAGTCGACGACACTTTATACCGTCGGACGGGTATGCATCCGGCACGACTGAAACAGCCGATGCCTTGCTGGGGAGTTGTCGTAGCCGTAATAATGCAAGAGGCACCACATGCGTATGCCGTTTCTACATTTACTCGATGAGTCCGCACATTCAATCCTGGTTCAGTAGCCCCACGCACCGAAAAGCATCCCACAGACCAGGAGCATCGTTATCGTTGGTGGCCGTTTCCAAAACATCCCATGACATCGACTCGTCGCAAGCGTGGCCGTATTGCTGCAGGATCCGTTGAGACCACACTCGCACGGCTTGGATAGGGATGCGCCTGACGGCGACTTTATGGAACAGCTCGAGCACAAACACAGCCAACGCCCCTCGGTCGCCAGACCACATAGCTTCAGCGGTAGGAACGTTGCGCGTGCACATGGGAAAGCTAGCCATCCATGGTTCAAGTGCCGTCGAAATTGACGATTGTTTATACCGGCTCAGGCATTGCAACATGGCTTCGAGATTGAGCTGGGCCGCTCGAAGGGACTTGGCTTTAGGATTGACTTTGCCGAGGCTAAAGTCTGGAACAAGTACATGCAGCACGTGGCAGAGCAGCACGCCATTTTGCATTTGAGAAGGAAACCGCTCCAACGTGATCTACCGTCGTCATGAGGTACGTGGACAATACATAGAGTTATTTGCTGGAACGCACTTCTTCTGGCCACGCTTTGAGGCTGTTGAGCCACAATAAAAGTTGCTGCAGTTGCTTTCCCGACACTTTGGGCTTGGCCAAGTGTGTTCGGAGTGACAACGACGCTCGAGGGATACGTTGATCGGGGGGCTGTGATACCCCATTTGTTATCGTCCCCCAGAACCGATGGTTGGAGATCATAAAGCACCTGCTGCGATGGGGGAAGCGTATCGTTGATTGTTTTCGTGCGTGCGAGATCGGCTGAGAAGTGCGCAGTTGCGGCGCGCGCAATGCCGCTCCCTACTGATTTGTGACTAGGGATGCCGTGGAGTGGGGGGTTGATTACGCTGACGAGGTGACGACATGGTTATGGTGCGCGCAGAGCCCCCCCTTAGGGACACAAACGGACGAGGAGAGCTCGTCGCCATCACGAGACAATCATGCAAATATGGTTACGCGTAACCGCTGGGTAAGCAGTTTCGCTGAAATTCTTGTGGTTTCCTAACACTGTAAAAGTTCTGATTGGTTGAATAGACTTGTCCTTTCTGTTAGAACCAATCAAATCTACTTAAGATTGGATTAGCCAAAAGCGTCGATTCGATTCGACGGGGACTGAAAATTTGTACCGAATTCACAATAACGCTACATTATAATGCATTTGCAGCTCGTGCCCCGTAGCTCAGCATACGCCATGCGTGCGGAGGCCAGACTTTCGGTGCTTGGTACTGTGTCCAATCGCAAGGGCCAGCTTCGAATTGTCCGTCGTCGTGGGAACGAGGCGGGATTTTTGCACACGCGGAGATTCCAGGAACTCAATCGTGCGAGCAATGTCCTCCACAAGCATGTCGGCCATGGGGCGGGTAAAGTTTTGCTTGACGACTACCCGCATGATCACGAGCGACTCAGCCCCTCGGGGGCACGTATACGCCGGCAGTATCCACCCTCGAGACCGCACCTTGTCTTGAATGTCAAAACACGTGTACTTGTCTGAATTCTTCAATGCAAACGCAACCAGAGGCATATGTGCCTTGTCCACAATGTCAAAGAGCCCTACACAACGTTGAGCAGTCGGTGGGGTTGTGTTGGCACAACACACTCACCGGTGTCACTCAATCGACACCGCAAATACTCTGCAGTGTTCATGCCGGCGTCCATAATAAGGCGGTACCCTTCTCGCCCCATGCGAATAAAGTTGTAGTACTGCGCAAGAATCGTGCCGGCGCCTTTGGAAAAGTTCAGCGTGAACGCTGCTTGGTCGCCCCCCAGATAATTCACGTGAAAGACCAAGTCTTCAGGCAAATCGGCAGGTTCTCGCCACAGCGCCCACCCAATCCCGGCGTACACCAGCCCAAACTTGTGGCCACTGACGTTGATCGACTTGACCAGCGGCAGTCGAAAGTCCCACACCAACTCGGGGTTCAAAAACGGCGCGATGAACCCACCGCTGGCCGCGTCCACGTGGATGCCGACCTCCCAGCCGTGTTCGTCATTCATTGCTTCGACCATGTCGTGGATGCCTTGGACGTCTTCAAACTCGCCGTTGAATGTGCTGCCCAGTACAACACACACGCCAATCGTGTTCTCGTCAATCAACGGCTCCGCACGCTGGGGGGTCAACACAAGAACTTCGGGGGTGACATTGGCTACAACAACCTCAGTTTCTGTGGTCAACACGGCAACAACGAATCACCTTCGCGACATTCCACGTCAAAGTAACGGCACATCTTGTGCCAGCACACTTGCACGTTGGCCCCCATGACCATGTTGGGCTTGTCGGTGGGGAGCCCCTGCGCATCGCGGCGATGCTTCCACTTGCGTTTCATGGCCAAGCCAGCCAGCATGATGGCTTCCGACGACCCCACGCAACTGGTTCCCACGGGGTCACTGGGGGCATGGAATAGATCTGCGAGCATGGCCACACATCGCTTGTGGATGTCTGCTGATTGAGGGTACTGGTCCAAATCGATGTAGTTCTTCCGCATACCTTCAAACAGGATCGCCTCTGCTTCCGCTTCCATAAACGTCGTCACAAAAGACGCCAGCTACAGAGCCTAGATGACCCAATAGCCCCCACTACGACCATATGTACGTACGTACGTTCATTTTGGGATTGCAGTCCAGGGACAACTCGTCCTTGATCAAATCTGCGGCCACGGAGGCGGGGGTTCCAAATGTCGGAAACTTGGAGTCTGGCAAGCCCTCCCAGAATGCTGGATGGGCGTACACGGGGCAGTCGGCACTGGCACGCAAACCTTCCTCGGGGGTCCCAAATGCCATCCTCCGATCGAATTGACCAATGCCGCGAAGAAAACGACTTTGGCCGGTCAACGGACTTTTCGGATAATGCAAGATCGTCATGTTCCATCTCGTTAATAGTCAAAGCAAGTTTAAAAATCATCCACGTCGAACCGTCACACCCCGTTGATATTGTCACAACGTATGTTTGTATTCAAGAGAGACACTTTATTGAACTAAGCCAGTCCTATGGAGCCACCGTGTTGAGTGATCCCACCACAAACAACCATTCCTCCATGTATGGAGCCGACGTCATTCCTGGGCGTCAACGAGGACGTACTGGCGATAACAATGCCTTCCCTTGCTGCGTCCGCCGCATAGTTGGGGCGACTTCCTGACGACCCCATGCGATATCTACCACCAGAGTGCGCATGCTGCCGTTGACAAAGATGAGGCTTTGCTTTCCTACCGATGGCTTCGTCCATCTCGCTGCAGAACTCGTTCGTCTACAAGTCGCTGAAAGCACCACTGCGCAACGTCGTGCGGCAACTTCGGCAGCTGCCTCCGAACATGCTTGATCGTTGGCTTTGTCGATTTCAACACGACCGCTTTGACCATATCAAACCACGATTCGTTGCGCTATCACGAGATATCAAATCGAGTTGATTGGACGAACGGCCGCACCTGAGGCAAGCTCGGGCGAAGTCGCTCCATGGGGGGTAAGATTATGGTGGGATATGACTGCAGGGACACTCGGCAGAGTCCGCCATCCGTTGCCTTCAACGCCCCGAGAACAATGCATTCAAAATCGTTCGATGCAGATCTTCGTCGGAGGTTGACGTTGCCGCAATATGGTGGACACCATGTCACATACGGCAGCTTTTCTAGTATATTTGCGATACATTAACATGTTTGAAAGTGGCTGACGGTACCACGATGGAACGCCATGTCGATGCTGAACTCTGTCGCACAAGGTAATGGAGGAAGCTACGGACATGCGCTCGTGTGAGCTTATCATATCCATGGTTAGTTTGAGTGGTGTGTCCTATGCACCGACTGTTTCGATGATGAGCTCCATCGTTCGGAAAAATGCTAGCACATTCTCGTGGCTATCCGTGGCCGATACTACAACGCCCCCTGGGACTGATGTGAGGACAAACCATACATTAGGAACACACTGTACCTTTGTCTATAACGTCGATGGACAGCATTTCCAAGACGGTGTGCGTGGCTGCGTCTTGCACGACATGGACGTACTGCTGCAAGCACCGATGTTCGAGACATTCGCCAACTCCAAACTCCACAACCTACTCGTAGTACATGTTGACACGACAAACCCAACGCACGTCAATCGCTTACATCATGTAGTCGCTGACCAGACTTGCAGTGTCCCATGAGTTTGCGCTTCAACACTTTCATCTCGACTTCAGCTAAGGACATTTGCCAATGAACACCATCTATGGACCTACAGCATGGGCTTACCGATGACTTGGCTTTCAAAGCACTCTTGCGGGAACAGCAACGGCTGTCTCGTTGCGCAGTAGAAGCTCAGTACCGTGCGAATGAGTTGCAACATCGGCGCCGACAATTTTCAGAATGGTAGTGCATCCGGATAATTGGATCTATATTCACGTTATCCGGAATCCGTGATTCAGAAAGCGGTCAAGTTTTTCCTTGGGATCTGGTGGCAAGATGGACATAACTTCGTCATCCCCAATGCAATGTCGGAGTGACATTTCTGGGGCGTTGAGCGATGGTCATGACCATGAGTGACCACACGATGTGCTTTATCGACTTCATCGACACCAATGGTGACAATTAAGCATCATAACGTTAGTTGCTCGTGCTTACAGCTCGGTAGGCACTACGTTTGGAAACGGGCGTTAAGTTGCGCAAAACCTTCGCCAAAGGACTGTCGGAACGCAAGTCGGGCCGCTTCGGCCATCCCAAACCCAATTTCCACTTCACCTGCTCCCAACCGTGCGTAAACGGCGTCGGCAAATTCATCCACGTTGACGCCAAATGTATGCAAGCCAGGCGCTTGAAGATCCGTGTCGACAGCAGGAGGAATCACTTCGATGACCTTGATCGACGTGTTGGCGAGTTGGTATCGAAGTGACCATGTGAACGAGTGCAACGCGGCCTTTGTGCTCGAGTACACGGGGACAGAGGCCAGGGGTGCGAAGGAAAGGCCGCTGGTGACGTTCACGAACGCGGCAAATGGTTTCTTTAGCAAGAACGGGGTCCACAGCAAGGTCGTGTGGACGACCCCCGCGTAGTTGATGTTGATTTCGCTCGAGATCGTGTCCCAGTCCGGCGTCACACCTTGCTTGAGGTCCACGGTACGCTGAATACCAGCATTGTTCACAAACACATCAATCGAAGGGTGCTCCGTGGTCAGGAGCAAGAAGAGCGCTTTCCGTGCGGTGTACCCACATCGCCCACGACAATGTGAAACCCCGGATGGGCGGCTTTCGCTTCCTGGAGCTTTGACAGGCGCCGGCCGACAAGAATGACGGTATTCCCGCTTTGAAGAAAGCGAATCGCTAGGGCCAGCCCGATGCCAGACGCCCCCCCTGTCACGACAATCGTATGTCCCGACACCGATTCCATGAAGGATTGATCACAAAATGTGGTGGTTTCCAGATCCGGTTAAATTTGCTATCGCTCAAAATATATGACCTCGATTAATCCAAGTGCGGGATAACGTTAGGAAGATATCCTCAGTGCATGGATGCGACTTGGCTATAATAATACTGTCTCCTAATATGAGGTGGTTATGATGATAGTTTACTGACGGTGAATTGTTAGCCCTAACAGTTTAACTCTACATGGAGTGGCGCAGGCATGACCACAACCAACGACGGTGCCACACCAGTAGCCAGTTACTCACACGTTCGATATTCTTGTTCCTATGTATCTTTGCGGATCAAGCGCAACAAGTACTATTTGCTGTATTGTGCTTTTCACCTTTTTTGGCAATTCCAGGGCTAAATCCGTAGTTTAAAAAATTCTCAGACTAAATAACGCTTGGGTGCGTTGTGATTGGTTAGTTCTACGTGGAGAGCCTGTTCTGAGGAAAATCAATCGGCTTATACTGTACTACGTAGTACTAAGAAGTACTATACTAGTACTCCGGAGTATTATTCTAAAACACTAAAGCCGTTAATGAACTGTTAAATGCACAATACCAGTACAGTGAACGAGGGAATTTTATGTTGACCATTCAGACTTCAAGATTTCGATTCTACTTCGAATCAAAGTGTGGCTTCAATTGCATCGTCCACTGTATGTTAACGAGAATAATCTGTATAGTACGACCAATACACTTCAAAGTAATTAATCCCTCGTGAGATTTCTGCTGAATTCGAACATCAAACAAATATCACCTCATACATTTTCAAAGTTACTAGTATCCCTGTGTAGTATGGGTGAATATGATCGATCACTTTGCCAACGTATGGTATGTTATTTTGAACGAACCGACTGTTTTACTGAATTCTGTAGTAACGATAGTAAATACTACTACCCAGGTATGCAAATATCATGGTACACACAAACAATTCTTGTTTGCCTGGATGGCTGCTGGTATGGTTGCAGTGAAAAGAAGCTAAGCTTACGATATTATTGCTTTGGACGCTGCGTTGAATGTGTTAACCAGTCGCCGAGCTCAGAGCACTAGTATCTGGAGCCGCAGCGACGGAAACATGTGCCCCCTTGTCAATTACTAGTACTAGTAGCCACGGAAACATGTGCCTCCTTGTCACACGAACGTTGCATCAAGTCGCTTTGTGCCCAGCCCTCATAGAGCAACGTTTGAAGTCGACCCCAATCCCACGTCAGTGTGTCTTCAGCCTCCAATTCCCCCATTGCAAAATCCCCCCATGACCGCCGCCTAGTCAACACAACCCTACGTGCGTTTCACACATTAGCTAGCAGACGGTAGGACGAAGTGGTAACCAATCCAAAGCAATTCGCTCTACAATGCACTCATCGGTACCTGCTAGCACAGCTCACGTAAGCGATAACGTGGAGACTCGGCATCCACGCACAGTCCCTAGTACATTGTACTTCGCACACAGATACCTTGGGATGCTGAAGTTCGGTCCGTGCGTAATATTTGTCGATGTTTCCATCGAAATGGTTGAGTTTTTGATTTTTAGCCAATCAAACGCCGAATAGGCCAAAAAAGGCCAGTCCAATACAAAGGATAGTGTAGAAACAGCCCCCCTTCACAGCAGCCCAGTCCGATTACCGACGCCGACGACTCACTCACAACATGTCCTCACGCCATCGAGGTGGTTACGACGAAGATGAAGACGACGACATGCTTCTCAAGGCACTCCAGATGAGCGAGCCTTGTGGGAACTGCGGGAAACCCGGCGCGCAAATCCCGTGCATGAGCGGATGCGGCGAAGTGTTTTACTGCTCCCGGGTATGTCGACGGCAATCCATCGGCGGAGATCGTTATGATGCAAGAGTCTTACACGTGTTGCCGATCTAGGAATGCAACATGCTTCATGCGTCATCCCATCGGTTGCGATGTCGCAATCTACGATGCTCTAAATTCAACGACAGCGATTGTACGTACTGGCCAAGCTTCACCAGACAATTCGATGTGATTATTGACGACATGATGATTGTAGCGGAAGAAGAATCTAGTGATGAATCGTACGACGATGACTCTGGGGATGGGTCTAGCGACGAGGAACTCCGAGCGCCGCCACCTACCGCTAAGGGCGGCAAGTCGACGTCCACGGGATCTAGTGGCAATGGCAAACCTTCGATGAAAAAGAAGGAAAGTGGCGGTGGTGGCGGCGGCGGTAGTTCGTCTCGCCTTCGCGTGGACTCTGACGTGGAGCGCCGCATTGAGGAAAAGATCATGCGGCGGCTGAAGAAGCAAGAGGAGAATCGGATTGCCCAGGCGATCGAGGCGCAGATGGCGCAGGCGAATGCGAATTGGACAGATGCTGACATGAACCGCATTGCGATGGAAGTGAAGAACCGACTGCAAAAGGAAATGGGCCACATGTTCATGAACGGATCCAGCAGTCGATCGCGCAAAAACAGCATCACGCGGGAAACGTTGCTGCACTCTCGTCAAATCACTTCCATTTCTGAAGAACAACAACATCCAGGCAGTCGCGGCGAGCACCCTCCAAGCGACGGCGACCACCCCGCGACACGTTCAGAGTCGACGAGTCGCGAAGTTTCCCGTCCCGCCGCTCCGTCGAGATCAAACTCGACCAAAGACGCTATGAAACACCCAGGTGCTCCTCCACCCCAGGCCTCGTCCAGCGTGCCTCGAACTGCGACATCGACCAACCACTTGAACGGCAGCTCGTCCTCTCGCAACATTGTCGTGGACGCCGCCCCCATGCAGCACCAATCCAGCCCCGCCGCGGTCGGGCCGATTGTTCCCAGCGAGTCGGTTGTGCTGTCCCCTACGGGACCGCCGTCAGCCTGGAATAACAAGTGCGACGCGTTCTTGTCGCTCAAGATCGTCGTGTGGAAGCTCGACTTTTTGCCGCAGCTCAAGTTTGGCCGCAACGACGTGGACGGGAGCTGGAACAAGCTCGTGGAAGTGGACGCCGACGAATCGTTTTCCCACATCGACGTCGGCGACTTGCTCATGTCCCTGAACGGCCAGCACCTGTCGGGGCTCTCTGCCGTCGGCGACGACCAGGTGATCCAGGACATGCTGGCCCAGACCCGCGGCGGCCACGTAATCCTCAAGTTTAGCACGACCAAACCCGTCAACGTTCACGTCAAGGAGTACTCTGTGCGGTGGGGCAACGGGCCGCTCGGACTCACCCTCAAGGACGACGGGTCGCCCGAAGCGCTGCCCATCGTGCACCGGCTCACGAGAAAGCCAGGGTCCGTCGCAGTCAAAGAGAACATTGCCATCGGCGACGTCTTGTGCGCGATCAACAACATCGACACGGTGCAGCTCGGGTGTGCGCTCACCATGTCGGTGCTGAAAAAGGTGCAACTGCCGGCCACCCTCACGTTTCGTGGTGTCGGCGGCAACGCGACCAAAGCGGCGCCATCTACCTCGCGCGAGGTGGTGCGGTCAGTAAACAGTGTGCCGCAACCACCCGCGCAACCGACGACCCCCACGCCCGGCGCGGTTTACACGGTCAACTGGACCGTGGGACCACTGGGACTGACAATCATCCCTGGCCTAGCGGCGGGCGAACTGCCCGTGATCAAGCGCGTGACGGGCAAAGGCGAGTCGGTGGGTATTGAAAGCGCGCAAGTGGGCGACTTTCTGCTCAGCGTCAACGGCAAGAGCGTGGCGTCCCTCGGGTTTGAAACGATTGTGGACATGATGAAGTCGCTGCCGAAACCCATTGTCCTGGAATTCCAGTCGGCGCAAAAGTCCAACCACGTGCCCTCGGACAAGCCCGACACGACCACGCGATCGGACCGACCGATGCGCACTCCTCCCGCATCCGTCGTCCTCGTGCCCCAAGTAGTAGCAGCAGTTGCCCCCACCGACACCGTTCGGTCCAACCACTCAGCCGCCACCGACACTGGTCGGTCCAACCACTCAGCCGCCGCGACGTCTAGCGTTCGCAATTCGCCCCCCCATTCGTCCAAGTGGCTAGCTCCGCAAGGCGACGAAGTGGACATCGACGTGCCTGTCTCATCTGCGGCAGCGACCTACTCGGTCGTGTGGGGTGCCGACGGGCCACTGGGGCTTACGATTGACGCCATCCCGCACGCCACGGGCGCGTTCATCAAACGATCCAACCGGACAGGGGCCGCTTCGCACCTGTCGGAAGACTGCATTGGCGATGAGATGACTCATATCAACGACATTGACATGACCCAAATGGACTACAATCGTATCGTAACGTACCTTCGCAAGGTCCCCCGGCCAGTCACGTTGCGGTTCAAGAAGGACTCGATCGTCGGCCGCGACTCGATATCGGCGGCGGCACCGTCGGTTTCAACCCCCACCAACCGCTTGTCGTCGTCGCGGCCGGCGACCTCGACGTCGGGACCGGCGAAGGCCACCAGCCAGTATGACTTGGCGTGGACCGAAGGGTCCCTGGGGCTGTCGCTGCACGCAGCAGACGACAAAAGCGAGTTCCCGTACATCACGCGCGTCACGGGCGTGGGGTGCGCCGCGCATCTCCCCAGCTCGGTCGTGGGCGACCAGCTGCGGTACATCAACGCCATGAGCTGCCACTCGAGCCGCATGACGTTCAACGATATCATGGAGATGCTCAAATCGTTGCCGAAGCCCATCCAATTGCGCTTTCAAAAAGGTGGTAGCGATGGCACCACCAAACAAACGTCGTCGCTCGCGGTACAAAGCCACACGGGCAACGGGGCGTACAATGGGGCCGCCCCAAGCAGCAGCAACCACCACAATGGCAACAAGTCGCTCCTGTCGACTGGGAATGGAACGTTCAATTCGGCCAACGGGTCCTATAACACGGGAGGAGACGATGACAATGCCACCACGCACAACATGCTCACACCGTTCGCCGGTGCCCCCAAGCTGTCCACAGGTCGACGCCAAAAAATTGTCAAGCAATTGAAAAAGTAATTGTACAGTTATCGGGAAAATATAAATGAAACCATCTCAACCAAAATGGGACACAGTGTGATCGCAAAGTCAGACCTGTGAATTGGCTGGCTTCAAGAAATTATTTCCCAATTCTGCCCGGCATTTGATTGGCTACCAAATAATCCGTAGAAAGGACACCGAAAATAGACAGAATATTATCTGCGACAAGAAAATTCATAATATCCAATCAAATGTCGCGGCGAGGTTCAGTGCAAAAGATAACGACGCCCAGTAGTAAGTAACGTTACTAGTACTTCGATTTGCATTTAGAAATTTCGAAGTTGATTTTTGGGTGTAACGTTGGCATGGGCATCTCCAACAAACCTAATTTTCTACTACTAGTACTACTATTCGAAGTTACGGATACTTTCTCTATTATCCGGGAAATTGGAGCGACACACTATAATAACAGTAAATTTTCCCGTTTTACGGTCGACAGTAAACACAAACACCAAATTTACCGGATAACGTACATTTATCCGAAATTGTACTGGATACAACAAATGCTATCCGGGAAAACTGAAGTTTACATATGTTAATTGTAGTGCCAAATATAATGTCGCCGTGGTGGAGATACTCTTAGAGCACCCGACAGTAACACTTCCACAATATTTTTATTCTCAAAATATGGGTGAATATGATCACTTTGCGGACACCGTTCGGACAATTTCAGTCGGACATACTTGACATTTGTATTGGACTTAAGGGGAATATATTTTGTCCGAGTGAAAGTGTCCAAACGGAATATGTTCGGACATACTTGTGTATTGTATACACCCGCATAAGAACGAAGAGCTTTACAGTAGCGAGCGACGACAGAGCATCCGCCCACAAAATTGCGCGCACCGCAGCGTAGCGGAGGTCGTGTGTATAATTTTGTGCAGGAGATGCCTTGGCGAGGAATGAGCCCCAATCGTGCACTTCACCGAATTTCCAATCGATTCCTCTTGTCGGGAAAAGCGGCAGGTAGGCCGCAGGCCGTGCCGCTACCCTGTGGTACAACTATTCGCATTTAATGTGTAAATCCTTAAGTGCGTGTCCGAAGCACAACAATGGAAAGGTCCAAATTTAACAAAATTTGACCGGATAAGTCGTCCCATACCCGGATAAGCTGTGTTGTGCCGGATAATCCGGTAGTAGCATGTATTTTCGCAGGTTACTTTCCAAAACCCTCTGATATATTATAGCCATACCTTTAGACATTAATATAACATCTACCAATTTATTATTTTCTGATATTTTTCCGGAGCCTTGACCAATCAAATCACTTCGAGTCGCCAGAATATTTTTGCTACATCGAATACCTCCATTTAACTGTAAAGTGGTCTCCGGGTATCCTATACACCGAAAAATAAATAATTCGACCAATAAGCGTTGAGTAAAAATATAATGCCCGGAACAATCAGAACTTCGCGCGCCTTTTTGACACTTTGGTCAATGGCCCCAGGGCGAGTAGAACCATTTTGCATAAATCAAAGGCTTCAGATGACGCGCACTGTAGTACAGTAGTAATACAATACCATTGAATATAGTTGATATCGCGCCATATTTTTGCTTCCACGAGACATATACGCATATGCTACTGTTACTAAATCTGGTACTGGTAATCGCCTTCGGGGTAGCCGAACAGTCGCCTTCGCAGTTCGAGCAGTTCGGGGTGACTTCCGTATTGCATTTGTTGCTGTTGCTGGTGTTGGTGGACAGCGACGGCGGCGGCAGCTGCAGCGGCTTGATGGGACCGATATTGTTGCTGTAGTTGCTGGTAATGGGGGAACGACGTGGCTTGGGACGGGTGGTATTGCTGCGGTTGTTGAGTCTGCTGCTGCATCGGCACTGCCTGGGGCATCGGGGTCGGCTGGCCCGCCATAGCCCCTGGATGGTGACCATACGGCTGGGTGTAATGGTTCACAAGGTCGCCAGCGTGCCCCACAACGTTTGGGTGGTTGGCTGCGACGACGTCGTCTGGTGTGAGCCCAAGCACCGCGGCCGCGTGACTCGGATGATGGTGCTCGTGACTGGGACACATGCCGCCACCCATGACCCACACAAAGCAGCCCTGCCACCCACATTTTTTGCCGCCGCCGTGGGCTTTGCAATGGCCACCGCCGCGATCGATGCCTTCGCACCCCGCCGTCTTGCATTTGGTACCGCCGCCATGGCGGATGCAGTACCCCCGGGTCTTAACGACGTTCTCACAGCCGTCAATGATGCATTGCTTGCGGCCACCGTGCGCCTTGCACAGCTTTTTGTACTGCGCGGTCTTGTTGCAGCCTTCTTCTTCGCACAGCCGACTGCCGCCGTGTTCCCGACACCGTTTCTTGGCCTGTTGAGTCTTTGTGCATCCGTCGACAATGCATTCCTTTCGACCGCCATGGGCCTTGCACATGCCACTGCCAGCATCTACTTTGGTGCACCCGGGAGTCTTGCATGTCGGCGACGGGTCTGGCAGGATCGCAGCAGGCGGCGGATTCTTGTGCACGGGACACAGCCCTCCATTCGGTGCCCACGACGTGCAACCGATGAGCGTACACTTCTTACCACCGCCATGGGCCTTGCAATACCCACCGCCGCGCTCCACTTTTTCGCAGTTCATCATGCCGCATTTGGTCCCGCCGCCGTGGGTCACGCACAAACCCTTCCCAACATCCTTGTTCGTGCAGCCCGGGGACGTGCATATGCGACTGCCGCCGTGTGCTTTACACACACCGCGGAACACGCGCTTGTTGTGGCAGTTCTTGACGCTGCAGAGCGCCTTGCCTCCGTGCTTTGAACACAAGCCCATGCCTTGGGCCGTGGACGAGCAGCCTTCAATCTTGCATGCCTTGCCACCTCCGTGGCCGATGCAGAGTCCTGCGCACTGCGCAAACCGTGGACACCCCGGCACGCGGCAGGTCTTGGACGTCATGTGTCGCCGTCGTCGTCGTTCGATTTCCCCCCTCCTTCGAGCGAACGAATTTGTTAATTTTATACCACTGTCACATTTGAATTTTATAAAAATATCCGGATAAAATTGACATGTTATCCGACTATCCGCCGCCACCACCATTTTCGTGGAAGTTGAAGCTCTTTACGTCATGGACGCCACGCAGGTGGCCGCAAAGCGTCCGGCACCTGCCAACGGTGATGCTCAAACGAAGAAAAAGATGAAGAAGTTGGTACGTACACAACTGTTCCTCCACGCAGCCGTAGCTATCTCATCCATCGCCAACGTAGACGCCAGAACAAGCGACGCAACTAGAATACCGCAAAAAGCTCGAAGCTTGTGCAGCCGCGTCGAACGCACCCCAAGCCCTCGCTGTATTCCGCGAAATGAAGGACAACGATATCCCATTGCAGACCTATCTGTACCAGATGATCTTGAACATTTGTGGGCAATCCACGACACAGGAGGATATCGTCGGGGCGGCGTTCGACGTGTACGAGCACATGAAGACACACGCGTCCTCCACGCCGAGGTCGAAAAAGCACCCCGTGGATGAATCATCATACAGTGCGCTGATCAAACTGTGCTCCAAGCATCACATCACAGACCGCGCATTGGCCCTCATCGCCGAGCTCGAGGCGCACAAAGTGTCGCCCAAGCTGCGCACGTTCGCTCCGTTGTTGGCTGAATTTGCATCGACGCTGGACCTGAAGCAGGCTTGGTGGGTGTTCGAGAAGCTTCTTGAACATGAAATCGACGCCACGGAAGGCGAGTATATCGCACTGCTCACCGCCAGCTCCGCGTTAAACGACGCGTCCATGTTTTACAAGGTGCTTGGGCTTTTCTGCGACCAAGTTCTCGTGCCCAGTCCCAGTACGTGGGACGTCCTCAAGGCATTCTTTGGCAAGTCGGAGCTCCACAAGGGCGACGCGTGGCAGTGCAACATTGGCGAAGTGAACGACCAGGGGATTTGCTCGGTCACGGGTTCAACCTTGCAAAGCGTCGAGTTGTCTCGTGAGAAGGAGGATGCACTGTTGGCCAAGGTAGGCTACGTGACGTGGCATTCTCTCATCTTGTTATTGTGTGTTCTGCTCATAAGTTATTCCGGCAGTTGGTTGAATGAATCTGCGAAATATGGTATAAAACTAAGTTTAAGAGGTATCTTTGTGACTGCATTACAACCAACATTCAGTCATTATAGCCAATCATATTGCAAACTTCATTCTTTTTAGCCACTCATACTTATTTGACTTATTTGCTCAATTTCATCCATCCCCCAAAATTAGCACATTCGACTGAAAAGTACAATATGCGTAGGTGGAAAACTTGGTGTGCACGTCGGATGAACGGATCGAGCAGTGGACGGCGTTCAAAACATGGCTAGACGAGCATGGCCCGTTTGACGTGATCATCGATGCTGCCAATGTGGGGTACTTCAATCAAAACTTTGAAGGGTACGTTCGATGTGTTGGCCAGGCAGAAGCCATGGCGTTGATAGATTGTTGTTAGTCAAGGTTAGTTAATATGTCCTGTAGGGGAGGATTCAGCTACCCACAGATCCAAACCGTGCTGAAAGCGTACCAAGACAAAGGCCAGAAGCCACTGATTGTGCTGCATAAGCGTCGGACGAAAGACCACCAAGTGCCCGAGCCCCATCGTGCAATGGTCCAGCAGTGGAAACACGATAACGTCATGTTTAACTGCCAATACGGCAACAACGACGACTGGTACGAACATGATAAAGTCGTTCGTGACGTGTACTTTGTCACATATATCCCTGTCATGTCATAGGTACTGGTTGTATGCGGCCGTAAAGCTGAGCGGCCGCACGTTAGTCGTGTCGAACGACGAAATGCGAGACCATCATTTCCAAATGATCCACAACCAAGACTTTCACCGGTGGAAGGAGCGACATCTGGTGCATTATGAAGTGCGCGGCCACAAGCTGGACCTCCACGAACCGTCCGTGTATTCGATGCGAAGTCAACATTTGGAGTCGGGGAGTTGGCACTTTCCGTCCACAGCGTCGTCGGACTGGCTCGTGTTTCACCGTCGACGTTCAAGTGTGGCAGCACCATAAGTACCATCTTGCCGTGTGGCTAAGATTAGAAATTTAGATACAGGTGTACTAGCTGAGCTATAAATACACTTCGTTTGGGCCATCATTCCCGTCAATTGCGTCGACAGTGTTTCTCTTGCGATGTCCAACAATATGTGGTCGATGGTGCTGTGCCCGTTGCTCGTGCTGTGGCAAGGTACTGTCAACACTACAAATAATCCAGACGGGAGACGATAGCAAGTAATGCTGTGGCTTGACTCAGTGGTCCAAGGCAGTAGTGCTGTATCGTGGACTCGGCTAGCTCGGGACTCGTTCGAGGCACCTGGTGGTCGGCAAGGCATGGTCATGGAGGTTGTGGGGGACGCGGCCTACATCTATGGCGGGGTAGGTGACGGAGACCACAACGTCTACGACGATACGTGGAAGGTAATGCCATCCTTTGTAACCAATACAGTCAACGGGGGAAAAGCATATACCTCATCATGTATCGTGCTGGTCTAGTTTGACTTGGTGCGCCTCAAGTGGCTGCCAGTGGTCACGGCGGTCAACCCCGGGCTTCGCTTTGACCACGTGTCGGCCGTTCGACAGGCCACGCAAGAAGTGTACATCTACGGAGGCATGACGCTGAACATTAGTGCGTTCAACCAGGTGCTGGGGTGGAACGACGACGACGGGTACACCCAACAAGGGGATGTGTGGGTGCTGGACACCGTGGCCGAGACCTGGACAAAGGTGCAAACCGTCCCCCAGGATGGTCCTGGCGTTCCCCTGGCTCGAAGTGAAGCGACGGCAGTGACCGCCGCAGATACAGCCATGGTGGTGTTTGGGGGGGTGGTCATTCCTTCCAACAACTCGCTGATCCCCGTCGACCTGAACGACCTGTGGCGACTCGACTTTGTGACGAAACAATGGACTGAGTTGGCCACAGTAGCTGGTACTGCTAAGCCAGCCGCTCGCTTTTCTCACGCGGCCACTACAATTCCAGGTACAAACGCATATCCTCGTACCATGTCTGTACTTGAACTACTGCGTGGTCCAGTTGGAACCGTCGAACACATGGTCGTGTTGAGCGGACGCCACATTGTGGGTGACGGATGGACCATTCTCACCGACGCGTGGATGGTTCCCCTGTCCTACGAGGTAGATTTATCATCGCATGATATTTCCGCTTACGTCATGTGATTACATCGGATAAACCAAGGGGAGTGGCTTGACGTGGACCCTTTTGCATGCCGACCCAGCGTACGACCGAATATACTCTGGCGTTGTGTACGCCCACCAAGGACTTTGGATGATCGGGGGGTTCAATTACATTGGCCAAGACAACGCGGTGGCGTATCCAGACACCATCTACGCCGCCACCCTCGCCGTTCCAAACTTGGAGCTCAAGTTCGACTACACTTCCGATGCCGTACGTGTGGCCAAGTGAGTCCCGTTCGTTTCTCACATGTTTTTTTGGATATATAACTCAGTCGACCCTCACCGCGCGTTTCAACCATCGCATGGCCGTGTACAAGTCTGGCATCCTTGTCTACGGCGGCAAGTTCCAGCGATGTTACGGCGACCTCTGGCTACGCAACACGACCACCCTGCCCACAGACTCGTCGCCGTACATTCAGGATCTGAACGCCATCAGTCCAGTGATGTTCCTCTTGCTGGCGTTTGTCGTGCTTTTCATCACGTGCATCATTCTCATTGCGCACCTCTACAAACGGTTATACCGCCAGCAGGTACGAGGCTCGAGCGAGCTGCTGGAGGTTCACATGTGTGTGTTGCTCGTACAGATGATAAGGCATGGGGCCGCTGTCTCGGGTATGGTGCGACCGCGAGGAATGTCAAAAGAGCAAATTGACCACTTTGAACTGGTCAAGGTCGGATATCGCTCTCCAACACACGATTCAGCTGTGACATCGTTGTTGTAGTTTGCGCCGGCGTCGACAGCCGACGTGTCCGATGAAATGTGCCCCATTTGCCTGGTACGACATGCAGTTTGGTTTACGGCCTTGTGTTTACGACGTTCAATCAGGTCGACTACACTCCAGGCCAAGAGTTGAGGCAACTCCCGTGTAACCATCGCTACCATCCGCCTTGCATTGACGAATGGCTCCAAAAGAATCAAGTGAGTTATCTATCATATTCTGTCTATAAACTAAACCACTAATATGTCGCGGTAACAGACATGCCCGATGTGCAAGCGTGACATGGCATTTCCCATGAACGCACAGCCGCCACGAAATCTCCCCCAGCCTCGAACCCCTGGTGTCCTCATCGACGACGCCCTACTCAACGACTAAACGCACCAGATAGTAGTTTATTCGTGACTTCAAAGCGTCATAAAACTCAGGATAAAGAGTTCCATGGATGAAGTACAGCGCTGCTTGGGGATAGCTGGAGGCACTATCTATCTAGGGGTATAGGGCATATATCATCACCTCGTCGCCCTATCGTGTGCTCATTATTGGCGGAAGAGACACATTCAGTAACGTGTACGACAAGCAAACACCGCCTTGGATGGTTGAGGTTTCTTCGGGAGTAGAATATATATGGTTCTCCGGTTCTGGAACAATGGGGAGTTGGCGTGGAGTTGGCACGAGTTAAGTATAGCATATAAGATCTGTATGTCTGTCTGCACGTTTTGACTTTGCACAGTTCTGTGAAAGCATAACGACACGCTAGCAACAACTTCAATTCAGCGTCCAGTACGATACTTGTCATGGCGGCGCACGTATCTATGGGGAAACTATATTTAGCCGAAATGTCAATCTATCATCGTGGTGGACAGTGTGTAGTTTGGTGGAACAAACACCAGCATGTGCTCGTGGTGGTGGCTTGTTCTACCTCCATTGGTTCTCTCGAGTCTGGGTACGTTTCGCGATGGCATGCCTTGTGTGAATTGCTTTGGTACACTGTTAAAGCAGCTCGCAGAACTACGGGTAAATGGACCAAGTTGTCTGGCCCCGATGCCAACAGCCCCGCTCGACGCGAAGGCACTATCCTTCAAGTGATCGGCGATATTGCTTATATCTACGGTGGCCTGACCAACAACACGATGTTTACCGACACGTGGAAGGTATGTTGAGGCAGACGACGAAGAAGAATAAACTTTTTTGACTTCATCTAGTTTGACCTGCTCCATCTGGAATGGACCCGACTCGTCACGACAGTGTCGCCCGGCTATCGATTTGACCACGTGGGGGTATGTAGCTACCTGTAGGCCACGTCTCGGTGTCATTGTCTCACTAACTATTGTCCACAGACAACCCATGGCACGGACGTGTATGTATTTGGAGGGTCCGTGTCGAATACAAGTCGACTACAAAGCGGCACGCTCTCCCAGATGAACGACATGTGGAAACTAGACTCGTTAATCGACCAGTGGGTCCAAATCACGCCCCCTTCGTGCATCCATCGCCTCCCCGCCCCTCGCACTGAGGCTGTGGCCGTGCCGACGGGGGATGCCATGGTGGTGTTTGGGGGGGTGGTGCTACCTTCCTCTAACGAAAGCGCGGCCGACTTTAACGACATTTGGCAGTTTCGTTACGATACCGAGACTTGGCGCGAAGTTGTGCCCAAGGCAAACACCCCTTTGCCGTTGCCTCGGTTCTCGCACACCGCTACCACTGTCACAGGTACCCCCCCTTCTTGATAAATAATCCAGTCGCTATCCTGATTCTTATATTCTAGTGCATGGCGTCCGCCACATGATTGTCCTCAGCGGTCGACATATCATTCGAGATGGGTGGTCTGTCCTCGCCGACGCGTGGATGCTGCCGCTCGTCCTTGTAAGTGACGTGTTGAGAAAACTCGGACCATTCGTTAACTCCTTCCTTAGGATGACAATGACGAGGCGCCAACGTGGATATTGCTGTCTGTGAGTCCTGTGTACAATCGCCTCTTTGGGGGTGCTGTGAGCGTGAGCTCAAGCCTGTGGATGTTTGGTGGGTTTGCTTTCTACAGCCACAGCGAGCGGGACGGCTTAGCATACTCCGACACGGTGGCTGCAGACATTGCGTCATTAATGGACAACAAAGTAACTCTATTTTATGACTACACAAGCTCAGTACGTTTCCTGCATTGACATAGCCCTCATAATATCAGCTCGAATGATGGTCCAAATGATTACCCAAACAGGACGAAACCACCCGAAGCAGCCCACACGCCCGATTTCACCACGCCATGGCCGTGTGGCGCGACCAAGTGTTGGTGTTTGGCGGTAAATTCCTCCAGAGCTACGGCGACCTGTGGCTGCGCAACACAACCATGTTCCCCACAGACCCAAATCCGTACCAGCCCCGTCCCAACGCCCTTAGCTCGGTGGTGTTTGTGTTTGTCAGCGTATTTTGGCTCTCGTCGGTCGTGGGCTATTTGTGTTTGTTTGCGATCCGTATCTGCTTTCCCCCAGTACAAATCCACTCCCCCTCATTATATACCCTTCCCCTCCTTCATACCTTGGCCATATCCTAAAGATTGTGCATTTCTAGTTTAACTTCCGTGTGCGCATGATGCCATTGCCGCCGTTGCGCCATCGAGGACTTTCATTCGATGAAATTACCGCCTTTAAACTTGTTCCCGTACGAGATGGAGTAATACATTTGGTATTTCTAAGGTTAAATTTGAGATAGTTTGTTGCCCGGAAGGACGGCGGTGGGTCGGACGAACTGTGCTCGATTTGCTTGGCCGACTTTGAGCCCCGAGAACGCCTCCGTGAGCTCTCTTGCCAACATCGATACCATCCAGCTTGCATCGACACTTGGCTGGCCAAAAGTCAGGTAAAGCCTTGAAATGTCAATTTCGAACGTGGATGTATCTATGATCGACGCAATCGTCACAAAATTGAATGGTAGTCGTGCCCTCTCTGCAAACGACACCTTGCGTCACCCAAGGCCACGACGTGGGCTGGACGCGTCGCACGACATAGGGTTACAGCCGCCGCTCCGGCGCAGCAGACATCAACGCATACACCACGATGACAAGTGACAACAACCAAATGAAATTTATTGTATGCGTTTGGCACATTGTGCACGTTCGTTTAAGATGGGCGTAACTAAGGTACAATCTAACCGAGCGACATGACAAGCCTCTAGATTTTGAATGTACCATCGTTGTTGCGAACTCCTACAACTCCAGGTGTGGAAATGCTTCAACACACATCCTTGTGCTTCGTGTGTGCTACCGTGAAATCTGTATATAACGTTAGTGTTGGGCAGCAAGAATATGTACTAATAGTACTTCGTAGAGCTATTGTACAATTTGAGAGAATTCAGATGAGATGAATGATGAACAAGTTTGAAGCCCACCTGAGTATCGTGGAAGCTGTGATGTATAATAGCAAAGCTTGCAAAGGTGACAATGCCATTTCTTCACCCATAAACAAACCCATGAGCTATGCGTTCGTGTGATCATGTTGTGGCGTGGGCCTGTGCGATTGCCAGTATGTATTGTCATTCAACTGTTGCATGTCATCTTCTTCCTTCAGCGTAGACATCCCCACTTTGCCGCTGCACGTGAATTCAAGTGTCTGTCTTCCTGGTCTGGCAGACCATGGCGCAAGATGACACCGTGATGAAAGGGATCGGGAGACGCGGCATATATCTATGGTGGGGCAGGGACGCCAACGACGACTCGACTCGGTGCCATGCGAGTGGACTGTCGTGGACGGGACCGGACACGGGGGATTTTTCGCCCAGTGTCCCCGTCGGCCGCGTCCAATCCGAAGGCCATGGTTGTGTTTTGGGGGTATAACCATTCCCGATGCATTCTACCTCACGGCCTTCGACTTCAGCGACGTGTGGGAGTTCGATTTCCAGGTCCATACGTGGCAGGGGTGGTGATAGCAGTTAAGTCCGTTTTGTCCACCGCACGATTTTCCTACTAGTTTGTGAGTACAATTCGAGGGGTCTAGCATCATCCTGGCTATTACGAAGCGAGCGTTTTCTCTACTTGCCGTCTTCGAACATGCACACTATGATCGTGTTCAGCGGACGGCACATTGTCAACACGCGGAGGGTCAATTTTCAGCGATGCGTGGATGCTCCTGTTGCCAACCACTGTACCGCCAGCAATCGCATATTCACGTCGATTTCTGATATAATTCGAGGGCAATGTAGGGGGAGCTGACTGTGAGCCACCCATTTGGTCGAATTCTATCGGGGGTGGTCGCCACTGATTCGTCGCACATGTGGATGGTTGGTGGGTTTGCATTTGACTCTCCGATGCAGGCCCAGGTCGCGGCAATTTCAGACACGTTGGCTACAGATGCGTCCTTGGTTCCCATCGTCACACTCGTGGACAATGCACAGGTAGAAATGCCATTTGCATCGCCATTTCGTTTGCCTTATATGCGACGACATGTAGACGGGAAGCTCCAACGTCGACGACGGTCCGTCTGCTCGCATTAGCCACCGTATGAGTGTGTGGAAGGGCAATATCGAGTTGTACTGAGGCAGATTCGTGCCATGTCTGGGCGATGCCATGGACGCCACAGCAAAGAGACACGCAACTCGAAGAGGAGGCCTTTTGTAAGAAGCTACGGCCTCAAAGTTCCGTTCACGTAGCCCCATGGACGAGATTTGCCCCATTTACCTCCTATGGTATGAAGTACGAGGTTGTTCTAATGCAGTGTGATAGACAGCCTCCGGCAATTGCCCTGTCAACATCATGTTCATGTCCAGTGCATAGGCGAGTGCTCCAGCGCAACTTGGTAACGTCAGAATTCCACATCGACATATATATGTGTACGTACACCCACAATCAATTGTGTACACATAGAAGTGCCCCATGTGCAGACGAGATTTGACCCCTACAACCAGCTACTGCTCGAGCCACAGAGCCAGTCGAGCGTGATAGGACTGCCCACAAGACCTTCGAGCCCGCTGTATTTCCACTGTCTCGAAGCATCGACATCCGAGTAGCACCATTTCTCATACACCCAGTCTCCAGAGCTACGGCACCATGTAGCTGCGTAACATCTATAGTCCCCAATCCGTGCCAGCCCCGTCCCAACGCCCTTGGGTCCGTGGAGTTTTTGTTTATTGATGTTCGTCTGTCGTGGGCTGATTATTCTTAACTTCGTCCACATCTAGTATACCCACCAAGTGCGCATGATGCCACCGCCGCCCTTCGCCTTCGAGGACGATGAAATTACCGCCTTTAAACTTGTTCCCGTATGAGATGGAATATTACATTTTGTTTCTAACGTTTAGATACGGTAGTTTGTTGCCCTGAAGGACGGCTTGTGCTCGATTTGCTTGAATTTGAGCCCCGAGAACCGCCTTCGTGACCTCTCTTGCCAAAATTCGATACCATCCAGCATCACCACCTGGCTGGCCAAAAGTCAGGTAAAGCCTTGAAATGTCCATTTCGTGGGCATATCTATGATAACATTATACGCAAATGTTAATATTGATGGTGACGCGTTAGTCGTGTCCTCCTTGCAAACGACACATTGCATCTCCCAAGGGGGCGGCATCGGCTGGACTGAACGACGACACAGAATTATGACCCGCGGAGACATCAACGTCCACGATGACAAACAACCAAGTGCATACATACTTTGCCCATCGTTCACGTCACCTACTGGTATATTCAGTGAAGTCAACCAAGATGACAGTATGGACAGTATAGTAGAACATAGCTATGTAACGTAGAAAACCAATTTAAGAACACTTTTCCCGAGACGCTGCGGTGGAAGGAACGAAGCTCAGCATGGATCCATCAGATTCACATTCGGAAAAGTGCTGGATGAGGCCAAAAAGCGGAGTTGATTCATTGGACATTCAAAAAATTGTGTTTCACGATCTATTTGACAGACATAAATACCATTTTCGAAGCAAATGTACTCAAAATGTGAGAACCAGTTATTGGTGCATACAATTAGCTTAAAGTTTGTATACCCATTTGCATATGTTTTGTGTGGTTATGTTATGTAATTTCAGCAGTTAAATATTAAATCCAGACAGGTAATGCAATTATACAGTTGTGAGTAACTGTCAGTGACCATTTTTGAAATTGACGCGAGTCCGACATTTTAGGAATCCACAACCAGGTGTGCACGAAAAATTGGAGGTCCAACATCACATGCAAAGGTATTTCATGTAATGCGATGAATTACACTACAACGTGCACAGCGTTCTTGCGGTTGGCTTTGACTTGACCATTAGGCAAGGGCTTGAGGCCCATCGTGGCAGCGACACGGACACAGCACCAGCACCGCTCTTCGCTTCTTTTTTCGTTCGGAGTGCAAGTCATCCGTGACTACAGTAGTAATAAGCCTCGTGAGAAATATATATACGTGTACAATGAAAGTATTTGTAACTTTACCGTCATTCACAATCTCCTCGGCATGGTAGGGCGTGGCCCGCGGCGCTTTGGTGTCGTGGTGGTGCCGGCCTTTGTCGCGTGCACATACTTCATGAGGGTGTTGTAGGGTATCTTGGAGAACGCTGCCACTGGCTTCCCGTTTCGCCCAGCAAGCACATCTTGAACAGCTCTGTCAAGCTCAACGCGTGTATATCGCGATCGCGCATGACAGGCGCCAAAATTCACTTCGTGTATTAATTAGATTAAGGAGGTTATCTCCCAGTATTTTGACTACATTTGATTGGCTGATTCAAGTGCACCATTAAGGGCGTGTTCGGAGCGACTTTTGTGTCAGCGGTTTTTGGCTTTTTCCATCAGCCGCTGAAAAAACCGCTGACACAAAAGTCGCTCCGAACACGCCCTAAATGGTTCGAGCACCTTAAATTGGTTTTCTACGTTACTTGATACTCCGGAGTATAAAGTACCAGCATCATCAATATACGACCGTCGTAGCGACCACCTCCATCCCTAAAGATGGTCAACTCGCAAACAAAACGGTTCTGCCTAGCTGCTGCATTGGCTGCAGTTGACTTGGTCGATACGATGGGGCAAGGTGTGTACGAGCTTGATGGACTGTAACTACGGTACCGTGAGTGGGATGCACTGCCAGACGAGTTGGCCATCGCATTTCAACGCCACGAGCGAGTCGCGGACTATGATTTCTTGAACCTACTGTTAATGACACAGAACTATTAATAGCAGAGTGCAACGTGGGCAAGGTCATTTCAACAGTATTTCGACTAGTTCATGGGCTACAGCGCTCGTGCTATCAATGGTGTGCTATGCGCATGTGTGATCATCGGTACATATAAATGAGACCTAGACAGTACCCCATGAAAACGTAGGCAGCCCAGCCAACCTTCCAGCTGCAGCAGACTCCCTCTGGACTGAAGTGTCCGCCCGCCTGGTCCGGCAGCCCATGGCGCGAGAACGCACCGTGATGGAAGTGATCGGGGATGCTGCATATATCTATGGCGGGGTGGGGGATGCCAACGACGCCGCGTTCAACGACACGTGGAAGGTACCAAGCCTCCCACCATCCAATCTCATCCCCTGGCATTCCATACGTAGTTTGACTTCATTGGCCAGCGGTGGGACCAATTGACGGTAGTGGCCAACCCAGGTCCTCGGTTCGACCACGTTTCGGTAAAAAACTATGATTCAGCTTACCTGCATTAATTTGCAAGATCGATGATACCTCTTAATAAATGCAGGCCACATATGGCTCCGATATTTACATTTTCGGCGGCACGACCTACGACTCCAAGTTAGTTTCAGCCAGTAACGACGGTACAGCCCCGATGAACGACATGTGGAAGCTCGACTCGATGCAAGTCGAGTGGAGTGTCATTGACGGAGGCGGACAAGGTGGGGTCGTTCGTCCAGTGTCCCGCAGCCAGGCGTCGGCCGTGTCCACTCCGAAGGCCATGATTGTGTTTGGGGGTGTATTCACCCCCAATGTCTTCTACCTCCCCCCTGTCGACTTTAACGACGTGTGGGCGTTCGATTTCCAAAGCCATACATGGCAGTCTGTGGCGATAGCAACCAAGTCCGTTTTGCCCATTGCGCGATTCTCACATGTTGCGAGTACGATTCTAGGTACAGTACTGAACACTACATGCGCACACTCCCTCCTCTAAAAACACGAATGGTCGCTCAAGTGTGGTGGTTGTAGTGAATGGTGTGGTGAATATGATCGTGTTCAGTGGACGGCACATTGTCAACACGCGGTGGTCAATTCTGAGCGATGCGTGGGTTCTGCCGTTGTCCACATCGGTACAAGAGGAGCCTCGTGTTTACGTCGATCTCTGCTATAATTGGAGGCAATGTAGGGGGAAGCCCTACCAATTTGGACCCAGCTGACTGTGAGCCGGCCATTTGGTCGAATTCTGTCGGGGATGGTCGCCATAGACTCGTCGCACATGTGGTTGTTTGGTGGATTTGCCTTTGACTCTCAGATGCAGGCCGTGGCATTTTCAGACACGTTGGCTGCTGATGTGTCCTTGGTTCCCATAGTCAGTTTGAAAACGGTCAGCACACAGGTACACGTTCAATTTACATTGTGGTTTCATGAGTTTTGTACACAACGACGACCTCTAGACTGCCCATGCAGAAGGCTCCAGTGTCAACGTCAACAACGGTCCGCGCGCTCGCTTTGGCCACCGTATGAGTGTGTGGAAGGGCAATGTCGTCGTGTACGGGGGCAGAATTGTGCAATGTCTGGGCGATGTCTGGCTTCGAAATGCATCCTTGGCGACGCAAGGAGCAACCGACGCGACCACTGAAGACCCGTGGAGGAGTTTTACGTCGATTATGCTTTTGATCATCCTTTTCCTGCTTTCCTTGTTCCTGTGTCTGTATATCGCCATGTGGGTGGTGAAATGCTTTCGACCAGCACAGGTAACGGCAACTTGTTGCGAGTTTGCTGATACAGTATGTGCTTTTGACTAGAGTTCGGTCATGGGTGTCACAGATGCACGACGCGTTGCGACGCGCCAAGTAGCTCCAACCGGGGGCATCTCTGCCTCAGATATCGCCCAATTCAAAGTCATTCTGTTTACACCCTCCGCCGCCACTGCCCCCACGGACGAGATTTGCCCCATTTGCCTTGTACGGCCGATGAAATTGAACCTATTTAACGTTGATCATGTGGAAGGTGGAGTTTGAAGCCCAAGAACGCCTCCGGCAATTGCCCTGTCAGCATCATTTCCATGTCGCTTGCATTGACGAATGGCTCCAGCGCAACCTGGTAACGGCACAAAGCCTCTTCTGTATCGACATGTAGACCGATCCAAATTGACGGTTTACACACAGACATGCCCCATGTGCAAAAGAGACTTGACCCTTACAGCTTCCCCCCCTCAAGCCTCTGTCACAGATCCAGTCCAGTCCAATGCAGTTGTGCCACCATATGGACCTTCGAATGGCACAGTGGTACCTCTGCCTGGAAGTATCGACATCCAGTAGCGCCTTTTCTGATACTGTATACCTAGTCTCCAGAGCTTCGGCGACCTGTGGCTGTGTAACACGACCATGTTCCCCACAGACCCTAACCCAGCCCTAACGTCCTTAGCTCGATGGTGCTTGTGTTTAGCGGGGCCTTTGGGTCTATTCAATTGTCGGGTATTTGGTTTTGATTGCCATCCGCATGATACTTTCCCCATACATATCCAACTCCCCCTTCAAATGTTATCCGACCCTATGATTCTGGCTTATCTACCATGTTTGCAAGCATGATGCCGCCAAATGTGAAGAAGTCTTTGATGTCTGAACTGGGGCTACGATTATATGTTGTAACACGCGCCTAACCGCCGTCCCACCTTTCGGAACCACTAGAATCAACATTTACGTTTGAGTCATAGGTATTAATATATAAATACCTTGCAATCATCGACGGAAGATTGACGCAGTAACCTGGCTTTTGGCAGCCGCAGCCCACATATCGTTATAGGCATGATGGTATCGATGTTTGACAACTGAGCCGACGAAATGCAACAATTTGAGACAGTAATACGTAAAGAAATTGAAAACGATATTCTCAATCCTGAATTAACGGCAGTGTTGGACTTCAGACCTACCCCACGACTATAAGCAAGTGCACAGTCGACAATACCATTACGAAAGAAATTCAAACCCATGAGCCACAGCGTTCGTATGGTCAATGCTGTGGTGTTGGCATACGCGATTGTCGGTTCGTGTATCTGTCATTCAATTTGTTGACGTCATGTGACCACGCCCCTTCAATGTAGGCATCGCTTCCAACACTTTCGCGGCCGCCCACTCCCTGTAGATTCAAGTGTCCGCCCGTCTGGTCTGACAGCCTATGGCACTAGAGGGCACCGTGATGGAAGTGATCGGGGGCGCGGCGTATATTTATCGTGGAGTGGGGGACGTCAACGACGCCGTTTACAATGACAAGTGGAAGGTACCAACCCCCCCCCCTCCATCAAGTCTCATCCCCTCGCACACCATACGTAGTTTGACTTTGTTGGCCAATGGTGGGACCAATTGGCGGTTATAGCCAACCTCGGGCCTCGCTTCAACCATGTTTCGGTGAGCCATGTCTCCTTTATGACCTCCCTTATTACGTTGATCGAACGATTTTATTTGCAGGCCTCATATGGCTCCGGATATGAATATATTCGGGGGTATGACCTACGACCCAAAGGCAGTTTCAGCCATAACGACGGCACAGTCCAGACGAACGAAATGTGGAATCTGGACCCTGTGCAAATAGAGTGGACTGCCATTGACGGGGGCGAACAAGGGCGGGCGTTCGCCCCGTAGCCCGGAGCCAGGCGTCCGCCGTGTCCACTCCAAAGGCCATGGTTGTGTTTGGGGGAGTATCTATCCCCAGTGCATTCCACCTCCCCCTGAGGACCTCAATGACATGTGGGCGTTCAATTTCCAGAGCCATACGTGGCAGGCTATGGCGATAGCAGCCAAGTCCCGTTTTGCCCACTGCGCGATTCTCACATGTTGCGAGCTGCGGGAACGTCCTTGGTTCCCATCATCAGTTTCGTGAAGGACAATGCACAGGTTGAGCATCCATTTGCACCTCCGCTTGCATCATATTCGAAGACATGTAGACAGGAAGCTCCAACGTCGACGACTCCTACGGTCCGTCCGCTCGCTTTGGCCACCGTATGAGTGTGTGGAAGGGCAGTGCCGTCGTGTACGGGGGCAGGTTCGTGCAGTGTCTGGGCGACGTCTGGCTTAGAAACGCGTCGGTTGTGCTGAGAGGAGAAAGTTCGACCGACACGATTACTGATAATCCGTGGAAGAATCTCTCATCAATCAGCTTCGCGCTCAGCCTCGTCCTTCTTATCTTGTCCACGTACTTCAAAGTCATTTCGTTCACACCCTCAGCCACTGTAGCCCCCCACAGACGAGATTTGCCCCATTTGTCGTGTAGGATCAAAATCATGTTGATGACGGTAGATTGAAGTTGGACTAATGCAGTGAGACAGGTGGAATTTGAGGCCCAAGATGGGCTCAGGCAATTACCCTGTCAACATCAATTTCACTTGAGCTTTAACCACTCGCCACTGCATTGGCGAGTGGCTAAAGCTCAAGCGCTACCAGGCAACGTCACAATGCCACGTTATATTAATACCTCAATCAATGGTTTACACACAGACGTGCCCAATGTGCAAGCGAGGCTTGACTCTTACATCCCCCCCCCTCAATTTCCACTGCTCCAGAGTTGGTCGAGTTCACTGCGGTTGTGCAACCACGAGTTCCTTCAAACGCCAGTGTGATTCCTCTGCCTGTAAGCATCGACATTGAGTAGCTCATTCTCTTGCCCTTGATCAACATGACGAAGTAGAAAATCATAGCTATTGAAGGAGTAAGTTTGACTAATAGTAGCATTTTTCCGTGTAAACTTCTCATAGGGATACCTGAAGGGAGATGCAAAAAGGAATGTGCATTGCACTCCAATTCCGTCCATTGGATAAGCGTTTTCCGTGTCCCATTAACGGGGGTTGTACTTTGGAATCAAACACATCGACACACATGAGCAACTATTTATAGGACTTCGCACGGCGCAGTCATTGTTAGACAGCCTTCCCATGACCTCACACACAATGCGCCGCCGCGTTGTACTGTGTGCATGCGGGATGATAGGTATTATAAAGTCGCTCAATGGTGGTCCTTTACTGCAACGAAACGATCGTAGGCATTGCACCCACGATTGCCGATAGCTCGCCGTGGACTCACGCGTCCGCACGTCTGGTCCAACAGCCCATGGCTCGAGAGGGGACTGTGCTGGAAGTGATCGAAGACGCTGCGTACATCTATGGAGGGGCAGGGGACTCGAGCGACGCAGTGTTTAACGACGCGTGGAAGGTACTAAGAGCTCCGTATCTTCGTATCTCAAGTAGCCTATCTAGTTTGACTTTCTCGGCCAACGATGGCTGCAAGTCGCGACTGCAGGCGAGGCCAACCCCGGGGCTCGCTTCGATCACGTCTCGGTGCGTTCCAACGAACCTACCCACTAGGACGACTTAATGGCAAGTTTAGACTGCTCATGGCACGGACATGTACATTTTTGGAGGGACGAGCTTTGACCCGAAAGCGATTGCGGCCAACAACGATGGTACGACCCAGACGAACGACGTTTGGAAGTTGGATACGGTGCAAAGCAAGTGGACTGTTGTGGATGGGGGCGGCCACGGGGGGTCCTTTCGCCCCGCTGCCCGCAGTCAAGCGACGGCCGTGTCCACTCCGCAGTCCATGGTGGTGTTTGGGGGGGTGGTCATCCCGAATGTGTTTTACCTGTCCCCAGTCGACCTCAACGACGTGTGGAAATTCGAGTACCAGAGCCATTCGTGGCACTCTGTGGTCATCGCGTCCAACTCGAGTGTGCCCACAACTCGATTCTCGCATGCTGCCACGACCATTCAACGTACATCCTCCTCTCTCAACATCGTCATGCAAAAGATGGTACTTTAGTGAATGGCGACCTGTACATGGTCGTGTTTAGCGGCCGGCATATCTTTGACACGCGGTGGACCATCCTCAACGACGCGTGGATGTTGCCGTTGACCTCTGTAGTAAAAACCAATTCCATGTTCAAGGCATGTTCATGTCAAAGTAGGGGTCGCTGCCGTCGTGGACAAGACTAACAGCGAACCACCCATTCAATCGAATCCTATCGGGGGTGGTCGCCACAGACTCTGGGTATCTGTGGTTCTTTGGCGGGTTCGCTTTCGACACCACAACCCAACGCGAGGGCGTCGCGTTTGCCGACGCGCTGGCCGCGGAAGGATCTTTGTTGCCATGGGTCAACATGGTGGAAGACAGTTCACCGGTTCAGGTACTGTACGCGTTTCTTTCTCAATTGGAAATGGTAAAGCGAAGGTAGAATGAATATGCGGGACCACTCAACTACGACGACATGGACGGCCCGTCGGCGCGCTTTGGCCACCGTATGAGTGTCTGGAATGGCAATGTGGTAGTATATGGAGGCAGGTTTGTGCAATGTCTCGGCGACGTCTGGCTACGGAATGGATCGGTGTCACCTCGAGGAGCAAGTCCATCCACGGCCACTGGTCCGCGGTCGATGCATCTCACGTCGGCCGTGCTGGCGCTGAGCCTCGTGCTTCTCATTCTGTCAGCATGCCTCTTAATCCTCCTCGTGGTGATCAAAAGCACTCGACGACGACAGGTGCCGCGATGTTGCTTGTGCGAATGAATGCGGACACGATTTGTGTAGAGTTTGGTCATGGATGCAACGTCCGCACCACAAGCAGCAGCAGGGCGGGTTCAAGGGCTATCTGCTGACGACATTGCTCAATTCAAAGTCGTCCCGTTCACGCCCTCGGCCACGATAGATCCCACGGACGAGATTTGCCCCATTTGTCTCGTACGGTCGATCTATCGTTGTGTTTGCCCTTGGTGTAATGTTGGTTCTTCGTGGTAGGTCGAGTTTGTGGCCGAGGAAGGCCTGCGGCAATTGCCCTGCCAGCATCACTTTCATCCCGACTGCATTGGCGAGTGGCTCCAGCGCAATCTGGTAAAACAGATGGAAAGACAACATATCCTCAATGGTGTTTAGACGTGTCCGATGTGCAAGCGTGATTTGTCTCCGATACATGCAGCAGCAGCCTCAACGACGTCACATGCACCAACGAACGGCGTGGTGATTCCGCTCTTTGGAAGTATCATCAGGGGCGCAGAATAGGAAGCAGCACCACTCACTGGTCATCACGAGTTGAGTGGGTGGTGGGTGGTTCGACCCAGCTGGTTGAAGTGGACATTACAATAGGGATTTTCAATAAGGAGCCTTAAATACATTTTGGAGGTCAAAGTACAGTATGGCCATCGCATTCTTGGTCTCAATATAAAGGACACAATTCGATTTCTATTTAAGGCACAAAGCATTATAGGATGACGGAAGGATTTTCAGTGTTTGGGTTGCCACCTCGCAGCATATCACATTTCATCGGTCGGCGGACGAAGAAGGCTTTTTGTTGTCCATCACACACACGATCATGAACACGGAGCTCCTCTCAGACGAAGTGTTGATGTCGCCTGCACACCACTCACATCTCTTGCGGCAGTACAGCCTCAACATTCCCCGACCAGGCACCGAGCACGCACATCAGAAAATTGTGTCCAGTGCACGCCAGCGCTGGCAGCAATATCACCTCAAGTGGCGTGCGCCGCCCGACGCCGCGTCCGACGCGGCCACGATCTATCACGAGGAAGTATTCGAGGTCATCTTTGGCGAAGGGTTGTTGGGCATCGAGTTTGCTATCGACGACACCACGGACCGCGTCGTGATCAAGAGTGTCGCAGCTACATTGTCGTCGTCGTCATCACGACATTTCAAAAGCAAGCACACAACGCAGGTGGTCGTGGGGAGTCAGCTGCGTCCAGGGCTCGTGGTCGACGTCATCAACGACCAGCAGGTCCACACCCTGCACGGGGACGAAGTGCTTCGCATGCTCGGGACGACGGAACGCCCCATGTACGTGAGTTTCACCACTTGCGACAGCAGCATGGTAGTGTGCCGCCTCTGCGAATGCCGTGTGGAAGCATCTCGGCTGGACGAGCACATGGAGCTGTGTGTTTTCTCCAAGAAACACGAGCAGGAGGCCAGCCACATCAACAGCATGCTGCTGCGCATCGCCGACGTGCTCGACTCGAACATGCGCACCCACGACATGTTGTCCTACTTTAGCGATACCGACGTGGCTCTATACAAGACCATGCGCGCCATTGCCCTGCAGGTAGGCAGTAGAATCATTCGTCATCCATCCATCTATGTCTACATTTCCACATGTCATCGTGTGATGACGTGGCGGCGGCTTGTCAGGCGGCGATATGCGACATTGCGAGTGTCGATTCGTTCGAGTTGTGCGTCCGGCTGATGAAGCTGCTCGACCAAAACTGCGACGAGGTCGTCGGCGACCGCCCCACGTCCAGCTGGGTCGTGGACCGCGGGGCCAAGTACAGCGCCCGCATTCAGCACTTGATTCATGCGAAAATGAACCAAATGCGGAAAACGCACAAGAAGATGCTTGTGCACCACACGTCGGCCCCAGTCTACCGTACAAAGTCGTTGGAGCACCAAGACAACAACCAGCGGCGCCACGCTGGAACCCCCATCAACCCCAGTAGTGGTGGTGGCCATCCCAAGCTGCCGTCGCTGCGCGTGACCATCGAGTACGATAAAAACTCTAGCCATGGTTGTTGTTGTTGTGTGCCCCTAGAAAGGAGGACTACACTTGACACTGCCGAATGTGGACGATCCTAGTGACTTCGACATTATCAAGCCCATCTCCAAGGGTGCGTACGGCAAAGTGTACTTGGCCAAGAAGAAGACAACGGGCGACCAATATGCGATCAAAGTTCTGGCCAAGGAACACGTGTTGCGAAAGAACCAGGTGCGCGACGAGCCTAGAAATGGGTCTGTACCGATGACAATGATACTGAAAAATGGATGGATATGGACGGTTGTAGCTGTCCAACATTGAAGCGGAGCGCGATATTTTGGCCAGTGTGCAAAGCCCGTTTGTCGTAAAGTTGTTTTGGACGTTTCAATCGCAGTACGTTGACGTGGTCGTCCGTTCGTTCGTTCATTCGTTGGTTCGTCAAACAGCATATCAACATGGAAACGTGTAGGTTCAACTTGTTTCTGGTCATGGAGTACTTGCCTGGAGGGGACTTTATGTCGTTGTTGGAGTGCATTGTGCGACTAGAAGAACGGGTACGTAATCTCAAACAGCAAAGTGCATCATATGACACAAGAAATATATGTATGTCGTGGTAGGTTGCGTGCATTTACATTGCCGAAATCGCCTTGGCGTTGAACCACTTGCACTCGAAAGGGTGTGTGCATCGGTAACGCTATATATATATATAGGAGGTTGGAAGATATATATATATACCTGCTCCTGGATCGAGTCGAGCTGTGGTCGATACTGAATCAGAGGATACTGGGGGGATTGCAACTTGTAGAGATTTGAAGCCAGACAATATATTGATCGGGTCCAATGGCCACATCAAGGTAAGGCAAAACCTCCCCCTAGTGGTTTTTCACCGACGACTTTATATAAACTGTGGAACAACTCGACTAGTTGACGGACTTTGGGCTGTCGGAAGAAGGCGTGATCATGACTGACACAGCAGCGTCCATGTCCCCCGACCGCCAACGGTCGTCGTCGAATAGTGACCAGAGCAGCACCAATAGTGACCTTTGCCACGACTACAGTGACGACGAAGACTTGCTCGAAGTGCTCGACGTGTTCCATCCATCCCCAGGCCCTGACGGCGTCGCGGCTTCGGACGATTGCCACATGCGGGGGGAATTTCTCAACGCATTCGCCGACAGCCCCAAAGATCAGGACGGATCCAAGCATCGATGTGGCACGCCAGACTATTTGAGTCCAGAGATTCTGTTGGGGCACGAGCACGGCACCCCTGTCGATTATTGGGCACTGGGGGTGATTCTGTACGTATATGTCGTTGTTGCCAGGGAATTGGAAATGGTGTGTGGCTGGACTGTTGTTTGCGTGTGTGTTTGTTAGGTACGAAATGCTCGTGGGGTTCCCTCCCTTTAACGACGACACGGTCGAAGCGATCTTTGCCAACATTCTGGACCGCCGCATCGACTGGCCGAACGAAGACCAGCGGCTGAGCCCCCACGTGGAGGACCTGATCAACCGCCTGCTCGACCCGAACCCCGATACCCGCCTCGGGTGGACCGACCTGACGATGCATCCGTTCTTTCAGGACCACGGGGTGCATTGGGACACGCTATTGGACACGACGCCGCCGTTCGTTCCGACGTTGGACGATCCGTACGACACGAGCTACTTCAACAACCGCAACTTGACCGAAGCTTTCGTGGACGACAGTGGCGATGCCACGTCATCGTCGTCCAACGACCTCGTGGTTGGTCCGACAAAGTCGATTGATATCCCTAAGTTGTCCAGCAGCAGCAGCAGCGGGGGGGCACGGCTGTCGTCATCGGGCAAACACTCGGGGGGGGCGTCGGCCCCCAGAGACCGCTTCTTGGACGGGAGTTTCGCCATGACCCCCGAAGCCTTCCGCACGTTCAGCTTCACCAACATGCATGCGCTCGTGGCAGCGGGGCGCGAAGAAGCTCATGGGAAGATCGGCGGGCGAGACCTCTTGATGGGGGCCACGTCAAATCGTAATTTATGGCTATAATGAGTAATACGCACGTGGTATATTTATGGGACTTGATGATGATGTACTAGTATCGTCTACTGCAGTCGCAACTCGGTTTCGTGTAAAGGAACTACTGTACTTTGCCATTATTTGAAGCGCACATCCTTGGAGAATACTGGTAACTTACAATTAGTACATGTACCGTAACGTTATTAATATGAAGTACTACTGTAGTATTAATACTACTACCATATGTATTATAACGTAGATGGCCAGTTTATGGTGCACGGGACAGTTTAAGGTGCACTCAAATTGGCCAATGGAATTGCTTTAGTTTTGGAGTAACGTTAGCCAATCGAATCACTAGAAAAATGAAATCACAAAAAAATAAGCAAAACCAGCATACATATTTTAAGCTTAAACCGTGCACCATAAACCTATTTTGCCTTGAAATGAGTGGAATCCAAGTAAATGAACGCTAAGCCGAAGTCTATTCAAGCCGGTTAAATAATGAGAAGAATGCCCAACCTTTCGGCTTCATGCAGCACTTTTCAGAATTGAAAACCCGGTCCTGGGAGACGAGTAAGCTGCATTCTACGACGAAGTCTCTTTCAAGTGCACCATAAACTGGTCACCTACGTTACAAATACACCAATCACAAATTTACAATGAAGTACTTCGTAGTTATTACTACTTGAAAATACATGATTGGGGGATGAATAACGTTGTGTTGCCCTTTCCACAAAAACAATGAAAATGACCATTGGCAAATTGAAGTTCTTCACTGGCCAATCAAATAGCCGGAACTCAATCCCGAGCCCGCCAATCGTTAGTCGGAAGTTGTTGGCCATGGCGAAATCCAAGCAAGGTGGACGAAACCACAAGAAGCCCGCCGCCGCTGCTCCTGTTGCGGAGAAGCGCAAGGCGGTGTACTACAGTGGCTCTAGTGACGAGGAAGAGGACTCGTACAAGCATGGAATTCCGCTAAAGTCTCTCGAGAATGCCGGTGTCCGTGACTTCACGACCCAGGTGGTCGCCGACGAGGGCAAGAGCAAGAAGAAGAACAAAAAGAAGGGCAAGAAGGAGCCTGCCCACGTGGCCAACGAAGAGCCTGAACCGCGTAAGAAGAAGCTGAACAACGACTTGCCTTTGGAAGAGCGCAAGAAGCGGTTGTTGGAGCAAAAGGCCATTCGGTCCGAGAAGGTCGTGTGGCGCAAGTTTGGCCGTGAAAACTCTGCGTTTGAAGAGTATTACCGTCAGCTGTGGGGCATCGATGACACGGAGTGGAAAGTGGTCACCAAGTGCCTGGAAACCCCGCCGTCCGTGCACTTTCGCATCAACGGTACGTCAATAAAAAGCACTTTGCCGATTCAAACGATATTGGACTAGGCACGTTTCGCAGCTTGAGCGACATTGCCAAAGGCAGTGTGGAGTGCGATTTTGACGTGGATGGATCGGTGCTGAAGCTGTCGACTGGCGAAGAAAAGCCGCTGCAGTTGCAACCCGTGGAGTGGTTGAACGACGACTCGTCGTCGATTTGGAAGGTACTGAAGAACGACCAGCATGTTGTTGAGGTGGTTCCTTTGGCCTTTGTGGATGGTTAGGGTTGTGGTTTGTGTAGATCAACGTGGACAGCAAAACGCTTCGGAAAACCAAGCAATTGGATGGGATCAACACGTTCATTCGAGACCAAACGGCCGCGGGCACGTTGGTCCGCCAAGAACCGACCAACATGCTGCTTCCCATCTACTTGGACGTCCACCCAGGCCATGCTGTACGTACATCTTTGCTATACCCCCCCCCCAAATAAAATCGTATTCAAAATGGTGTATAGGTACTCGACTTGAACGGATCGGGGGCGAGCCGCGCCGCCCAGATCGTGGAAGGCCTGCAAGACCCGACCAACGAGTTTGAACCCAAGGGGGTAGTCGTAGTCAACGAGCAGGACGCGGCCAGCGCAACCAAAGCAACTCGGATGGTCGCTCAGACTGTCGCGAACGCCGCGTCAGTGATTGTCACTGCGCACAAGGTACAACGCCGAAACACTACGACCTGTCTAGATGGATATACTCGGCTTATGACATACCGATTGCTGTTGTGATCGTAGAGCGAAGAGTTTCCCGACATCGAAGGCGACGGAGACCGACTGTTTGATCGCATTCTGTGCTCCGTGCCGTGTTCTGGCGACGGATCGATCCGAAAGTTCCCGGAGAAATGGCGCTGCTGGGCCCCGTCGACCGCGTATGCGTTCCACGCGACGCAGCTGGAGCTGGCCACGAGGTCGCTGCAGCTGCTGGCGGTGGGCGGGCGGCTGGTGTACGCCACGCGGTCGTTCAGCCCCGTCGAGAACGAAGCGATTGTGGCGGCGTTGCTACGTACAGGAGCGTGCGAAGTATGTAATTGCCCTGGTCTTGTGTCTCCTTGAAGTTCCTGGTGGTGTGGCCACAATGTGCAAACTGACGGTATGTTTTTGTTTGACTGGGTCTAGTTGGTGGACGTGTCCGACGCTGTGCCTGCTTTGCAGACCCGACCGGGGGTCGAGTCGTGGGAGGTCGTCGACGACTCGCTGGCCACGCTCAAGTCGTTCGAGTCCACTTCCGAAGACACTCGGCGGCGCCTCAAGCTCCGCCCGACCATGTTTGGCCCCCAAGCATCGGAAAAGTCGTTCCACTTGGACCGATGTGTGCGGGTACTGCCCCATGACAACGACACGCACGGGATGTTTGTGGCCGTGCTGCACAAGACGAACGAGTTGGTTTCGGTGGCTGCTGGTCCCGCTGCCGCCGCGCCGCTACCTTCCTCGGACAAGAAAGTCGCCACCGCGGACAAAAAGAAGCTACTGAAGCAGCGCGTGGGGGTATACAGCCCCATCAGCTCTGGTCACTTCAAGCTAGTGTCGAGTGGGTTTGGCATTGATTTGCCTTCCACGAGCTTTATGGAACACTTGAACTTTACCAAGACCCGCGATGTGCACTACGTCACAGAGGGTGTCGCCAATGTAGGGCTAGGGCATTTTCGACTTAGAGGTGTGCTAACACAACAACTTCTTCGTGTAGGTGCTGGGGCGGTATGCTGGTCGGCTGCATGTGCACAAGGCGGGCACGACGGCGTTTCAAATGACTCCGACGGGGTGTGTTGTGGCGGACGACGGTCTGCGCGCGATCGTCCGGCATTGTTCGGAACGTGTGATTACGTTGGACATGGACGAGTTTTCCCAAATGGGTCAGTTTGCCCTTGACACCAAGACTGAATATATGTGATGGTGTGTGATGATGCATACTGACGATATATATATATGTGATATGGTAGTGAACGTCAAGCATGCATGGCTAAAGCACTTGAGTGAGAAAGCACAAGCGCAGCTCAACGACTTGGACGACGGCAGTGTGATATTGGCACTGGACGAGAGCGAGCCCATCCAAACCGCCGACTCGGACATTGTGATCATTGCCAACAAGCGCCACTCGTCCTTGTCGGTCACGGCCGCCACGGGCTCCCTCGTGCGCATCAAGGCACTCATGCTAGAGTTGGACGTGGACGAAAACGACGAGAAGGATGGCTACGACTCGATGGAGTACGACGAGTAACGTTAGTTATTAGAACGAAGCAACTGTGTACTCATAGATTTATTGGTGCTTTGAAATGTACTAAGCGTAACGTTAGTACTACTAGTACAGAGTTGTTGATGTGGAGCAGTCAGTACTTGATTAAGGGGATTACTGTTCAGCAGTAAAACGTGTTTTATCAGTAGCGTCTTTTCCCAATAACGTTAATCTGAAATCACTCCCCTCCCATACAGTACTCACACAGTACAGTAGCGTTATTTACAGCTGACAGTCTTGATAAATGGCATGTTGAAGTTTAAATTCGACCAATCAGGGCGTCCACAAATCCGATCGCCAGTCACAGTCAATGCCATTTGAGTACACGTAGGAATTGCTTTTTTGAGATGTGGCTGTGGTGGATTACTTTTGTAGTATTAATACATGCTATGTAAGTCTTTCGACCATCGTATACAATGTATAGCACGACCTGTAGACCCAATTATCGACTACGGTACTGTAGAACGGGGCATGGTTTTTCATAGCTTATTCGGGTTGGGAGGATATACTTTTGCTCACATTTTCGTAAATATTGCTACGAAGTACAAGTAAAAGGTCACGAGTTTCTCGTACGTTCAATCCATCGTTCATTGTACACAGTACGTACATTTTGGCAGGATGCATGAATTGAACTTGGGGGAATCGTACATTTAGTCCAAATCGTAAGATTTATGTACGGAAAAGTAATACTAGTACAGCAACACTTAGAAAATTCCGAAAAACAGTGAATTGTTGTGAAATGGCATGTTTCGATTGGATGACGTTTGAATATATCGCGATATGATTGGCTATAATTGACTCGTCGCAATTGACGAGAGTCAGTTACACCAAGTATCCGCGAAAATATAAAAATTCTAGCCACCAATCCAAAGTGGTCAAAGCAGGTTTTGACAAGCAGCTCCACCCACCTTACGACGGCAGGCGGCAGCAACGACAGACCGACATCTCTTCAAGGACTTGCACACTCTCAGGGACACGCCGGCTCGCATTGACGCTCCAGCTCATCCCCATTGCTCCGCTCGGCAAACATACCACATCATCACGTTCACCCATGCAACAACGTCGTCGTTTACATCCGGCGACTACCGCGGCTTCTGCTCTCGGGCCGAAGAAGAAGCAGCTGACCCCAAAGCCCAACGTTCTTCAAATGAAGAAGAAAGGTAGCGAGATGCGTTTCCCTATCTATCGCCACGTTTCGTCGCCGCAGTCTTATCCAAGGTGCCAATGTAGTCGTTGATCCGCCAGCGGACAAGTCCACGAAAAAGAAAAAAGGGAAATCCCCTACCATCGAAGCCTTGGCGGCAGGGCCGCCCACGTCGGTATGGGGCATCACGAACGAACCCCAGTCCCGACAAACCAAACCCGAGCAGAAAAATATGAGTACGTTGCCTGTGAAAACCCCCAGCTGGCACTGCGGCACCCTCTCTGGATCGTTGGACGACAGGTAGAGCTGTGCATGGGGACGTGTGTCCCTTGATGTGCGTGTCCACTAAAATATGCGACGATGCGCAGACTTCATCAGGAAATCGTCGATTATGCGCGCTACACCCGCGCCATCGTATCTGAAATGGCAGTGCACATTGAAAAGACCATCGATTTGGTGCGCGCCAGTGTGCGCAAACTATGGCCCGATGCGACCGTGGAAACGTACGGATCGTATTCTACCGGGATTTGGCTGCCCAGTAGCGACATTGACCTTGTCATCCTGGTACTCATTTGGTTACGTAAGGTTGGATCATCATGTGGATGGGGGGGTGCTGTAGGGAACGTCCGACGACGCAAGCTCCCATCTCAAGTGCTTGGCGGCGTCGTTGAAGCATGAGAAATGGGTCGAGTCCATCTTGCTGGTCGAGTCGGCCAAAGTGCCGTTGCTGAAACTCGTCAGGTACTTCATACTCCATCGATTTACTTTCTGACAACGATTGAGTAGTACGGACTCGTCGGTACCCATTGACATTACATTCGAAACGGCCAACACGCACAGCGGGTTGCTGGCTCGGGACTTGATCAAGTGTTTGGTGGACGAGTTGCCAGAACTGTATCCGTTGGCGATTGTGTTTAAGCAACTTCTTCGCGAACGGGGACTGAACGACGCGTATACGGGCGGTCTGAGTTCGTATTCAATCGTGCTCATGATTGTGCACTTTGCCCAATTGTGGAGGTACACATACATATATATCCTTCACTTGTAGTGTAGTACATTAAGACTGTATGGTCTAAGCTCTGGTCGTTGTACTTCCAGGGCTGGATCAAACGCGTTCAATGCGGCGCTCGTGTATGCATCGGGGTCCCTTCCCACCGAAGCCATCTCAATTGACATGTCAAGAGAACCTAAACTCAAGCAAGAAAGCCCAAAGAAGAAACCAAACCCGTTGTCGGATAAGTCTGCTCAACCTCCTCTTCTAAAGCCCGTCGCGGGTACGAGTCCCCCCGCTGCGCCGCTGCCAAAGTCGTATGCCGCCGTGCTCGAACCGACAAAGAACAGCGTCATGTCGTACGCGGCGGCGGCGGTCGGTCCCGTCCCGCCCATCACGTATGCGACGATGGCTGCCAAGGAAGCGTCGTTGTCACTACCAAGTCATCACAAAACAGCAGACGACCACCATGACATTGTGAGCGAATCCAGCAGCCAAGCCGACACGGAAGACACGTCGGCCGACGAAGCATGCGACGACGAGACCGTGCGCGTCGTGTGTCTGGGCGCGCACGCGCGGCAGCTGCTCGAGTTCTTCGGGTGTGTGTTTGACTACCGCAAGAGCGGGCTGAGCATCCGCAACGGGGGCTTCATCTACCGCCTTCGGGACATGACCGACTCGACCATGCACGGGCTCCATCTGCGGCTCGTGGTGGAGGACCCCATCCACCCCGACCGCAACGTGAGCGCCGCGAGCTTTGCGTTTCAAAAGGTTGTGGCCCTCTTTGAAGACGCATACTTCGCCCTCGAGTACTTTCGCCCGACGCGATTTACCCCCACGCCACTGAGCGTGCTCTTGAGCTGCTCTGGACACCGAGGCACCCATCGACGATACGTCCAAGCCGCCGTGGGCGGCGACACCGCCACCACCGGGGACGAAGAGGATGATGATAGGGACGACTAGTGTGATTGTGTTGGGCGCGTTGTAGTTTAAAAATTGGAACTAAAATAAGTTATGCACTACACTACCGAATGTATGGCCCACACGGTGAAACAATAGTGCAAGACTGGAAGGGCTGCAAACACAAGTACCATGTGCACGGCGGTTCTAAGTTGACATGAGTGTTGGATGGAGACAGGTGTGCGACCTACTCGATGGCGTCGGGGGCGTGGCGATAGTACGCTCGCAGTTCGTTGAGCGTAGTAGCACTGGCATGGCTCGTGGTGGCGCCAGCATCTGCTTCCTCCTCGAGTGCCATAAGTTGTCTCTAGCGGGCAGTTGACCAGTACGTCGGATCACGGAGAATGCAGAGCACAGAGGACTTCGAAGGCCGTTACTCGTCGGACCAATGGAGCTCGACGAAGAAGAAGCTGCCGTTTGTTCTATCCGTTGGTTTTATTGTTGCCATGTGCGGTCTCTCGCGTCAGTCTCGCCCAACGCTTGCCCGCCACGATCGTCCCCCAGCCGTCCACACATGTATCCATCCAGTAGAAACAAGTGTGTCGGGTAAGTTTACTGATGATTTAAGCTCACTACACTGACTTCACTCGAACAAGTCATAACGTTAGTTATAACTTTATCCCGGGCATTTATAAATATGTTATACAGCATTGCCGTGTAGCGATCGTCAGGGTTTAACCACAATGAGCGTAACACCGACCCCTAGTTTGAGCCCCTTTGCCGCAACCACTGACTTCGCAGCGCTTGCCGCCTCCGTGTGACGTGCAAAGTCCTTTGCCCTGGCTGCTCTTTTGACACCCTGCGACTGTGCACCTGGCACCCCCGCCATGGGCTTTGCACACCCCTCGAGACTGAATGGCATTTGAGCAGCCGTTGATACTGCACTTCTTGCCGCCTCCATGCTTGATGCAGTAATACCCGCCCACGCTACAGGTGTTGCAGCCTGGAATCAAGCACCGCTTGCCCCCTCCGTGCATTTTGCAGTAGCCTCGCGATCGAATCTTGTTCCAGCACGTAGGCTCCGAGCACTTCTTAGGGCATTTCTTGCTGGAGGGGTGGAGATCAGTGGCTTTACCGCACTTGGAGTTGGTTCGTGGGTTGGTACTGTGTGGTGGGGTGGTCATGGCGAACACCAATGACTGTGTTTCCAAGGGGACGGGTGCGTTGAAGGCCTGGAGTAGGTCGGTCCAGTCGAAGTCGGCGTTGGTGGTAGCGGTTGAAATCGCTTGGTCAATACTGGCTTCGTCCACAAGCGCGTCGCTGAAGATAGACCCGACGTCTTCCCAGTTCACCATATCATGATCGCACGCCGCAAGCGATGCTGTACCAGGGGACTCGATGAGGGCCACTTCTTCAACGAGGGCGGTCCAGGAGTTGCGCTCGTTCGCGATGGATTGCATGGTGGCAATGGATCCGCAGGGATGATTTGAGAATGAAACACTTGGGGGGGGGCTCGCCGCGAGCGAGTGTGTGGTGCATTATTTGACGGTCCATGCCATTCGGAATTCTGATTTTTGAATTTATAAAACTGTTTGCTCCATGCTGGACATGCCACGTATGAAACGCCAAGTGGTTTCATAATTGATCGACGATATTATAATATGTCCGAAATTATAATTTTCGAGGACGTTGCGCATTTTATTATAACACATTGCACCACATCACAGTCAGCCAATCACCGCCCAGCAATTTTGGAATTTTCAACCGCCGGAGGACGACGCTGATTGGTCAGCATCCTTCCCCTTCTCACCTGGCAAACCCATGCTGATAATCGATATACAGTGCACAAGTGGTTTTTATGCACGAATGTCTCATATGGGCCGGTCGTGATGGCTTGAATGTCGTCGTGTGGGCTATTTTGTATGGAATCCAAGCATGATATGATGAAACCATTGGTCGTAATCCGTTGTCAGGATCTTACCGGCTCCACCCATGCGCAGTCTGCGTTTTGGTCTTGACTCCCAAGGTGTTTGGCGGCGAGTGGCGGTGCTTCAGGTGAAGCACTTCCGCGCAACGTCAAGGACCTTAGCACAGAGAAGATAACGATCCAAGAGGAAGGAAGCGTGGACATGACGACCATGGAGTGTCGAAAGGAGCTGGAAGACCTGATCTTGGAGGTGTACGAGAACTTGCAAAGCGACGGAGTCAATATTCTACTGCCCGATGAAATTGCGCGCAAGATTCACGGCATGGTGCATTTGGTACGACTTGGTATAGATGCGGATGTCACTGGTCGATGGAACTCATGCGGTTTGTATAGCATCGGGCGTGTTCTATGAGCGGGGATGTGGCGGCTGACGGTAGTTTGATTGCATGTGGCCCAGGGTGTAGTCATGACCCCAAGGACGGACAACCAGAATCAAACAACAACGACGACGGCACCCCAAAGATTCCCGAGGAAGAGGTGTTTCGAGTGCAACAGATGATCGAGGCGTATATGGCTCAGATCGACGAGGAAATGACCCCGATGGTCGAACACGCGATTTCAGTGGCAACCACGCATGTGGCGGTACCTTCCTACAATGACATGACAGAACCGGAATCTGAAGAAGACGTGCGCGAATCCGTGTTGGAATCGATCCCGGAAAGCCCCGTGGCGCCGTTGTCGCCCGTGTCATTGCCGTGGTCAGCGCAAGTCCCGTCGAGCGTGGAAACCGCGAGTCAATACTCGATGGACGACGACTTGAACACAACCGAGTCGTTGAACAACCAATACGACGAAATCTTCCAATTCATGAAACAGGAATTCCCCGACGAGGCGGCGCGGTACTCCCCAGGACTCGACGCGACCGACGTCGAGTCATGCGACGGATCCGTGATGGACCATGACCCGGCGCAAGACGTGACCCCGCCACCGTCGCCTCGGCCGGTATTCACGTCCAAGCTGCCGGTGCTGACGGCGGCAAGTCGCCCACGGAAGCAGTACGTTGCCCCAGCAAGTGTCTCGAAGGCGACGATGGTGAAGAAGACGATGCCACAGCCGCCGCCGACGACGCCGTTCAAGCGCACGCCGTTGCCCGCTTCTCTCAAGAACAAGGTAGCGATGGTGCCGCCCACGAAATCGACGCGCAGCTTACTGCGACCCCCAGCGTCGGTCCCCAAGCCGACGACCGTGCCCCTTCGTACCCGCAAGTTTTCGAACGCGTCCGACTGCAGCGACGTCATCATCACATCAGTGCCGAAGCAAGAATCGAAGCAGGACATGGCGGCAAAGCGGCGTGAGGAGAAGGAGAAACGCGAACTGGCCGCTCGAGAAGAGGCCCAGAAGCTCCGCGAACACCGCCGCGCCCTCGCCGAGAGCAAGGCGGATGCGGAGAAGGCCATCCGCGCCGCCAAGGTCGACATGGTGAAGCGACGGCGTGAAGAACGCGACAAGCGCGTGCTTGTGATCAAGTAACGCTGCTACGATTTACTTTATTGGCCATTTTTAATTTTTGATACAACGTCACCAGAATTTATTAACGTTACAGTTAAAATATTGCGTCGCAGACTGATTTATTATTGCCATATATAGATAACGATCATAAATCGTCGGTGAAAAACAAGGTCGAGAGCACAGACTTCATTTATTCATTTATTTTCGCCTCTATTGCCATAAATTAAATAGATAAACGTACAAATAGATAAGCTTACAGTAACAATCATAAAAATCGTAGTCGAAAAAAAGGGTCGAGAGCACACACATCATTTATTCATTTATTATTCGCCACTAAAGGTGGTTATAACGTAAAAAACCAGTTTAAGATAACTTACAGTTAACCTAATTTAGGATAACTTTGCATTGCCCAATCACACCTCGTTATTTGTTCGAGTCAAAACCTCTGTCATATAATGCTGACCATTCCGTCACGTGAATAAAATGCAAAAACGGCGTAAAAGCCATCGGTACCAGTCATTCAAGATTGGGCTCAAAGTACCCTAGTCGACACGAGCCACATTGGGTTGGATCTGACGTTGTATCGAGTGTTAAACTCGGTGGACATCCATCCACCACTGAAATATAACTCTATAAAACAGTACCCTTGTATAAATTATATGCAACCTGTTGTAACCGCTTCCGCTAACTGTAAACACATAATTTCAATGCTCCGACACATGCATACTTTACGATAAAAATGTTATCTTAAATTGGTTATCAAAATGTGAGTACAAATGCTTAGAAAGTAATAAATTTACCTGTGAAGATCATCGCCTGACAATTCGATTATGCACTGAAAGCAGAGCGTCTTGTCTATTGGAATCACTATTCAAAACTCAAATATCGTAACGGACTCAAAAGTTATGTCCATTTTTTTTATTCTAATCCGACGCCTCCAAAAAAGTTATCTTAAATTGGTTTTTTATGTTACTTCAAAGTATATTTATTAACACTAATAAATCATCCATCGTGTTGGTTATGGAGCGCCGCAGTGTTGCGGTACACGTTGAACGTGTGGCTCTTGTTCCACGACACCACGCCCGTGGTGGACTGCACGAGCGTAAACCCACCCGCGGAAGACAGCGCCGCCGTGTAGTCGAGGACGAGGGCCAGCGGCGGCAGTTCCTTCTCCAGCTTGTTCACAAGGGCCTTGATAAGGCCGGCTTCCCAGCATTGCGATGTAAGCACGAGGAGCTGCACATGTTGAAGGTCCGCTGTAAGCATATCCCTGCATTGAAAGTCGACGCGTTCTTCCATGAGAAAGCGGCGCTGGGTGTCGGTCGAAGTTTCGACAAGGAAGGGTAAGATCTCGATGCCTTGGACGCGAATGCCGCAGATCAACGACGTGAAGAACACTAGCGACCCTGCTGAGGATCCGAACACGGTACACGCCGACGCATGTTGCTGGGGCGATTCCTTGATCCGCGCAATGCAATCGACTAAAACAGGCGACCGGAACAGATCGATCCATGTGAAGAGCGGCGTCGAACCGTATGCGAACGAGCTGACGTCGTACGATGTCGAGAGTTGGAGTTGGCACGCTCGGAGTTGGACATGAAAGGGTCGGGTTTCTTCTTGCTGGCGAAGATGCTGGATGACACGACGCAACGTGTCTAGGGTGGATGTCTGTAGCGAGAATGGGGTGTTCATCAAGCCCTTGATTGCTTCCATTTCTCTATCAACCAGACTTGATCGATTTGTGTGTACGGCGGCTGCATCAGGGCATGTGACCCCCGCTTCGTCTTGACATCGCTGAATCAACTTGGACACATAAATGGAAGTCTTGTTTGCCATGGTGTTGCTGCTGTTGCTATCGCAGTCGAATTCGTTGGCGAGGTCGCTGTTGACGCACTCTCGTACAATACGCATGGACATGATGACAGCCCGCAACAAGGCTCCGTGCTGTGGATTGTGATGCCTGAGCGCATGCGCCAAGTGCTGCAGCTGAGTGGATAGTTAATGTGGCCGATATGTGATCGAAGGAGCGCAGTGTCTACCTGCATCAAGAGGACTCTTCCTTGCTCAAACATCGACGGTGGTGGCGGATCGAAGGCGTCCCTGCTTGGCATGTTTGCACTTCTTGGCATGTTTGCACTTTGATGGAAAATACCCGAACTGTGATGCGAGCAATTGGATTGGTCAAACAATGAAAGATCTGACCAATCAGAACCCTCTATACTCTCGTGAGTTTGAAAAGATCACAAGATCATGGACACCAAGGCCGTCGACGGCGATGCGACCAAGGTATTGCAGCGCGCTTCAAAGCAAGTTCAGACTGCCACGACGAAGAAGCATGCGCTTACTCGAACCGAAGTGTTCAACCTGTTGCAAGTACATCACTTGTTGATGTATTTCACGACCGAAATAACCCTGATTGGCGATTGTAGGAATGCTTCGCACCAGAAGCCACGACGCCTTGCAAAATCCTTGGGTTTCGCTTGGCGGGGTTGGCTCCTTCCTGTATCACGACAGAAGTGTGGCAACTTATCCTGGACGCGGCGGTGAAGGAGCTTGCGGGAGCGGCTGCACAGGGTGCCGCCCCCGTGTTGGTGCATTCGATTCCCGTGTTCGACGTGCTGCCACTCACGCTGACGTTGGGTTTCCTTCAGCAGCAAGAGATGGAACCCCTCAAGAAGATCCAAGCCTGTGTCAACCACGAGTCCATCGACGTACGGTGCGTGGCGCTGGCCACGTTCAGCCGCGTGAGCATCCTCTGCACCAAAGTTCTGTTTGCTCGTGGCTTAACTCGGTTCCCTTTCGACTCGAACGAAGCGCGGATCGTTGCCCAGCAAGACGTTACGTCCATCCTCATCGACATTTGGAAACTCAACCTCCAAGCCGCCGAAGCGGAAGCGCCAGAAGTCGCGGCGGTGGCCTTCTCGAACCTGGCGCATCTGTTTGGTCGCAGTCATGCCATCCGCAGTCTGTCCAGCCAGCACGTGCGTCCCCGTATCTTCTTGTACACTAGGGGGGGTTCCATGTTGTCCTGATCATTTCGACGGTATGTATGTAGCCGCGACGACAAGAAGGTGGACTAGACGAACTCGTTTCGTGGCTGTTTGATCAAGCATACCCTCGCTTTGGCATGTTCAAAGCCAATGCGCAGTTACTCCCAATGAACTCGCAGCTGCACGCGATGAAGTGGTTGAGTATGGTCGCGTACATGTTGATGCAAAAGAGCGGCGCGTGCACTCCTGGCATCGCCATTGCCATCGTGGAGCTGGACGCAACAGCAGCTGTGGGTACGTCCATATTTCAATGCCTGCATTGTACTTGTGCAGTTGGAATGTGATACTGTTTATCATTGTGATACTGTTTATCATTAGACGACAACAAGGGCACGGTTAGAGTGCGTGCAGATTTGGTCGCCGCCGATCTCGTCGAGTCGTGGTGCCTCCCAGCTTATGTGTACGACATATATTTATGTACACATTTTTGATATATCTATAGATTCAAATCAATATATATATATATGTATATATACTACAGTAGTATATATTATTGACTTATATAAGTCAATCATATAAACATAATACAGATCCAGTCCATAATATATATATATATATATTATAATATGGACTGGATCTGTATCGTGGTTACATGATATTTTTTACCTTGGAATAATTTTTTTTACTGCCCCCGAGTTACACGACATGTTGGTGTCTTGAATATTCTACATAACTATATTAGGAACGCGTCGCTGACCCAAGCGTATCCAATCTGCGAAGCCATTGCCATTGTCATGCAGCATCCATTGCAAACGTACAACCGATTGCAATGGTCGTCGGTGCTCGTGTCCCGACTCACGGCCATCATTCGCTCGTCCACGATGACACGGCAACGTCACGACGTGATCCGCGTCCAGGTGCTTCTCTTGGACTGGACCAACACTTTGGACTTCACCAATGTCGTGGGACCGGCCCTCGACTCGATCGCCGGGCTCGAAAACCCAACGTACGTCGTTTCCTTCATATTCTCGTCGTTTGAATTGCCTTGATATATATTACTACGACGCGTCTTGCCCAAAATATAATAATATTATGAGTGTGTTGAATGTTGTTCTTTGTGCTTATAATATTTTCATTGCCTTAATATATAATACTACGACGCGTCTTGCGACACTCATAATAATAATATTATGAGTGTGTTGAATGTTGTTCTTTGTTTTTATAATGTTTTCCATGAATACACATATACTGTATTTGTGACTACATGGAGCTATCCTAAACGACTGGTGCTATGTACGTACTATGGAGTATATATACCACTGGCCAGTATTGTGTTGATGCCTATTACTAGTATTTGATATTATATTTGACTAGAAACTATGTGATGATGCTATTTCAAGTGGACGAGATGGTGACATTGTATCTACTAGCACCCGTCTCGGTTTATTGTACGACCTGTGGCATGCCATGGTCGCTCGAGTTTGCCGCAAACGGCAGTTTGCCCTCCTCGACTCTATCTGCGCGAGCTCGTACTTTCACGGACTTCCTTTGGGCCAGGTAATAAATAAATAATATAACGACACTGGCGATGGCATTGCGTTGATGCTGTGGTTTCATCTGTTAAATAGGTCAAAGGCAAGTCGAGCCAAGCGTACGAGATTTTTCGGGCGCTGGTCGAAGCCCTGCTCTTTTGCAGCCACCCGAATCACCCCCAAGCCCGCCTCGTCGTGCTTCAGCAGTTTGTGGCGGTCCTCGCCAACAAATCCACGACGGACCTCCGCACGGCCACGCTGGTCTTGTTCACGGCGCTCCTGACGCAGCTGTGTCAAGATAGCAGCCCCGCGCCGCCAGTGCTGGACTTTCTAAGCAACGTCGTGCTTCCGTTGGCCCCCAAGGTGCCGTCGCCCAACGTTCGTGTGCAATTGTATTGGCTTGGGCTCAAGTTTGCGCCCAACCATACCGGTGGCGGCGGTCATAGCCATACGATCATGGCGTGGGTCGAAGTCGAGTTGTTAGCTCTCCAAACGTCCAAGGTATGTACTTGGGTAGATCTGTGTGTGGAAACGAGGATACTGATCGATGGCTTGATAGGACGGAGCGGGGCTGCCGTCATCGACCACGTACAACGACGGGGTGCTGGGGGGCGGGGACGAGAACGTCCACACGGTAGACGTGCATGTCCTTGGTCGGTTCTACGCCCTCCTCCAGTGTCTCCGCTGCCTCTTGGCCAAGGACGCGTCGCTCAAGCAGCGCGCGGTGCAAATCCTTGCGCAAGTCCGCGTCCGCAACAGTATTCACCGCGTCATCTCCGACACGTACGAAGGGCATATTGTTTGAGTGTGTTTCCCTTATGTACATGTATGTATATGGGGGCTAGCGTTGTCCAAACCATCGAAGACATGACGGGCATGGGGTCCCGGGGTCACGTGTTGTCGTTGGAGCTCGCGTCGGCGTTCGTGTTGCCAGAGTTGTTTTCCCCAGCGTCGCTCTTCCCTTGCCGGTCGTCCGGTAAGCAGTCTGCGACACCGTTTCATGTGTGACTCTTGCTTTTTCGTGTGTAGGGTTGGCTGCGACAACGGGGCCTGTCGTCGCCCAGTGGACAGAGGAGGTGGAGACAGTCGTGACAGGGTCGTGCGACCCACTGTGTCTCAAGATTTCGTACCGGGAGCCGGAAGATTATCCGGAGGACATTGCGTTGTGCGTGACGTGCTGCAACGTGAGCAACGTGTCGTGGAGCGACTTTTCGTACGTCCACAATCTAGGGGTCGGGTAGATATATCTGATATATATCATGTAGGATTGGCGTGGGTGTGACGGGCCCCGTGACGCTCGTGGACACGTCCAACAACATGCATATCCGTGTGACGGGCGAAGTGAAACCCCATGGCATGTTCAAGTCGGAGAAGCTATTTCGATTTAGTCGGTTCAGTCGCGCGCGGTTCTACTTTCGAGTCGAGTTAGAATCTGTAACCTCCTCCCGTTCGTATCCTGAATCTCACCCATGGTATGATATATATTCACTCTGTGACACTGTAGCGGAGGTTCCTGCGACGGTGATGGGGCTCACGAACCCGTATCACATGCCATTTGACGCGTTGTTTCACCTGCCCGACTCGACCCTGTGGACGGCCGCGTACTTCCAGATGGCGTGGCAAACGTACACGAGATGTCGACAGCATATATGTGTCATACATGTACACATTGTAGAGCGGAAACCAACAAGGTGTACAAGATCCAAGCGAAAGCAACCAAGAGCGTCACGCCTCACCACCGCCACGCCAAAGTCGCGTATGTCGCCGACGTGAGCGTGGCCACCGATTGGTTTGTCCAAGTACGTTCGATGAGTTACTGTAGCACTAGTTGCTTTTTTGGAGCCTATGTATTGTAGCTAGAATTTCTTTTCACTCTTCGCGTGGTTTTCTAATCAAACATTGAATCCCGCTGGAAAATTCTGATTGGCTGCATGTATTACTTGTCATTTCTGAATAGCCAATCAAAAGCTCTCAAATTTGGATTACCCAACAGAGTTTCGATTCGGCGGCGAGAATCGACTGGAAATTTGTACCGAATCCACATTCTATATATATATATATATATATATATATATATACAAATATTTGCACTCAACTATCACTCTTTTCCGTGGGCGGATGGCATGTAGAATCGTTAAGAATACCCATGCCATTGAACTGTTTGGAATGGAGGTGCATTACAATGGTTGGTTGTTAGATGGCGTTTTTAACGTGGACCAAATGGAACGAGTGCGTGTGCGCAACCATTTCCGTCGCCCGGGACGACGCCGCCAACTTGTGGCATGGTACGATGGAGGTGCGGTCGACCGATGGCGTCCTCATGGAGGTGGCCAAAGCCCCTCGGGACTTCCTGGGCGTGCTGGTCAAGTCCACGTTCGATTTGACCGAAGACATCGTCGTGGAGCGGCCCGCGGCGTGTGTGAGCCCTCGCCACCGTACGTATGGTTTGAGTTGGACTATTATTGCGTCGGTGACAGCATATGTGACGAGGTAATTGTGTAGAAATCGTCAAACGGGCGGTGAGTGTGGACGTGATGGCGAAAGAGAGCGCGGTGACGACGCCCACCGTGACGCGCCGCGCCCTCATGAGTTTTTTTGGGGGGAAATAGTAGCGTTCGCGTTTTATAAGTAATATACGTCTAGGTACATATTGAGTCACGCCGTTCTGATTGGTTGAATATACTTGTCCTTCCTGAGCCAATCAAATCCACTCAAATATGGATTAGCCAATAGTGTCGATTCATGATTCGATTCACCAGGGTCTGGAAATTCGAATCCACATTACTTGAAGATGAACTATAAAACAATGCAATTTACTTGCATGTTACTTACTATAATTTGAAAAATCTTTTTGAAAACTAATGGTTTTTCTAAAAAACCAAAATGAAAAACCAAAACGAAAAACCAAACATGCCATCCCTGCATATTAGCATCGATTCGCCATGGCTTGCGCAGTGTATCGCATGCCGACGGTGGCAAATGCTTTCTTCTTTTCAGCGGCCAGCGCTTGGCGCAGCTGGAGGCTCTCGGTCCGGTCCTGCCAATACACCTAAATTTATGCGATTGTGGCGGCGGTGACGACGATACACTGGTTTAGCATCACGTACGTGCTTGTCCTGGGCTTGTTGCTTGCGCATTTGAGCGTCGACAGACTCGAGTTCGTTGGACGTGAAGATGACCCCCCTGGCGTCGAGGACGTCCATCAACGTTTGCACCTGCGAACGAATGAATTTGATCTTGAAATGGTTTGACGATAGAGTTTACCCAAAGGTCTCGCAATGGAATGTCTTTGGCGGTGACTTCCAGCATCTTTTTGCCGGACGCGGCGTATAAAATGATGTTGGCTTTGCCTAGATTATAGACCTTACATCAGTCCTGCGACATTTGTTGATTCTACTTGTTGGCGACCATGACATGAATATCGAAGGGCCGTCCATACCACTTGGCATGATCTTGGCGATGTGGTCGACATGAATTGCTTCGGTGCGCGCGACGTCCGATGGCTCGTCGGTCAACGTCCACTCGAGTCTATCACAAGTGGATGAGGCAATAGCGATGGAACTCGGGATTGTATTTAGTACCGCGAGCTCGTCGCGTCGAGGCGGAGATAAATGCGGTCCGACGTCGGAAGCATACCAAAGAGCGACGTGTGCCGACGAAAATGGTCGCCTTCCTTGAGCTTTGCTTCCCGCTGGTACGCCTCGTAGCTTGTGATGCCGCAGCACAGCGAGTTTCCCATGGCCAACTCGATGGAAAAACTGTCCAAAGATTGTTTTCAGTCGAAAGGACGTTCGAACATTTTTCTAGTTCAAGTTCAACTTGCCGTTTCCACGTGGCAAGCGTAGAATGCTCGTGTGTGGGGCAATTATTTGGAGTAAACGTTCTTCGAATCCATATAAGTACGTTTCGTACATAAACGGGATATTATGAAATTTATCGGACATGTCATCTATGCGATGCCGGTCGGACCCCTTCTCAGTTATGTGTGTTATGACCGTGAGTGGTCGTACATAGCGGTCATATCTAGATAACACCCAGTATACTTAAATCAAGATATAAACAATTGGGGTATGGTGCATTTCATCTAAAGACTACCAGGTACAGATCGGACATCCTTCAGGAGGAGACGTTTTAGTTTAAACGCCTCGATTAAACCACGTAATTTTGACGTTAAATTACTATTAGTTACGTTTTTTATCTGGTAATTAGGTTAAAAGCCCTGAATAATCCGGATACATTTGAAACGTTCATACGGATAAGTACTGTATTCAAATACCAAGATATACTGTACTTGAAGCTCCTTTTAGGCCAAAATGTGCCTGGCTCCATATATTTTCATACAAAAAGGCTGGTTGGTTTAAACTCTATTACGATCAATTTTTCACCAATCGAAAATTTGAACCGTAACTTCTGTTGGGTTTGTCCAGTCCTATCGTTATTGCGGCTTATTTTCCTAAAAAATATCAATTTACAAAGTTGGAATAGCTGTCGTAAGACAAGACATTTTTTTGTAGCCTTTAGATGAAATGCACCATAGAATGGCATGCTTCATCCAAAAGGTGTAAGAGGTTATATTAATAATTTACTTCAGTGGTTTTGCTGTAATATATCAGAGGTTTTGGACATAACCTTGCTCAAAAGTGCATGCTGCTACCGGATACAGTAGCATTATCCGGCATAACATTGCTTATCCGGGTAATATACCACTTATCCGGTCATATTCGGTTCAATTTACAGCAGCTAAGCAGCAGACCTTTCTTATGATGGCCAGCTTTGGCGTCTGTCCATTTGTCAAAATTTTGTGAATTTCCGCGATTAGCTTCTAATACTAGCTTCAGTTGACGAGCACCGTATCAGAAAGCACAAGGTTATCGAATCCGTCAAAACCCTTCTTTTTCCACGTCGACAAGCCTTATAGTCTCGAGCGACGACAGAGCATCCGCCGACAAAATTGTGCGCATCGTAGCGAAGCGGAGGTCGTGTGTATAATTTTGTGCAGGCGATGCCTTGGCGAGGAGTGAGCCCCAATCGTGCATGTCACCAAATGTGCTATCGATTCCTCTTGTCGGGAAAAGAGACAGGTAGGCCGCAGGCCATGTCGCTACCCGAACGAGGCCTGTTCCACGACGAAGTATTTTTACTTGGTATTTGTATTGATCACCAATTAATGTGTTCGTGTTAAGTACGCCTGAATACCACGTAAGGTTTCTACGGTACGTCAAGTCCGCGGACCTACAGAGATGGACCCCGTAATTTGTTAGAATTACAAGATGCATACATTATTTTATGCCCTACTAATGCGAGTTGAATCAGCGTAAGCATCAACGACTACCGCTATGACTACTCCTTCCCAACAGCAACAACATGATCAACCAGGCCTCCGAAGCAGTTCACGTCCGACGATGGGTGACCATAGCTCGCCCGTCGTCGTGACACTGCAGTTGCCATCGACCACCGGTCAAATCGTCGCTGTAGCCATCACGGTGACAATTATCGTCACTGTCGCAGTCGCAGCGGGCATTGGACTTGCCTGCTTCTACTTGCCGAACTCCCACCGACGCACCCAACGCATGTCTATGCTGGACGAAGACGACTGCGATGTGTATGTGATGGAAGACGGCTGGCGATGCTCTGAATCCAGCAATTGCAAGTAGAGCAAGGCCGCCCACTTTCACTCTCGAAGCAATCTCGGAGGAGTTCTGTGTGATGGCACCTGTGCACGTATGTAAGCGGCTCTCCAGGAATGACGCTTTCACACAGCCAAATGTCTCCCCATTATAGGAACGTTTACAGTAACTGGTATACTACGTATTCACAAAGCAAAATGTTTATACCTACTGTAGTATAATTTATAATCTAAAATTACAATTGCATTGAAAATAATGTCTGGAGGCTGCGGGTAGCCATCGTTGGCGACGTAAGCGAGGATAAACGTATGTCTAGACGAAGGAGTCGAGTTTTGGTGCAAGGCTACTTTGTATTCGATTCCGCTGTATAAAAGGTATACGTAGTATACCTTTCAAATTTTGGCCGCCAGTTACGATGCTGTTTGGAAAAGTATCCACTGCATTCCACGAGAATACCGTTATGTATTTTTAATATAAAATATGGATGTCATAATTTAAAAAGATAACATCGAAATATAGCATCAAGTTAACATAAGCTAACATCAATGTTTGTCATAATTTATGTCAATGTTAACTATCGAGAAAGTACATGACTTTGTCGTTGAATTGCTCAGCAACGGCTGGTCTGGGCATGATACATTTCATATGAAAACTGAAGAGATGGCTGCAGGCTATATAACGAGACGTGATATGTGGCGATTGCGCTTATTTAGCATGCGTGAAGTGACCTCAAACATGCCAAAAAACTGAAATATAGCTTACTTCGGGTGTGATTATATCCCGCAATAAGTATCGTAACACCGTCCATACCGCTTTATTACGTAGTATCAATGCTGCTGTACATGCTACCATGGTTTTGCGTTGATCGGTGCGTTATGCAACCGTTTTGTGTGGAGCCAAGCAACTCAGCGCAATCAATGGACAATGCCAATCCTTCAAAATGGCAATTAAAAGTAGTGACCGCTGCTTTCTTCCTCAGGCTGAACTCGATTTGATTCTAGCGTGTGTATGGTGATGATGAACTATGCACTGCCATATCGTTTGAGGATTGTAAAGTTGATCGTTTCCCGCAGCCTCCTGGCAAAACACTTTTTTTCTCAGAAATATTGTAATAAAGAACCCCAAAACGCCATTTTGGGGCAAAATGGAATAATAGAGAGGTTTTGTAACTCATCCGTACATTACCCCCATCCTAACAAAATCGACATTTGTCGTTTTGAGGGTAATGACAATGATGAAGTATTATTGTGTTTTGCAATTTATCCCGGCAACGTTTCTCTACGTCGTTGGCCACGCCGCCTCGAGCAGACAAGCGCAAGAACAATTTCAACAACAATAAATGAACGACGTACAATAACGTTATACTTGTTTTCATATTCATGGCGGCTAATTCTAGGTTTTGGCGGCTATGGTGAGGTTGTACCCGACGGTCGTGCGTAGCACGGCTATCCTTCATTCCGAACGATGTTGCCAATTCGAATTGCTCTGAATGAAAAGCAGAATGACGTGTCTGGCAACAAGTATCAATATTTTCACACAAAATGGAGTTTTCGTCTATATTCAATAATTACTGATTGAGATATTCGCCCCTTCACGAAATTCCATTTTATCCTCCAGACGCGCTCTAAACTTGCATGCTGACAGAGGTGATCACAGGTACGAATCCAATTTCAAATGTGGCGGCGGGAAGGGATGACAGCGACGTGGATTGCGGCGGCGCTGGGAATCCTTGTCCAAGACACGGAGGAGTACGTCAAGATCCGTCCGTCGAGGACCAGGTTGAAGACGCCGCTTCGCCACCCGAGTTCAACGAAATCGAAACGTCAACCCTGCGTCCAGGAATTTCTCCTCCTTCGCTTCCAATGGGTGAAGGGGCATGCCTGTCACACAATGACCCCCTCCACAGCCTCATCCTTTGCCGTCACGGGTCATTCGACGGCACCCCTTGACAACGCTACCCTTCCACCAACATACAGCATCCTTATCGTCAACCAGATCGCGAACGCCAGAGCAAGTGTGGCCAAGTCGGATGCCGACTTTTCACAACTGAGAGCAGATGTGTGGAACTCGCGCAGCGGTTACGCCAATGAATGCGATGGATTCATCAGGTACCACGACCTCTACACCCGAGACCACGACTGCCGAGCCTGCCACTGCAACACGACGCCAGTTTCAATAATCAACCAGATTGTCTTTTATGTGATTGATGAGAACGCAAAACGTACTAACTGTAATCTCTCATTAGTGTAGTGGTTAGCGATACGGCTCCGCCCCAGAGTGCCCCGGGATTGAGCCCTGCCAAAGCGGCCTACGTTTTCGTCGCATTGCTGAACTTAACTGCGCTTTGTATTTGGAGGTTTTGATCTGCGATTACGTCGAAGATATTTGTATTACGTTTCAGGTTACGGTTAATCAACACCCACATGAATTATACGTCGAGCTTTACGTCGACTGGACAACCTCTGTGCGCAGCCTTAGACTACGGCCACATGTGCGACGGCATCGGTTACCGGTTCTACTTCCACCGTCAGACCAAGGCCCCCGCACTGCCCATGTTGGAGTCATGGGGGGATTTCACTCGGCGCACCATCCCGCTGTCTTGGCAGCCCACGTTGAGTCCCATCAAATCCTTTTGCAGAACTTGATGCAGTTCGTTCGGTGGCGACATCGGCAGACGTGTACGTATGCGATGTGGACGACCCAATGTTGTATGTCCATCGACCTCCGAAATGCTCGTCGGGTATAGCGCTACCTCCACCGCCATGACCATCGTGTCCTGTGCACTTTGCACACAAGGCGAAGACACCACATTGTTTGGCGTGACATTCCTTTCATGCGGCCATACCTCCCACCACGAATGCAATTTGGAAGCACTCAACCGACAGCTCTCGTGCCTGACGCGTTTTACGAATGGCGTCACCCAGTGTCGCGGCACGACGTAGCATCTCCAGTAGCTTGAGAGATTGAAATGTGTAATACATCATAGATGGGATGTCAAGCTTAGCAGCAGGTCGCATCAGCGAGATGGGGTGCAGATGCATCCGTATCCACGAGAGAAAGGAGGTGGAGTTGCGCCAGGCGGAGAACACAAGAACTGGAGGTATGTCCTTCCGGATGCGTATAGTATTCCGGATAACACATTCGAAGCCGAATCAACCATCATTGCAACCAAGGTCGAGTATGTACACAGCGATCGCGGCAGTTAGAACGGGCGAGGAGCTGTTCGTGCTTGGCACGTCCTTTGGCGAAGTCAAGTGCGTTCGATACGTGGCTCCAGAGATGGATGGCAACTCTCAACGCAAACACATTGTCCTCGATGAGAACGTTGCCGATTGGGAGGTTGCGGCGACGGCCTACAGCATCTCGGTAGGTTGTGGATGGATGGTTCAATCTTGTAACGCTGCGTTGTGATGGTAGTGTGTGCATGTCCATGGATCTTTGGTTGTGGTAGGAGATGGCAACGGCACGGTCATCTTGCTTGAGCTCGGCACGGGTATGGAATTGCGGCGGTACGACATGGAAGCCGCCGTGATCAGCGCCACATGGCACGGCGGGGAGTTCATTCTGGGCGACTTGGTCGGGAACTTGATGGGTGTGGACGAATTCGACGTGCGATGGATCAAGCGCATGGACATTGACCTGCCATTCCACGATCACAGCGCTCCCGCAGCAACGACATCAGCTCATGGTGCGTAGTGCGCTCGCCAAAAACGTTTGATCCTTACAGACATGTAGTGGCCTCAGTGGCTTCCGTTCGATTGCGAGACTGTGATGATCAATTGTGCTCGTACGTGGCTGTAAGGTACATATCCTTTCTTTCCCATCACGGAATATGACCAAGAGTAAACAAGTGGTGTGGTTGACGTAGCTTGGGTCGACAGGAGCTCCTACTCACACACCAAGGACACGTTTTGGCCACAGTGCCTGCGCCAACGCGTATAGCGTGCATTTGGAGTTCCACGAGCCACGAAGAGAAGGCGAATGACGCTGCATCCACATTGCTCTGTGGAGGCGACGACGACGGGTATGTCCAGGGGATGTATCTTACCCAAGAAGACTAATAGCACGCTGCTGAAGGGTCGTGTATAAGCTCGTGACTGCAATCAGTTCAGACGGAGTGTATTCGCTTCAATTGCAGGCTGTGGTTGAGGTACTGATCGATCGATGATACAAAATGGTATAGACATGAACAACCACCAGGTCGGGTTTCGCGTGACCAAAATCGCAAGTGGCGCGTGGCGACAAGGTAGGCATTCGTCATACGAAACGACCATGCATGTATCGCATTCGTAGAGACGAAGGGAGGAGGAAGTGAGCCCACTGTGGTGGTCGCCAGTGCGAGCGCTAGTGACCTTGTCGAGTTTGACATACAAGGGGGTCGTCAAGAGATGCATGTGTTGTCCCAGGGAGCACCCATCGATGTTGCATGTGTCGGAGGTCGCATCTTTGTTCTCTACGATACCACCATCCATGTCGTTGACGCTAAGTTGTCCGCTGCCTCCGTCGACACAGTGACTTTATGAATTTGACGAAGTGAAATAATACGGATAATATACCCACTTTATCCGGATATCTCGTTCTGTTTGTGACCTTTCGGACAGTCCACTGCATTTGTGAACTTCCACACCAACGAGATGGCCCATCTGAAGACGAGCGAAGTGGCCTTCCTAAGCACGGTGGCTAAGCAGCGCCTCACGACATACGATGGGAACTTGTGGGAGTTCTACGACGTCGGAGACCGCAAGCTCACGCCGCTGGTGTGCCTTCCTGGCACCGTCGGTGGACCGTTAATCTTCCATCGAGTCATAGCAGCCTTGCAAGAAGCTGGTGGATACCGCGTCATTGCAGTGCGTCGCATGTCATGTGGTGCTTTTCACAATAAACCGTTTTATTTCGCATATAGCTCCAACACCCTGTCGTGTGGACCCATCAAGAATGGGTGCATTCATTTGACCGCTTCTTGGACGCACTGAACCTTCCATCGGTAACGATTCTTCTTGAGCGTGAGATATACACGTAGAGTTTCTAACGTCCATTGTGTTAGGTTCATATTTATGGAGTTTGTCTTGGCGCGTTCCTCGCTCAAGTGCGTTCGATTGCTTTGTCGAAAATACCGTGTCGTCGATGTGATCCTAATATTGTAGCGATACAGCTCTGTTTACCCCCGACGAGTATTGTCGCTTGCGTTTACGAATGGATTTTGCAACACCAAAGTGTTTGGCGCCAACTCGCCTTGCGTGAAAATGTACTATACTCCACGTTCAAACGACATGGCATGACGCTCTTGGTGGTGTAGGCTCCCCATGCTGCCGACATTTTACCTGAAAAAGTTGCGTTTGCTTGTCAAAAATTTCATAACATCAAATCTGTAGGTATGTGGTGGGGAACTTTTCCCACGACGGAACGTCCGACGCTGTTCGTGCCACGATGGCATACATGCGAGCCCAGGTGACACGGTTGCATCCAAGTGAGGTCAATCGTAATGGGTTGTTGCTTTGAAGTTGGATGCGCTCAGCCAGCCGCAGTTGGCGTCGCGGTTGACCCTGGTCAGTTTGTCCAGCGATCATCTTAGCTGGGGCATCAGCATTCCACACACCCGTGTGACGCTCATTGACGTACGGCATTTTTATCTTTGCGACATTGTTTCGTTGATTATCATTGGAACTTTAAACTTCAAACTTTGACCTGTTAGAGCTACGGCAGCAACAACGAGTTTACGACAGAGCTACGGGAACAAATGTACGAACGATACCCCGACGCGAAAAAGGCCTTGATGAAGACAGCGGGAGACTTTCCGTACTTGTCCCACGACGACGAAGTCATTTTGCAGCTTCGAGTACGTTTGCCAGATACATGTACACCTATGTAATGCCTAATATGTACACATTGTGTAGGTGCACTTGCGATCCAACGGCCATGAGGCCAATGCATAGGCGGCGTAGTGGGAATACTGTGATCAAGCACTTGAAACCCCTTAACCCCGGAATCCCGAAACCCCGGTCGAGTTTTTCCAAAACTGAATAACCTTGTATAATGAATAATCGTTCCTTGGAAATGGATATTCGGCAGCGCCGTTCAGTGGATCATAGGAATTGTTTCCATCGTTCATCCCCCCACCACAGACACAGCAAGATGGCGAAATCCATGGGCTTCAATCCTGCCGCGGGGCTTTCCGGCCTGCTGAAAGACGGACACAAGCACTTCGAAGGAGTCGACGAAGCCGTGGCGAAGAACATCGAAGCCGTGAAGCAGCTCGCCGACATTTCTCGCACGTCGCTCGGCCCGAACGGCATGCGTAAACTTGTCATTAACCACTTGGACAAGATCTTTGTCACGTCGGACACGGCGACGATCGTGCAAGAACTGGAAGTCGTCCATCCCGCCGCCAAGATGGTCGTAATGGCCGCCAAGATGCAACAGACCGAGTTTGGCGACGCGACAAATTTGGTCGTGAGCATCGCCGGGGAATTGCTCATGCAAGCCGCGGGGTTGTTGCGCATGGGACTCCACGCGTCCGAAATTGTAACAGGATACAAAAAGGCGTACGAAAAGGCCCTCGAGATCCTGAACACGCTCGAAGTCCACACCGTCCGCGACGTGCGGATCCAGGCCGAGCTCGAAAAGATCATCCGGCCCGTGGTCGGCGCCAAGCAGTACGGGTACGAAGACGTGCTGGCGACGTTGGTCGCAGAAGCGGCCTTGACCGTGTTTCCCAACAAGCCCAAGGCGGCCAAGATCAACGTGGACAACATCCGCGTGACCAAGATCATGGGCGGCAACGTGTTCGACTCGCGCGTGGTCAAGGGCATGGTCGTGCAGCGCGACACGGAAGGCAGCGTGAAGAAGGTGGACGGCGCCAAGGTGGCCGTGTTCGGGTGCGGCATCGAAGTGAGCTCCACGGAAGCCAAGTCGACGGTGCTCATCAAGACCGCGGACGAGCTGATGAACTACAACAAGGGTGAGGAGGAGCGTCTGGACGAAGCGATCCGCGCCATCTCGGAAAGCGGCGCCACCGTGGTCATTGCCGGCGGGTCGATCTCGGAAATGGCGCTACATTTCCTGGAAAAGTACCATTTGCTGTCGATCCGCATCCAAAGCAAGTGGGAACTCCGCCGGTTGTGCCGCGCCGTGAACGCGACCGCGCTCGTCCGGCTGGGGGCGCCAACCCCCGAGGAGATGGGGTTCTGCGACCACGTGTCGGTCCAAGAGGTTGGCGGCAAGAAGATCACGGTGTTCCGACAGGATCAAGAGGACGCCAAGATGGCCACCATCATTCTGCGGGCGAGTACGGATAACGTGCTGAATGACTTGGAACGGGCAATTGGTACGTCTTTATTGAACAGTTATCGAAAGATAGAGGACATTTGAAGGAGAATTGAATGGATGGGTGGGTGGGAGGATCAATCATGTTTGTTGGAAGGGTGATGTTCATGGAGGGGATGTGTTGGCTTGATGTAGATGACGGCGTGAACACGGTGAAGGCGGCATGCAAGGACGGCCGATTTGTCGCCGGCGGCGGTGCCACGGAGATTGAAGTGGCGCGTCAGATTGAAGCGTTTGGCAACACGATCCCGGGCTTGGATCAGTACGCGATCAAAAAGTTTGCGGAAGCGCTCGAGATTGTGCCGCGAATGCTCGCAGAGAACGCGGGCCAGCAAGGCACGGAAGTGATTTCATCTTTATACGCGGCCCACGGCGCCGGCAAGGCCAACGCGGGCGTGGACGTCGAGGTATGTTGGTTTTTGAGTTGGTTTATGATGATGATGATGATGTTAGTGCGAGAGCGAGACGGGCGTGGTGGAAAACATGCTGGCAGCCAACGTGGTCGACCATTTGGAGACGAAGAAGGCGGCGCTGCGCCTTGGCGCGGACGTGGCCATCACGGTGCTGCGAGTAGACCAGATCATCATGGCCAAGGCGGCGGGGGGGCCCAAGCCCCGAGGCGCCTAAGTAGGAAGTTAGAGAGATTATTCAACCAGTGTTTAATTCTTCACGTGATGTTGGAATTGTAACACTTACCATCAAACGAACCCATCCAATGCATGGCAGGTAACGCTAGCTACATACTGGGATCAAATGCATGTCGACTTTGCACATTATTATAACAGACGTCACGTACTGTAGTTATCGTCGCCAAATATTACAAAGCGATTGAAGCTACAGCTACTGTAGTACATGTCCCTTGACAAACGTTCTTCAAAATATATGTGTAGGATTGTAGCAAACACATTGCACTGGTCGAGGGATGTGAAGAGTGGGGCACTTCGAAGCATCAACCATGGTTCGTCCTAGAGTAGGATTGTAGTACCTGTTTGTATTGATACAGTATGTATACCTTCAATACTACTGAACCTAGCGTTATGGTATGTAACTATGGGTGGCTGGTGTTGATACGTTAGAAAGTACAATGTGAAACCGACATTGCACAATTGAAAGCAACATATGGGCGCGGGGGCATCGTTCGAAGTGTTCGCGCCGGGGGAGCTGGAAGGCGAGATGCAGGCCATGGACGCTGCCACGTCATCGTCCAGTTCGTGGGAGATGTTCAAGGCTGGCTACGACACGATTGTGCACACAATCATCCGGCCCCCTCGGTACAATAAAGTCCTAGTCGGTTCTTCGTATCGTTGGCGTTTCCTAACACAGCAGCAGACACGAGTACTCGGAGGGCGTGGCGCTGGGCCCGACATGTTTTGATGCGGACGACGGCACGACCATCTCTCGGAGAGACTTTACCACGTTGAATGCACACAATGAAGCGTTGCGGTGCAGCGTGTGGGATTCCGAAGCTGGTCGGGTACGTCCGTGCTTTGTCCAACACGATTAGCGATGATTCGGAGTAGTTTCATTGGTCGAAAGGATAGACGTCGTGTGTGTTGTACTTGCACGGCATCAGCGGATCGCGCGTCGAAGGGCTTTCGCTGTTGGGGCCTGTGTTGCAAATGGGACATGCGTTCGCAGCCTTGGACTGCCGCGGGTCGGGCCTGTCAGACGGCAAGTATATCAGCATGGGGCTCACAGGTACACGATCGCAGCTACGGCAAGGGGATGGCATATATATTCATCGACCGATATCGCATGGGGGGGGTAGAGAAAGACGATGCGTGGACGATGCTCCAAGCACTGCACAAGTACCGGTTTGGCCAGTTTGAGTCGGTGCGCATTTGGGGGCGGTGCATGGGGGCCAACGCCGCCTTGATGTTGCTGCAGCGAGTGTCGATTCAAAAACTCTCGGTACGTTGTGGCAGTTTGCACCATAACATGAATGAAATGTCATGTCGTCGGGTTGTAGAGCTCCGTGCAATTGAAAGACATCGACTTGGGAGTGTACGCGATGTGTGGCCACGACATCATGGTCGTCACGTCGTCCCGATCCAGTGCCAGTACGTGGCCCCCCATGGTTGTCGTCGTCGTCGCGATGCATAAATGCTCCTCGCATTCCATGACAAAGCATGGAGATTGAAGGAATACATGATAGATGATGCCGACGTGGGGATGGGGGATATGCTGGTGGCTATCGATGGTCGAAATGTTCGGGGGAAATCTAGTGGCTTCGTCTTAACTCTCTTGGCCGAAGCTTCGTTGGATACAACGGTGACGTTGTCGGGCCTTCGACGGACGCGGGGGGCGACCCCCTCCCCGACATCGTCGATACACCTGACGCCGTTCATTTCGTGGATGGTGCTGGACACCGCGTTCATCGATTTGGACACTGTCCTACACGACATGGTACAGTACTACAACCAAACGCGGTATCTACCTAACATTATTTACTCATTGCACTCTGCCCTTTTGCTGCTAGTTATGTTTTCTTTGCTTTCTGATTGCATCCCATTGTTGTGTAGGTGACGACGGCGCAGTCGTCCGACATTGGATGGCAGATCCCATCGTTCGTCGTGTCGGCCGGGATTGCGCTGCTCCGGTCCACGATCAAGCGCACCGCGGGCTTTGACTTGCACGCCGTGGCGCCTCGCGACGGCATCGCCCACGCCAGCGTCCCCGCCGTGTTTGTCCATGGCGTCCAAGATTCGTTCGTCCCTGTTCGCCACAGGTTCACGGCATTGTGATGTTCAACTTACCGTTCAATCGCTAAAGACAGAAACGTGAGCTAAACTCACGCATGATGTACTATCTAGTGAAGCAAACTTGAAAGCGTACGGTGCCGACAACAAGACTCTATTGTCATTTCCTGGTATATCAAGCCTTTAGATGGGGCATCGGACGTGACTGGATGACTACACTAGGCACACACGACTCGCTGCGATCGCGTGCCTTGATCGAGTCTGTACTCGTCCAAGCGCATGTCTTGAGTGCCAGACCAACGTCCTCGACGCCCTTGTCGGACGATGAACTAACGTCCATGCGGCGCCAACTGTTCCCGTCCGAGGGGGCGTACCCTTTGTGGACTGTCGGGACGTCTAAATGGATCGACCAAGTACGTTCACTGCATAAATTTAGTACATACAAGTGGGGGGTTGTCAGCCATCCATCCATATTTTTCCTTTTCGTCGTATATTTGACCCGTAATGTGGATAGAAGAACCCTACGTGGACATCGTCGTTGTCGCCCCGCCTCGACGAGGTTTCCATTGCACCGTACTCTGCCTACGCCATGTCCTATCAGTAACACACTCTTATGTTTTAGGATTGAGATATTGACCACCTTAACACACATTGGGTTGATGATTGTCCGAGTAGCGAGAAGGCGTCGTCGACAGGGGGACGACCGCATGTCGTGTACACGGTCAGTGTATTCGCCCCCGCGCACCTCTTCGCACAGCTGCCACCAGCTGCGTCCAACGTGTTTGGGGTCAAAGAGAAGGAGTCGGAAGGACGACTGAGCCAGGACACAGTGCCTGGGGACGAGCAGCACGAGATCAAGTCGCTGTGGCAGTCGTTTCGGGCCCAGACGAAGCGCGCCCCCACTCAGCGCCGGTCATCCTGGTTTGGAGGGGCGTGGCGTCAGAACGCGACTGGTGGTGCTCCGCCCAAAGGCGAAACAACTGACGCTTGGAATGACTTGGCAACGTCAAAATACGACTCAGACGACAGCGAATGCGCGCAAGTGGTGGTTCTGTCCCATGGGGTACGTACTACTGTGTAGTATGGGGACGGGGTGGGGGATGATGATGTTTGTCGGTTGCGAGGAGGGGGGAAGGGGGGGAGGCACCTCAGGGGATTGGGGTGCCCATGGTTGACCAGGGTACGGCTCTCACGACCATGTATGTGGTGGTAATAATAGGAGGGGGCTCCACCAGAACAAGGGGCAACAATGGATGAACCCCAAAGCCCTCGACAAGAAGAGGACGCCGCGACGTTTGAAGTGGACCGGCGGTTCCACGACATTAAGCTGCTTCTCACGAAACTAAGTGCCCTTCCCGGCGGGTTGCCCAACGACCTCCAGACCATTCGTACGACCATCTGTGTTATTTCGTACTCGTCATGACATGATGCCCTTCGTCGTCGTCGTCGTGTAGGATCCAAGCTCGTGTACTCGACCAAGCTTGGGACGGCTCGGCTGGACGAGCGCGTGCAACTGCTCAACGCGACGCTTCAAGTCGTGTGCTCATCGTGGACCTTGTGGAACCATCCGATGGTCCTTCAATTTCTATCTCTCCAAGATGTCTCCATGATGTCAAAGCAGTAATTCCAGTGGTCACGAGGCGAAGATATTCCCCGTGTTAAGCAATAAGCCAACTAACTAAACGATATATTTCACTGGCTATGCAGGGCTGCTGCGTTTACAAGGGATGGGTGGCTAACGTCATCGCAAACTCAAAAAGTCCCATGCCAAAGGGTTCGACACGTCGGACGGGGGCTGGGGCGGCACAGTGCTGTCGTCGGTAGTGTCGTTAGCAGGGGTGCTGGGTGTGCCAATGATGCTGGGGCTAGAGAAGCTGAATCGTCGCGTAGGGGTTTGCCGGTTGTACTCAACTGAACTTCCTGTGGACATGATACTGCTCCGCCGCGAGTCGCTAAATGTCGTCGGACGGTCCGTGCGCGGAAGACTAAAGCGGCGACGCTGGCGAGCAGAAGATCCGCCGCCATTGTCGTAGCTGCCTACGGAGAAGCGTTGCGGGGGACGAACGAACGCGGCATCAATGGGCGATTCGAGGAAACTGGTGAGGTTCACAGTTTGGATGGGTCCGTGCACATGCCCCCCAGCTTCGACGCCGCCGCCGCCACCACCATGGGGAGATCCACGCCGTTGGTCGACTGGTGTTGGTGTCGGATGCAGATGATCGGTTTCATCTTCGTCCATTTCCATGTCTTCATCCAACTCGTCGTCGTCGTCGTCGTCCAAAACCAGCTCATCGTCCTGGGTTTCTATGAGCTCCTCCTCTTCTTCCTCGTCTTCGTTCACTACGTCTGCATATGCTTCGTTGGATTGCGTAACACTGCCTCGAGCGGCTTGTCCATAACACGTCGTGGAACCATCATTGAGCACGGAAGAACGATACTTCCACCCCAACGGCTGCGGCGCCGACGTGTACCTCAACGTTTCAAAGTATTGATTCAAGCGAACTTCCTCCTCCTCCAGCAGCCGGTCAACCACACTGTCATCGACGTAGCCATACCCGTTCTCGTGTGTCCGTCCGCCGTGGTAGCATGTACTGCGCACGGGCAGATCCAACCGCGGGAAAAAGGACATGTTTGATGACGGATTGTACAATATGCTACAGGTTATTTGTTGTCGAAAGTTCCTACTTTATTATTTATGACGGGGTTTAGAGAATAATTTCTTTACATCTGAAGTACAAATATACTTCAGTATGCATCGAAAAACGTGGCAAAATGTCTAATATTTGGCATATATTTAACGAATAGCTACAGTTTTTGAAAAATATATTTCGAATTTCTTATTTTGGTGGGTCCCCCCAGGGAGGAAATGTACGTGGCAGGTATGACACTATACAAATCTCAAGGTATTTTGGTCGGCCACGTGGTATATATTGACCTACAATTAGTGTGACCGGTCATCAATGGTCTCACAGAACTGTTGCGAAAGACTTCGATTGCGGCGACGACGGAGGGTTCATCACCATGGAGATGAATCGCGGGGAAGCGGAGAAGTGCATGGAACTCGGGAAGAAGCACCTGCGCGCTGGCAACTACCGCCAAGCCGTGAAATGGTTTGACAAATCCATCCGATTGTTTCCGCTGCCAGGGGCCGAAGCCTTGCGTGGAAGGTCAGAGGAGTCTGCGAAGCAGCAGGAAGCGCCCTCGCCGTCGGCATCTTCTCGCGCAGCACCTGCAGCTGCAACACCTTCCTCTTCTAACGCGTCCTCCACCGTGTCCCAGCCGGAAGACACGCGTCCATACACAGAGGACCAAGTTCGAATAGTGCGCAAGATCAAAATGTGCAAGACGCATTACGACGTCTTGGGCGTGGCCAAGAACGCAGATGAGAACGAGGTCAAAAAGGCATATCGCAAGCTTGCTTTGAAGCTGCACCCAGACAAAAACAGTGCACCGGGTGCAGAGGATGCGTTCAAGGCTGTGGGCAAAGCGTTTACCATCCTCAGCGACGACCAGAAGCGAGCAGATTACGATCGATTTGGGGACAACGCTCCTGGCGAGAACAACAGTCGGCAACGGTCGCGGCAGCAGCATCACGGCGGGTTCCACGACGAAGACATTAGTCCAGAGGACATTTTCAACATGTTCTTTGGGGGTGGCATGCCGAGGCAGCGCCAGCGCCAACGCCAGGCGCAGCCGCGTCAACAAGCGGACCAGACGCCGCGAACCCCCATGCAGCAATTGCTCCAATTCCTGCCGCTCATTTTGGTGCTGTGTCTGTCGTTGTTTTCGTTTCCGGGAAATCAAACCGCCCCGTTCAGGTAGGTACCAAACCTATTTATTTCGTTCTTAAATTTTCCCAATTTTGAAATATTGTGCATATATTCACCCAAATTTGGACGTGAGAGGCATTTCGACAAATAGGTTTCGAATCTCTTTGATCCTATTTAATCTTGTACACACTATACTATATAAAGATGAGTATATATATCTGGTTTTGCCCAATGCGGAAGGGTCAAACGTTTGGATTGGCAGAAACTTGACATGACGTGATTTGATTGGCTCAGGCGGTTCTTGAATCGATTGTCCTAAGACATTCGATTCTGCTAGTTTCGAATTGATTTGACAATATTGCATTCAACTATCTGTGGCATGTCGAGCATATTTTGAATACTAATATGGTGGTTTTGTTAGCTTGAACCCGACGCAAGAGATGCCAGTCCAACGCACCACCCGCATGCGAAACGTCGTGAACGGCATCCCGTACTACGTCGCACGGGACTTCGAGCGCAAGTACACAAACGACTGGCGAGACCTCATGCGCGTGGAGCAAATGGTCGAGTCGTGGCATGTGCAGAAACTGCGGGAAGGATGCGAAGGCGAGCGGCTCAAGCAAAAGCGACGCATCAACAAGGCCCGCAACCACAAGAATGTCAACGAGCGAGAGGCGGCCGTGAAGAAGGCGCTGTCGGTCGCATTGCCCACTTGCGATGAACTCAACCGGTTGCAAGAGTAGACAGATGTTAGGCGTCGAGGCAACCAAAACCCTAGAGTGACCGCACTTGCAAATTCAAAACAATTGTTACAAATCTCTGATTGGATGAAACTATAGTTTAGTATAAATTGCAGCCAATCAAAAGGGTGTTAGCAATAGTATTACGGATTGGATGAAAATATAGTAAGTCCACATTTCAACCAATCAAAAGCGTGTTTGAGTTCTGTTTATGGATTGGATGAATTGGGGATCAAAACAGCCAATGAAACAACGATTGAACGAAAATGGCGAGCGAAGACACAGTGTCGGCGGAGGAGCTCACGGCACTCGTGCAAGCCATCAAGTTTGCGCACCCGCAGTTCACAGTCAAGCAAGTGCACACACAGGTCCTATCGCATGAAGGCAAGTTCGCCTCTGTGACCGTGGCGCGTGTGAAGAAGTACCTCAAGAAGCTCGGATTGACTGGCAACCTTGATGCCCCTAGCTCGGAGGACGCTGCCGCCGCGCCTGTGTCTCTCATGACAGTCGGCGGTGATTCCAAGTCCAAAGTCGAACAACCATCACCTTCGTCTTCGTCCTCCCATGATGACGACTCGCATTGGGTCGCTGTGCCTCTGGACGTCCCAGCCATGCAATTGGCATCGCATCCCCATCAAGCGGTGATTCGTATGACAGAAGCGACCGACGCGGGGTCTTCCACCGGTGCGTTGGGCGAGATCTACAAGATCCAGAAGGCCATGGCGCCCGACGGAAGCGACGAGAAACTGCCCATGCTCATGTACAACAAGGACCGCTCGCGCAAGTCGTTCCTGCATCCGACGTCGACGCTCGGGTACGATGCCATCAGTGCCTGGATCGATCAACTGGGGGCGGGCGGGGTCGGCGGCGGCACAAAGGCGTACTTTTACGGCCGCCAGGGCCGCAAGACCACGTCCAAGGCCGGAGTCGTGTTTATCAACGTGCACACGGTCGCAGATACCCAGCCGTGGTAATAATGACGACGAGTGGTCCATAATGAACGACATGCAAGTAGCAATTCACTGTACCTACCGCCCACGGTGGATGATTTCCCACTCTAGCTTTGTTACAATACGCCCTATTATTACACTGTTTTGCCGTAATAAAGTTAGACCAATTATTGTCGATTTGATACAAATTTGGGGAGGGGGTGCAATCGAATCGACCAAACCGATCCACAATCGATCTGATTGGTTGAATTTCATTGAAAAATGGGTTTTGATTCGCATATAATTTTGAGCTCATCTGAGGTAGCCAATCAAATCGATTTAAATTCCAACGAGAAACCACGCCACAACACGAAATTTCACTCGAAAGCACAATATTATGCCTTATGATTTTGGCCGTATACTCACCATGTGCCCCGATAGATTTGGTCGTGTGCCCAGTGAAAATGGACAACACGCACGAACAAATCCATAAAATAAGCAGTCGAAACATGCAGCAGCGTCTTCGTGTTGGTGTCAGCACATGCCAAGTTCCATCACATGTCGTCCATGGCCTCTGCGCGGTCGTAAAAGCGTTCCAAGCGTAGAGCATATCGAGGCAGTCGGGTTGTGTCGACTCCTACTTGGAAGGTTAAGTCATACTACTACAACACGAATGAGAAACACTGCTTACCGTCGAGAACTTGTTCCACAATGTGCTCCAGCAAGAGGATCCGAAACTCATGTCGGGTTAGCCCGTGAGGTGGTAGACCCATGAAGACTTCAAGTCGCTCCCGCACAAGTGTCTTGATGTGGGCGCTGACCTCGGCCCACAAATGCTCGATCGGGTTCAACATGGACGAGTACGCTCCCAAACGCAACACTGTCGCAGCCGAGAACTCGTCTTCTTCAAACACATTGGCAATGCTACAATCAAGTGAGCTATCCAAATACATGAACCGGGGGCCTTACCGAGAATACCATGGAGCATTGTCCGCAATCACGACGATGTCGTCGAGCCTACCGTAGTGCGCACGGGCAGCACGCAGCATTCTCTCTAGCGATTGATTTGCGTCGGCATATTGTACTCTCCACGCTTGTGTTCGCAGTAAACAAAGTTCGAGGTGGACATGGCGCCAAAGAACGTGGACGTTTCCACGAGTCGAACCCGCCGACGGTCGCTTTTCACGCTTGGCTCGTGCTTTTTTGGTCACTCGACTTGAGAACAAGTTGAACGTCTTCTTGCCCATCCAAATCGGAATTTTGCCTTGGCGCGATAATGCACGGAATGCGCGGACGTAATCTTGTCGTTTTTGTGTGACATCGTTCGCTTGGACTGGCTCGTCGTCGTTGTACGTGAACACCCGCTTGTCCAGCTCTCGGTGAAGCGTTGTCGTGGACACTTGAACCCCCAACTCAATCTGAACGCGATCTTTGACCTCTTGAAGTGTCATGTGGGGACCAGACTCTACCCAACCTTGAATGGTGTCAACCATGGCGGAGGTCAACAGACATGGCCGATACCCACCTACCATGTATAAGCCATCGTTTCGAGATACATGTTACCTCGTTGCTTGGGTGTGGGCGATTCTTGATATAGCCAATTCCGTGCCGTGCTTTGCTTGATGCCGTTGGTTGAAGCAACAGCTTTCCAGTCTTCATCGTTTTGGAATGCTTCGACGACTCGCAGCTTCACGGAAAGAGGTATGTGAGTGTACGGGCCTCGCGGCTACGACGACAGTTTGAGAGCATTACGACGGACACATGATGTACCGGGGTTCGCGCAGCAATAATGTCCATGTGGCGTGTAAATTGAACTCTGAATATGTTTAAGGTTGAAGTGGAAATTTCAAACGTTGAATACGTTTATACTTGAATAACGATTCAAGTATAAACTTCGAAATGCGCGGGTTTCTCGCTTACTACGTAGTACTTCAACCCGTACACTGTACAGTACAGTGCACAACATGTACACTGTATAGTACACTGTACACTGTATATACTAGTACAGTATTTTGATGGAGGCGTATCGAGTGGACACATGGGTTGAAGGCAATGGCATGTCGGGCACACAGCCAAATATATCGGGCACACGGCCATACTCGACAACTGAACTGCTAAAACGTGTACAGAACAATGGTACTACGATGTTGGAGGGGTAATAAACTGTGGGGCCGGGCCATCTTGAAGGAACACGCAAGTGGGTATATATTTTGATCTTGTCAGTTACTTGGTGGGCAATCCAGTGCCAAAGAGACCTTCCGCGTCATCGTCGTCGCTGTCGCTCGCTCCAAACAAATTGGACGCCGAGAAAGTCTTGGACGTGGCTGGGTGGGGCACTGCCGGTGGTGGCGGCGGCGGCTGCTTGATGGCAGTGAAGAGAGGGGGGGTTGCATGGGCCTGGCTCGTCGTGGCGGGCTTGTCGTCGTCCCACTCATCCGACGACTCATCTTCGTCGTCCACATCTGTCCCAAACAACGACGCGGGATGCGGGACAGAGACAGCGGCAGCATGGGGGGGAGGAGGGGTGCTGAACAGGGAAGAGGATTCACCGCCACTGGGTCGCTTCTCGACTGCAGAGCCAAACAAGGACGACGCGGGGATGGCGCCGCTGGTGGGGCGTTTGGTGTCGCCAGACGAAGCATCCCCAGACAAAGCAGATGGAGGTTGACTTGGAAGGGCCCCAAAGAGGCCTATGGAAGGCCGACGAGGTAGTTCCGACGTCGTCGTTTGTGCCACATGCTTTGGTGATGGAGCCGAGACGACTACCGCTGCGACGACGGGAATCGAGGGTGATGCGTCGGAGGACGTGGGAAAGAGAGGTGCGTCGTCATCCGTGCTCAATGTAGTCGTGTCGGAAGAAGATATCGCAGCGGCTTTGGGTTTTGTGGGCGCACGACGCTTGGGACCAGTAGCACGAGTCAACGTGGCCTGCAACATATTACATTAGGACGGGCGATGTACCACAACGTACGTGTGAAACAGCGGCCGGCTCTGGTTCAGGTGCAGACGTGAGCACGGCAGGTTCGTTGGACGCCAACCCCGGCAGCGCCACACCAGGACGTGTAAGCCCAACCATGGGAATACCGCCGCTCATACCAGGAACGGACACGCCTGTCTTCATCGTTCTTTCGTAATCGTAGTCTTCCCCTGTTGTCATGGCACTGACCGTGTGAGATTTACGCGCCGGCGGTGGACGGAATGCATTCAAGTTCAAAGCACCCAAATTCCCTTGCAAGGCAGCAATCTTCGACGACGTTTTGCGACCCGATGGAGACGCCATGTCTCCGCTGCTTACCAAGGGTGGTGGTGGTGAATTCGCTGGGGATTCCGATGGAGCGTCTGACTCTGATGGAGCGTCTGACGACATCGCGGACGACGAGGAGGGATCGGTTGGTGATGCAGTAGGAGCTAGTGCTGCAGTCCCTGGAAACCCATGCGAGAACGTCCTGGGTTGAAATGGCTTCGGTGGTGAAGACCGCGTGATGCCAGCAGAAGGTGTCGCTACACTTGATGGACCTTCCTTGGGTGCGTCTTCTCCCGTGCCGTCCTTGGCGCGCCGGCGGGCAAGGATTGCTGCGAGTTCGGACATTTCACCGTTTCTCTGCGGTCACGAAGATTGGTTGCGGCGGTTCACAAGGTTAAATGGACCACAGTCCGATTTGGGACAAACCAATTGGGAAATACTATTATCCGGATGCTGTTCTCGCATACTACCAGGTCATACTAGTGGTATGTCGTCGTGCTGCATGCTGTCAACAAAGTACTACTATTTGTACCTGCAGTACAGGAAACACCTAAAGCAGCAACGGAATGGCATGATGAGTTCGACAGTCATATCGATAGGACGACAAGGACGAATTGCCTACTACGCATCAGCTGTACTGTACTACTATTAATAGTACGAGTAGTACTAGTACTAGTATGTGGTCAGAGGTCGTCCTCACACAACCCCACGACGGGTAGTATTTCCCACTGGGAACTAGAGGCGATTTATTCTACAACCAATGGGTGAACCATATACTGCAACGCTTGGTCACATTTGACCGCGGTACATACATATACTCTATCCGTCTCAGTATATGCCTTGTGCAATTGCCATCAACTTGGTCTACAGTACGCGGTAACTCATGGTAGCTTTGTGTACGTGCCAAGAGATTTACTTATATCCTGGAATGATTTCATCCTCGAATCTCCTGTTGTTGGCGTATAGTCATAGTTTATATTGTTTAAAGTATATAATTTCATCCGTCCCATGTCCCGCCTTTTCCGACTGGTCCCGACGTTTTATTGGACGACCACTTTGCCCCGCACGAGCCGCCGCAAATCCCAATTTGGCTAAACCATGGCACTCGAAGCAAAGGTGGCGACAGACCTGCCCGTGACAGAGCATCACTCGGAGCCGCGTCCAGGCCAACTGCGCGCGATCCTGCATTTGTTTACGGGCAGCTGGATCAACCTGCTCTTGTTGGTCGCGCCGCTGGCCGTCGTGGCGCACTTCAACCACTGGCCCGACGTGTGGGTGTTTGTGTTCAACTTCCTCGTGATGATGCCTCTCGCCAACATTTTGGGCGAAGCCACAGAAGCCTTGGCCGAGCACACGGGGGACACCATCGGCGGGTTGGTGAACGCGACGTTCGGGAACGCCGTGGAAATCATCATCTCCCTCTTCGCCTTGTCCAAGGGCGAGGTCCAGCTCGTCCAAAGCTCGTTGATCGGTTCGATGCTGTCCAACTTGCTCTTGGTCCTTGGCATGTGCTTCCTGGCGGGCCATTTCGGCGGCGTCAAGAACTCCAAGTTCTCTGGCGACGGCGCGTCCATCAACATGTCGCTCCTGTTTGTCGGGTCATTTGCCATGCTTGTGCCGTCATACTACCTGGACAGCATTGTCGCCAACGAAACCAAAGCCGACCACGCCGCCGCGGTCCTAAACTTGAGCCATATCTCCGCCATCTTCCTTGTGATCATGTACGTACAGCTCATGGTGTACCAACTGGTCACGCATCGCGCCGTGGAAGACAAGAAGGAGGAGCACGAGCTGCCCGAGCTCTCGTTCGCGTCGTCTCTTATCGTGCTGCTGCTGGCCACGCTCCTCGTCGCCGTCTTCTCCGAGTTCCTCGTCGGGTCTGTGGACGGATTCACCGAGTCCGCCAGCATCCCCAAGGGGTTTGTGGGTCTCATCCTCCTTCCGATCGTCGGCAACGCCGTCGAACACATTACCGCCCTCCGAGTCGCGTACAAGGACAACATGGAGCTGGCCATGGGCGTGGCCGTGGGGTCAGCGACTCAGATCGCGCTCTTCGTCACACCCGTGTGCGTCATCGCAGGGTGGATCATGGGCGTGCCAATGACACTGGCATTCAACTCGTTCGAAGCCATGACGTACATCTTCTCGACCTTGATCGTGTACGTGATTGTCGCCGACGGCAGCTCCAACTGGCTCGAAGGCTCTATCCTCCTCACGCTATACTGTTTGATCGGCCTCGCATTGTTGGAAATCCAAATCTAAACGAATATTGTGACAGCGTAATAATGAACCCCTACTTGCGTGATGACATTGTTGCCTTGGTGGGCTTGGTTAAGTGCCATACTAAGACGACATGTTGGTTGCGTCAAGTCGATGTGGATGATACTAAGGTGATGGGGACGACTGTAGCTTGACTTGGAGTGCCAATAATACAGTACTAACTTTGAACTGTACAGTATGTTGGCATTCGACAGTGATCTTGTCATGGTAGGTACTCTATAGTGCTGGACGTGTGGGTGGGTACTTCAATGTGCGTGACCTTTCGGATGAAACGCCAATATCGATCGATACACGAAGGTTATATTGCAAAAGGAGAATAATGTGGTGTTAGATTATTGTCGAATGCAGCCATCTCACGTTATGCCGCCACCTGCTACCAGTCCAGCTCACGAGGACGACGATTTAGTTGAGACCTCCACCGCTTCGTCATTTCAACCCAACCATTGCATGTAAGCCGGTCCTTCTTTCATCGATCAATCACTCACCCGAGGGTCCGATCTGCCCCCATGCATCTCACGCCTATGTTTCGTGTTTAGAGAATGTTGCATGTCCTTTGACTCCACTGCTGACTTCGCCAACCACAAAGCCAAGGTGCGTGTACATATATCAGGATGTGACAGCGTTCGTTGTTGATGTGTTGTTGGGGCGTGTATGTTGGGTAGTTTTGCATACAAAGCGAGTACTTTGACCCGGTCAAGATGCAACAACACCTCTTGGCCACTTCTATTTCGGACGAAAGCAACGTCATGGCGACCAAGGGAGTTTGCGGCGCGACCATGTCGTTTGCCAAGGTCGAGCAGTACTTGAGCGGTGGTGGAGGAAGGTCTTCCCGTGATGGCAACGGTACTGGTCAAGACATGACGATTGGGAAGGTGTCGTTGTTGGATCTCAAGGCCACGATGCAAGCGAACGACGTTGAAATGGAGAAATTGAGGTATATATATATATAACACTTAAAGGCAAAGTGCATATCGTTTTAGACGGCACGTAAAGAAAGAGCGCGAAAAGGAAAAGGCAGACGAGCTACGAGGACTCAAATTGAAGCAGCAAAAAGCGTTGTTGCAGAAGAAACAAGTGAGCTCAAAAAAATATGTGGATCTCTCGACAGCGGCCGAATTCACAGACTGTCCGTGCATCAAGATCACAAATATCATATGAGGTAGGAAGAAGACGAGGTCGTGGCACTCATGAAAGAAATCGAGCGGCGCCAAGTCGACGAGCTCAAAGCGCGAGCGAAGCGCGAACAAGTCAAAGCCGAGTTGCGGCATTTGGATACTGTACGACCCTGAGAATATGAGACGAGCCATAAAAATATGATATGTGTGACAAGTCGATGATATCCTGGTGCATTGTGTAGGTGGGTATGAACTTGCTCGAGGACGAGCGAAAGCGAGAGTTGGCTGAGCTGGTCAAGCAAAAAGAGATCTTGACCCAAAAGGAGCAGGCCGCTTTGCACGAAATACAAGCCCTGGAGAAACGTGTGAAAGACCAGGTTGGTGAATGAATCCAAGTGATACGCCAAACTGGATAACGTCATCCTGGCACTGTGAAACAGGAGCTGCAGCACCGTGACGACGAAAGGAAGGTGCTAGCGACGATTCAGCGAATGGACGACGGGTCCAAAGGAGATGCGCGCGTGCGAGCCCTGCGGGCCACGCACATGCAACGCAGTCAAACGTATGGCGCGCAAGCGGCGTTGCTCGGGCACAAGCGGATGGAGTTGCAGCAACTGCAAGAGAAACTCAAGAACGACATGACCAACCTGGACGTTCGTCACACTCGTAAGGCATATACAGCATTTGAAACAATCCGAGAAAAGAATTTTGGGGGGGGATGCTATAGGTGGGGACAACCAAGCGGACGATGACAACGCTGCGGCAGGGGTCATCTCATTCAACTACGACGAAGAGAAGCACCGAGTGAAAAACTTTGACGGTCAGTTCGGTGGGGATATCAAGGGCCACGAAACATCCAGTCCGGCTACGGATAGCTCGTCTAGTAAACAGCCACACAGCAGTAGCGTCAGAGACGTTGGCAAGAGCAACTCCAAGTCAACTGCAGACGACAGTCCGTCCCCCAACAACTGGAATGATGAGCCCAAGCCAACACCACGTCGTGTGCATTCTAGTGACCTGCCAACCAGGGAAGAGGAGAGAGGTAACACTAAGCCCCTGAAAGACAATGCCAAAACACCTACTGCACCCGCCCCCTTGGATGCCCTCGAACGAGAAGTTCTGCATCGAAACGAAAGTGACCATACTCTCAAGCAGTCTAGACCATCCACACCACGAATAGCAAAAGCCCCCCAAGCTCCTCCTATGAACCATCCACCCTTGCACGGCGGCAACTTGCCCTCTTCCTCATATCCCCCCTCAATAAACCCAGAGGCACCACCTTACGCCGTGCCTCCCATGGCATCGCATATGTGGCCCCCTCCCAACTACACTTCCTATGGGGGGGCATATCCGTACTTTGCGCCGCCTCCGATGTCCAACTACGGTATGCTTCAACCCCCGTACTTCAATGGATACACTGGATTTGCCGCGACGGGGGCGGCCATTATGGGTGGGGGGTACCCACCCCCCATGATGAATCCGTACGGCATGCAGCCAACACCGTACATGCAGCACCAACCCATGTCCATGATGCCAAACATGATGATGAATCCTGGGATGTTTGAACCGCCGCCAGACCCAGAGACTGTCAAGTTGCAGCAACAGTTGGAAGCCATGAAGCAACTCAAGGAGCAACGCGAATTGGAAATGGAAACTCTGCGATTTCAGCAAATGATTCAAAGCATTCAGGTGCCATTCGCATGGATGTGTGCGAGACAACATGATGTTCGTAGGGAAAGCTTCCAGGGGCTGCCAACGGCCTCTTCACCAATGCTCCGACTGGCCAGCAGCAATCCATGTCTGCGCAGTCGTCCAGCAGTGACTTGGCCCCCAAAATAGCTCTGGCAGTTGCAGATGAACTCGAGTCGAAGGAGCTCAAAGCGTTGAAACTCAAACATGCTGAAGACATGCTCAAGCTAAAGCAGCAGCGCGATCTAATGGAAGAGGAGGAACGGGTACGTAGGGTTATCTTTTCCCTACTTGTCATTTGGAATTATATGATGATACATGAATGTGGTTTAGCTGCAAGACATGAAAGAGCAACGTGAGAAGCGACGACGGGAAATGGACGAGCAAATGGCCCAGGAAGAATGGATGGCGAATCAAAAACGAATGGTCATGGCGCTTCGCATGAAAAAAGTGCTGGCACAAGAACAGCCACTGGCACCATCCATGACTGACGACATGGCGGCATCTGGCGACGTTCGTCCATACGACCCCGAGCTAGGGTTTAGTGTGTTTTGGGACTACATCCTTCTTGTGCCTGCGAAAGCCAGTTTCTTGCAGGTTCATATGTGTCCACATTGCATTATTATTATAATACATAAGGCAATATCGGTGGTTTAGGTGACGTATGCAGTGTACGAAGGGTCAATCCTGCGGACCAAGCACAAGGTGATTCGCGCCCGAGAGTGTGAACCCCATGGCCCCACAGTCAATCGGTGCGTCTTGGCTTCAACTCGAGCGTTCGATCATTTGCCAGCCAATATGGACGTTCGTCTACTGATTGAGGTATGACCCCTACCAAATTGCATATCATTTTACGAGGGGTACTCAAAAGCAATACGATCGTGACTAGGTCGCTGCTACAACTTCGGACGGCAAGACCAAACCCTTGAGTTTGGGATGGACAGCCATGGACTTGTTCATTCTGTCATCGGATGGGTCGACAGTGCAGCTACAGCAAGGCAAATTCAAACTCCCTCTGAGCCGTTCGCCATTGCCGTCGATGAACAATGGGCCGTGGAGTGTGCCCAAAGGTGCCTCCGATGCTACCACCACGACGTTGTACCTTCGGGTGGCGCACGCTGCCCAAGTCGAGGACGCCACCATGTACCCAGTGAATCCCGACGTGACCGCGAGTTCGTCTAAAACAATTGCATTCACAACGTATGTTTTTTTATGTGGGCATTGTGCACTTAGGTAAATACCAGAATCCATCGACAACATCGACGATATCCCCTTCCCCAACGCTTGCGGCTCCCACCACAGTGACCTCCGACCAAACGAAAAAAAGTAGTCAGCCAACCGACCCCCTATACCACGCCCCACCGCCCCCCACAGCCCCCCCGACGCGACCCCCAACATCCAAACCAGCCCAACCAATCACCACAACGTCATACACTCCGAATGCCACTTCAACTGCTGCCAGCTACAAAAGCAAAGCGTCTCCAATACGAAGCGTGCTACCGTCGGCCATGGCTGTCCTTGCTACTATTCCATCGGTGTGTGCACCTTCCTGATATCCTCATCAAATACGAATCAACTCGTGATGATCCCCTGCACAATACAGATATCAGGCGACCATGGCACAGCTCAGTACACGGCCCTGCTCTCAGCCTTACGCCCATCAGATCCCAAGGAATGGACCCACTCTAGCTCGGACTGTGTCCAGCTTGTGCTATCGTTGCCAAGCTCCAGTGTACCATTGTACTCGTCTGAGGACCGGTCAATTGACCCGTCAACGGGCCTCGTGACGGCTGGGCCGTGGAAAATACCCTTGTTCAGTGTCCCAAAGCCCCTTTCTCACAACCAACCCATCGTCATCACGCTATCGCATAAACGAAGCGGAGGGGTCGTCGAGTTGTACAGTGCGACGCTGGCTTTGGAGGACGCAGGGGGGCACGACGTCGTATGGGACGAACAACTGGTCGAGTTGTGTCACCCAGCCAGTACGAACCAACCATTCACGCATGGTTTGATTTCCCTACGACATTATAATGACTTGTTACCCTTTAGCCAAGCAAGTCAAAGCGATCATACTCGTCACCATCTCGCCCACAGATCATGATCCGCCAAGCCATTCCATGTTCCCATCTACCTCATGTACGACTTGACGTGCATTTCAGCGATGGGGGTCAGACTATATTCATGTAGTGTCCAGTGGCGAAGGATGGGTCGAGTGTGACTTGTACTCGAACCCCCGCAACATCCCCCCTCAAACCCTCTTTGGTCGGGGCGACGGCTTCAACGTGTATGTGGACGGCTTGCGGTCGCTGCCAGACCCTGTCACGATCTCAAAAGTCACTTGCTTCGCCCTCAACGCAGACATGACGAGCGTCTCTCCGTTGCAAGAGCCTTCTGCGTACACTACACTGCAAGACAATGCGTCTTCTCCGTCGTTCAAACTCGTAATATTCTACCCGCTCACTGTCAGAAATGTTTACTATGCTGTGTATTGTAGTGCTTGGAGTACCGAGGCGATCGGTTCAACCCGACATTGACCCTGCTGTGCAGAGTGGACACTATCCACGGCGTGTCCAAGCAACCGATGGTCGTGGGGTATGCGGCATTGCCGTTGTTTGTCGAACATCGCGACAACGGAGGAGCAGCGATGACGGCCCCCACCAAGGCCACCGTGCAGGAATTCTGCCTCAACACCGGTGCATTCCAATTACCGCTGCGGCTAGGAGCGACGCTCGGCACGAACGAAATCGACTTCAGCGCGACTGCGTGCGATGGGTACATGAAATTGCCCTGCGCCACCATCCTGGTGCGCGTATGTCCTGCCGCCAAAGTACGTGCACATTGCAGTTTTGTGGTTGATGGGGACTTCACTTTACGACTGATTGTGTAGACCGAGGACGGCCTCGCTTGTCTGAGTCGAAACGACGTGGCAACATCCGACTGGATCGCTCGAGGCGTGTCCACCCCGGCACCGAATTATGCCGACAAAGCTTACGATTCCACAGCATCGCGGCCTTCGCTTGCCGAAGACAAGCTGTACAAACTAAGGGTACTTCTTTTCCATAAGTCACACACACCATACCAATGATATATCCACCTACATATCACTTTTACCAATGATGTATCCATATCATAATATCACTTTTTTCGACTGACATGTGACATGTTTATGTTGCAGTTGCGTCGCCCGCCCCGGTTGGTTGGTGACACCTTGTTGACCGTGACCGACAAAGCCACCGTGGACGCACCAGAGAAACTTGCGACGTGGCTCCAAGCGCAGTTGACTGTACGTACACTACCAATACAGTATACTACCCGATCAACTAGTATCATCCTTCCACGACAATGTGGTGAATATTAATTTCCTCCATCATACGATAGAAAAAACCAACGGTAACGCTCTTGGACACCCTGACAACGATGTTTCCGTATATACCGGAAATGGGATTTCGCATTGCAATCGACGGGTTGGTGAATGTGCCCAGTGGCTGTTTGTACAAGGTCGTGACGTGCATCTCCCCGCCAGCTCCGTTTTATCAAGTACGATCGACGACGAAACATATAACAGTGCTTTTCTTGGGCGTGTTTTCAAGCAGAAATCGTGGGGGTAGGACCCCAAAATGACAGACGATGTGCACATGACCATCAGCTACAACTGGACCAGTGCCCAGGCCTATCCCGAGTTCCAGGACGGCTACATCGTACGTAGTACTACTTGTGTTGTCTTCCTACTCCAAAACAATGACGACTGATATTATCTATCTTGTAGACATTTCGAGACGTGCCAGAGTTCCCTAACACCGACTTGCTCGTGGTGTTTGACGTTCGAGGCGTCAAGCAAGTTAAAGGCACGTGGGTGTCGCATCAAGTGGGCTGGGCGTACTTGAAACTGCTCAACACATCCCATTGCATTGCCGCGGGATCGTTCCAGTTGCCGCTCTTTTCTGGGGCCATGAGTTTGGTGTGTGTCCCGTGATGGATAACTAGGGAATGACGATGGTGGTGGTGGTTCTGCTGCGGTAGGATCTTCTCCAACACGACATGGCTTTGGATGCGTTGATTGACGCCGAGACAGCTAAAAAGAAGGGATTGATCTCGTACTTGCCCGGCATGTCGTTATGCATCCGCGTAGAAGACGGATGCATGCCGAATACGTTTCCGAAGCCTTTGGTTTGTCCTGTTCACAAGACATGATTAATATGTGTTGTAGGGAAACATGACCCCCGTGGGGATGCCACCGTCGACGGCGGCCAAATACACGTACGACGCCACGAATGTGCAAACTCAAAAGAAGAAGAAACCGCTGTCCAAACTGGTGGTTGGCAAGACAGAGCGGGAGTGCGAAAAAGAGCTCAACACGACGTTTGCCAAAGACATGGACATCTCCCACTATACGTTTTGACCCCAACACCGCAGCATAGTATTAACAGTTACTTCAAAGTCGAAAGACGAAACCGATTCTGAAACGGTCGTGATCTTTGACCGCAACTAAAAAATTCTGTTCTATGATATCCATCGACACGGTAAATCGTTGTTATCAAATCAACATGTGTTAGTACTGTAGTTAGTTAGTTAGGGTATACAATAGATGGCTGTCATGTGGCGTGGGATGAGTTGGCAATCTCCATATACCGAGAGATGGGTAAGCCCGTTACCTCAGGCAACATGAGTCGGCGAAGCTGACCGTTGTATATGACTATGTTATTTATATGTAGGCCCCGCGAGGTAGTGGGCGTCGTATTCGCAGAGAAGCGGTGCCCCTGTGGGCATGGCGAAGCCCCCTGAACCTTCACACGATTTCGTCAAATAACGTTTTCGCCCATTATTGATTCTCTTCGTTAATTGATGCTACAATGCCGGTATGTACCCTAGTGCAATACGGACTGGGGATAATGCAAGTGCTCCACCAGCGGGATGATGGCACCGTGGCGGATCTAGCAAGTCGAAACTCGTCGAAGTCGGCGGCAATGTTGCCCCATGTCTGGCATCCTTGGGCGAATCGACGAATCCCCAAAGACAAAACATCGCAACCGTATTATCGACAGCTACGAAGAGCTGTCTGTCGCTCGATAGCTAGTAGTTACAGCGGAGCCGCAACCCTGCAATCAATCATAGATGCTTGACTTCAGCGAGGTTGGGATGGAACAACGGAGCTTGAGTACGTTCCTTCATGCGATACCTGTGAGACAGGGGCGACCTCCTGCATGTGTGATTGTTAGTGTGGTAATGTCAGCGAGTTCAATAGGACAAATACTCCGCGCCAGTTCTGAAGGAAGTTTGCCCTGTCGAGGAAACACGAATCATCATCATGCAGGCATCAATCTGGATTGGTCTATCCGACTTTAAGGTAGGCCACCAATCCAAACCCTCAAACCTTTGTTCCACCACTCATCACCCTCAACATGCCAACTCGGCTCGCGCGGGTTGTTTTCGATTGTCGTTCGCGACTACGACGAAGCCATTGCGTGGTATATACGACACACTTGGGGTTCAACCTTGTCGAATATGTTGCTCAAGAGTCCAAGCGATGGATAGTAGTAGCCCCACGAGACGGAACCTGCTCCATTGTGCTGGCTCAACCGAGCAAAAAACACCGAGCCAAGAAGCGTGCATTGGCAACCAAACAGGGGGGCGGGTGTGGCTCGTCCTCGAAACGTCAGACTTCTGGGGTGACTACGAAGCCATGCAAGTAGCCGGAGTGCGCTTTAGTGAAGTGCCGCGCACATAGCCATATGCCATCGTTGTTGTCTTTGAGGATTTATACGGCAATCGGCGGGACCTCCTGCAGCCAATGGTGTAGGTATAAGCTGCATTCACGCACAATAACTGTTAGAGGTGAAGCTATCAGGATCCAAAGCTTGTGCCCTTGCCAAGTGTCAGAATATATCACGCATGCGAAATATCTAACATTCAGTCCGCACAAATACTATAGACGCACCCAATTGTTTTGAAACTTTATGCAATTAAAATTTCAAATACTGTACGTCTTTTCTGTACTAGTACCTGTCTCATACCATTTCACAAACATGTCCTAAATAGAATTTTAATCAAGGACAAATCCTTCCTGAGAAAAATCAATTTTCCAAAAATCAAAGTCACCAGAAACTATAGACGCACTACATAATTAGGGTGCACCAGCGAGTGGATTTTTGTCCAGGAAAAAGCGTATTTCAGCCCCATTTTGGT